GCAGGTCGATATCGCTCAGTAGACACACCAACCACCCCAAAAACTATCAATAGTGGGTCATCGACGAAATTGTCGAGCAGCGGATTCCAAATCACTTCGACTTAGCCACTTCATATTCACCTTGGCTCGATCTGGTCATCATGAACAGAGTCCGCCAATCTGTCGCGTTTGGACCGATCGCCTACACCATATTGTGCATAATAAGGGACAGCGATGCTCTGATCATGACAAGAGGCGACACCATATGGACCAATCTCTACCAAAATCTCGTCAAAGCGTTGCTAAGAACATCAACAGCGGACCAATTGCGATATCGTCGACGCAACAGACAGCAATGACCTGACCAATCTGGCCAACTCAAGCTGCTTCATCTCCCGACATCTCGACCAGGCTAGTATAAACTGCATCCTAATTAACCCCATCCAGATCGAGCCTCCTGGCACACTCAACCTTAACAGGCAAGGTAACATATTAAGATTCCCATCCGAAAGTGGCAAACTGCATCCAGCAACAGCCCCAAAACGTTAAAAGTAGTTACATATGTTAAACATCACAAATCCCCCACAACGGCAACAGCCATGCTGATGATGGTGATATATCCGGAGCCCGGGTTGAACTGTCCGGACCGCCATATCACTGCAGTCGGGCACCCACAACAAAAACGTTCTAGAACACCAACCTCAGAAATCACTGGAGAGCGGTAGACGGTAGATCGGGGCGGTGTGTCGTACATACGCCATCCGAGACACATAAAAGACGGACAGCCGATGCATGTTGTGGGTTGCGCGTTGTATTGCAAAGTAAAGCTAAGAAAGCCTCAAACACCCGCAACTCTATGCCAGCCAGCTTCACAATGATCAACTGCACGTACATATCTAGTGTACAAAAACGACATCTGATAAGTCATGATTGAGCTTACACTAGCCATAGGGCGAACTACGTGTAATGTGGCTCCTCAAATCGGAGGGCCAACCGCAGCGGGATTGGTCAACACAGATCGCCCCCACAGAATGCCATTGGCAGAGAGAGGGCTAAACACTTGCAGATGGGGCAAAAAATGAGTTGTTATCCTAATGGCTTAATGGACGATGAGACCGGCGGTTTGGTAGGACTTTAACGTTCCAGAACGTTACAAGAATGATGATGGAAGTATGCCATCATCCGAGGCTATGCTTTGTTGAGGCATCCTGGCCTTGTTTAACATCTGACAGAGTAGGCCGGCGCTTTCGCCGCTGGATCGCGGCCACGATACTGCTTGAACATGGTTGAGATATCATTCAACGGTGGCCAAGCCTGTAGGAAAATCTGGGGAAAAAACCAACTAGATCAAAAGGACAATTTTCACCGCCTTTCTGTGCTGGCAGACGGGTGGATATGAGATCTACACTATGAGAAGCAGGTCATGATCTTGCAGACTCTAGTCATCATACCCACAGTATGATCGTTTACTAGTGTCGGCCGGCATGACGTGCCACCGAAGATCACTGATAGCAGGAGGAATGATCGAAACACGGAGGAGTAAGAGCAGGAGCAGGTATCTGCAGAACAACCCCGCCGATCGCTAACAGCCCCTCCGTACGCGTTCCTAATCGGAACAGAAGCCCGAAACCCCTCAGATCCGTCTACTGGTCTGCCTCCAGTTTGGTATCCGCCCCTGAGCTGCATGGCCCCAACTGACGTGATGTGCTGAGGTTTGCCACTCAACGGGCCTGCATATCATGACTGATAGCAAGAGGAACACGTAGTCGCGTCTCATCCGTCCAAATCTGCCATCCATGCGGCTATGCCTGGTGCCGAGAACGAAGGACCGACAGGCTCCGAATCGTTTTGGTCTTCTGCCGGAGCGGATGGCATTTTGGAAGCGGACAGCGGAACAGTTGTTGTCGTCTTGAGCGGGGGAAGGCCAGGGATGTCGGTATCGAACCTAAGTTTCACCCAAACAGAATGGATGACGACCGAATTGGTTGATGAGCCGTGGATCTATGAAGGCGCACGTGTCCATGGCAGAATCGGCCAGGGCAACATCGAGTCCTCACCGCCTGGAGTGGAGCATCCTGCTGGATAGCAGCAGAGGTGAGTTTGCGGATGTGACAAGCAAAGAGGGCACCTATGAGGTTTAAGCTTCATGTAGAAGCGGCGGACGGTTGCATGAATAGTGAGAAGAGATGATTATGGAGTCGCCAGATCCAACATCGACATAGGAGAGGGTGGAGTATCGGAAATATGGTTGAGGTTGGATTCGGGTCCGTGTGCCCTTCTGGCAAGACGCTAAGAGATTGGCCCTGCAGGAAGCGACGCAACGGCCAGTGTTCGAGACGCTCCCAGCCCGGCGGAACTGGTCTGGGGCATGGACCGGGCCGCGGATTGGTCAGGTGGGATCGACAGACAACAAGCGAGGGACCCATTCGAGGGTCTCGGAGGAGCCGGAGGACTCTTCACGCACACCCCCTCTCCTATTACGTACCGAACGGACAGAGAAGACACAGTCCAAATCCAGGACCCTGGGAAGAGCTGGGGGCTTGGCCCTTGATGACCGAGATCCCTGCTTCTTGGGCAGCAAAGTTGGGTAGGACAAAGGCAGGAAACACGAACCCAAAGATGGTAAGAAAATATTTGGTGATATTTGGTGCCCGTCACAGGCTGTGTTATGTAGTTGGTCAGGCAGAGAGGGTGCCTAGGAGGTGAAATCGCCTGTGGCCATCAGCCGTGACTTGTCTTTCACCGGCGGATCGCTGAGACTTGACGGTTAAAGCCGGCCTAGAGTAAGCTATATCTCATAGGTAGAAGTCAAAAGAAACAGCGTTAAAATGGGATTGGACGATAATAGCGCTTATGGGAGATCGACTGTTCGCGGCAGGCCTCATGACATTTTGTGGCTGCAGATATGCATCTCGAGGGACAAGATCAGAAATTGCGGGCTTGATTCCATGAAGTTTCAGACAGTCCTTCAGTGCTTTGGAGAGGGAGCCTAGGGTTGATGGAACAAGCGGCGGCGTCTCACAGGTTGGGCATCCAATTGAGGGCCAGCTCATCTGCCAAGGAGGTTGGGGGCACCAGGGGGGAAAGAGTCTTTTTTGTGCGTTTTGCCATTGAGCCTTTTTCCCCGTTTTCGGAAAGCTGCGACAAAGCGTGCATTATGGCCAGGAAAAAGAGGGCAGGAAGGCGCAGGAGAGGTCAGACAAGACGTCCTGGACGCAAGACGTTGAAATCGCGAGGATACGTGGCTCAACTTAATGCCCAACGGTGGGGCAGCTTGTTAAAACAGTCCCGTTTATTGGTTGCTCCACGTGCTCCGCCGGGCGGACAGAGCCGCGCATACCTATTTTGGGTAGTGGGGCAAGCGGGGCAGGAGCGGCTCGCATCACGTTCTGCACACACAGAGCAGGACTCAAATTTTCAGACTTTTAGAATTTCACTTCTTCCCTTCATCCACAATACCTGCCCAGGGGCCTGTTCTGCCTGTTCCAGACAGCCTAGTTGCGATGCGCTCAGGACAGATGTTTAAACCAGACTGCCCCTCCGCCAATTGCCCACAATTCCCTTGCAAGGCCCTTTAGATTTGGGCAGGACGGGAGCCAGTGGTTCAGAGTTAACCGGACATGACACCACAGCGGCCTGTGAAGAGGCCAGGCATCCAAAAGTGGGCTGTGTGTGATTTGTTCAATTTCGTTGGTTGTTAGACAACCTTGACCAGTGGTTTGGCAAATCTACCCGTGACTATCGGCACGCGCAGCAAAAGAAAGGCAGTGGATGGGAGAATAACAGGAACAGATGTAAGAAGTATACAAGCAAAATCAGGCGGAATGGTAAAGCAAAGCAGAATATAGGCGCCCCTCCCGCTGGCACTAGCCGAGCCCAAACAACGCAGCAGGCAAGCGGGCAATGCAATGGCTGTCCGGCTAGCTGAGAGGATGAATGGGTGAAGCTTGAATCAAGGAGCAGGTAATTGAATTATCATGGCTTATGGATTGCGATCTGGTTAGGTAGTTTTTTGCCGCCTGCCTTAGCGTCCTAGCCGGCGTATACGTACACCACCTCCTCACAGCCGCTTACAACACATTACAGACACCCCAGACCCGGGCCACCGGGTTCTAGGTTCGCTTGCAAACGGCCACAGCAGCTAGAAGCCACACACTTTGAGCCCGACCTGACCTTGTTTGCCTCCGTCACCGAGCCTGTCACCCGTCACCCATTATGGCGGACCATCTATGCCCAATCCCAACGTCTGGACTGCCCGCTGACACCGCCAGCCGCTCAATTTCACGCAATCCGGGCTGCTGAGCTGTCCTGCTTGCCGCTGCTCTGTATCCGATTCATTGTCGTTGTTTCGCGAGGCTGGCAAGCCACAGCCATCGTATGGACGGTGACTCACGGGATACTGCGTTGATCCATCGCAATCCTGGCAATGGAAGTTGAATGCTGAGCAGTCGGTGAGGTTACATGCGAATGAGGTGTACGCCCGGCCGCTAGAGCGGGTCTTGACGGTGTTCTGGTGGTCGAGATCGCTGCGGGACAAGCCCTGCCAGACGTTGCGGCACAGCGGGACTGCTACGGGACCCCACCGACTGCCGCTGGCGCCCATGGCTCATGCCCCATCAAAACCAAGCGATCCTGCACGCCCTAGGCCCGCTTTGTCTTCTCACCTATCTTCTTCCCCTGACGTGCATCAATCCAGGTCGTCCGCCTCTCTCGTGCCCACAAAACAGTACCCCCCTCCCCTTTCCTCCCAAAAGATCGAGATTTCCGCTCGCGATGCCCACTTGTGACAACACATCTCCATGCCGAGACTGTGACTACGACCCAATGAAGACCTGAGTTCCTAACTGCGACAAAGAGACGCCGGCAAACTTGAAAAGTGAGAGAGTAAATATTCGACACGGCCTAGGGCACATACAGAGAGAGGACACCGTTCTGGACATTCCTCCGAGCGGCAGCGGCAGCAGACTGCAACTCCTGATCAGCATCATCAACATCTCATAAAAGATTCAGAAACACGACCCATGGAGAGAGAACGACAGTACATCCGCCCAAGAGTAGGCGGAATCATCACCCCCGCGGGCGATGGCCGCCCCGCTGCTCGCTCTGCTGAGTGGGCGACAAGTAACCGTGAGCATGACGGACAGCAGCAGCAGCCTGTGAGGTCTATCTTAAGGAGGACAACCCTTCGGCCGTCAATGAGGCCACGCCGGAACTCGGATAGTTCTGTCACATCGTCTAACCTTCCACCATCCGGAGGTGGGAGCAGCGACTCTGAACTGACCCCTCCCCCTTCTCGCATTCCTCCTCCTCCCCCATCCTCAACAAGCTCGTTGCCAAGGAAGGTTTTGAGGCCTCAGTATCCTATTCCTGCTGAACGCCAGACAGTCATCAATCTCAGGCCGACCAGGGGAGCTTCTGGCACTCATGCTAGCTATCGTGCCCCTCCTCCTGCTCGTACCCTCATCCCCGCTCCGTACCTGTCCGATACCAGGCTGGTTCGTCACGATCCTTATGATCGACGCGACCGCTACAATGACTTCGACGCCGAAACCGATTCTGTCTCCGACACCTCGGATGTGTCGTCGACCACCCAGACTACCTCAGTCGTCTCGTCCTCGACGGTGACACAAACGACCACAACTTCGACGGAATCGGAGTCGGACGGAACGTCCTGTGCCAGTGATGTGACCCCAACAGAGACGGTTCATACGACCAAGAGCACTCCGTCAGTGCGTTTCACCCCTAGCGTCATTGGCTCGAGCTCAAGTGTTGTCAGCTCTGTTTCTCCCGGCCGTTCAGGCTCCAGTGTGGCTACCTCGACCACTAGCCGTTCGTCCAAGCCGTGCCAAAACCTTCGGCCGTCCAAGGCCAGCTCCGACTCCGACCGAGCAGTCACGAAGAGCAGCCCGAGAGCAGTTCAGATCAACATGAAGCTTCCTCCTCCGAGCTTGGATACACCTGAGATTCGCTATCTCCACGAGCTCGTCAAGACCCAACAGGAGCTGGAGCGAAGCCTTCAGCACAAGATTGATCAGATGGAAGGCCAGATTGAGGATCTGCGTGAAAAGGAAGCCATCGCGAGAAGGGAACGTGACGAGGCCAATGCTAACCTGATGGCTGCCGAGCGTGAGAGGGAGTGTGCCGAGAGGGAACGCGACGCCGAACGCAATAGCCGGTACGATCTCGTCAGATTATCCCAGCGGCAGCAGAACATGCTTGACGAGCTTCGTAGCAACTACGACTTTGCGAAGGCCCAGATCGCCGAGCTTGAGCAGGAGAAGGCTGCCGAGCGCGACGTCTCTATGGGTCTTCAACATAAGCTGGACGAAACCAAAAAGGTCATCGATGAACACAAGAAGATCATCGAGGAGCACAAGAGGACCATTGAGCTACAGAAGAACATGATCTTCGATGTCGAGAAGGAAAGGGACACGATCAAGGCGGCCAAGGCTAAGGTGGAAGAGGAGGTTGCCCGGCTCCAGAAGGACTTCAAGAAGCACCTCGATGGATGCAAAGAGCACGAGGGTCTACTGGAGCAGCGCATCTCTGCCCTGGAGGCCAGCCGGAACACCCTAAAGGAACAGCGTGACACCAAGGACAAGGAAATTGCTGAAATGGCTGCAGAGCGTGAACGGTTGAAGGCGGAGATCGCGGTCCTCAGTGCTCGTGTGGCTACGCTGTCTGATTCATTGAAGCTTGCCCAGGACGAGCAGGTTAGGATCAGGCAGGCGGCTGAGGAAGAGAAGCAGGAGATCCTGCAAGCGGCAGAGGCGGTGAAGCGCAAGATCATGACTGACGCTGAGGAGGACAAGAGGAAGATTAAGGAACAGGCCGAGGAGGAGCAACGCAGAATTCGGGAAGCTTATGAGGCCGAGAAGGAAGCGATCCGGAAGGACGTCGTTGCGGAACACCTGGCGCTCGAGGAACGGATCAACGAACTGGAGCAGGTGAAAGAGGCGTTGATGAGCACCAAGGCCGCGGTTGAGGAGGAGAAGTCTGAAGCTCAGGCGAAGCTTGCGACGGCAACCGAGGAAGTCGCTAAGCTCACGGCGCAGTTGTTGGAGCTGACAGCAGGCGAGTCGGCCCTTAAGGCCAACATCGCCAGCCTGGAAGAAGAGCTTTCGTCCTCCAAGGCTGAAGTGACTAGCCTACAGGGGCAGGTTGACAACTTGGTGAAGGATAAGGTTACCCTCGAGGCCAACCTCAACGCGCTGATCGACGAGAAGGCTCAGATGCAAGGGCGGATTCACAATCTCGAGACTGAGCTTGCTGGCGCGAAGGAGGCCAATATCTCTCTCGCCCAGCAGAAGTACCAGATTGACCAGGACGTTGCCGGCATTCAGGGTGCTCTGGAGGCTTCCCGAGACCAGGTCAAGAAGCTCGTGGAGGAAAAGGTTGCCCTGCAAGCTCAGGTCGAGAAGGTCACTCCTTTACAGGCGGCCAAGACCGAGCTTGAGGGGAAGGTAGCCGAGCTGCAAGGCAGGATTGCAGAGTTGGAGGGCAAAGTCAGCCAGCTCCAGAACGAGGCTGGCAAGATTCCTGTTCTGTCGAGCGAGAAGCAGGCTGCCGAGAGCAAAGTCGCTGAGGCCCAGAGCAAGCTCGCTGAGGTTGAGGGTCAGAAGGCTGAGCTTGAGACCAAGCTGGCTCAAGTTCGCGCCGAGGCCGCGAAGCTCCCTGCTCTTGAGTCGGCTAAGTCCGAACTCGAGGGGCAGGTATCGAAGCTTCAGGTCAAGGTCGCTGAGCTCCAAGCGGAGGTCGCCAAAGACCCTAACTCGGCTGTGGCGGCGCTCATGGCCCAGCTTGACGCGAAGACTCAGGAGATATGCCGGCACGTTGAGCAGATCAATGTGCTGACAGAGGCCAACTCCGGATTGTCGACGCAGCTTGGTGCGGCCAGGCAGCAGCTCGAAACGACGCAGAAATTGCTCGACAACATGACGCAGTCTTACAACATGGCTACAAACCAGATCATCGAGCTTCAGCAGCGTGTAGATAAACTTTCATCCGGATCCCGCAGGTCGAGCCGTTCTCGTCACTCGTCGCCGCAGAAGAAGGACCGGGAAAGCAGCAAGAAGGACAAGCAGCTCGTCGTGGTGCGCAACCGGGAGGACAGAGGAGGGGCCCTGTCAGTGATGCTCCAAATTGCCGCCGGCATTTAACTCTAAACACACAGCACAACTACCAACCAGCCACTTCACGCAACCCAGCCTACCAATCACCCGACCAAAACCCGTTAACGCCAGCCCCCTTATTCTCCCCCCCCCCTTCTCCGTCATCCCGTCAGTTGTCGCATCCCGAGCCTGTTTGGAAACTGTACTTGCTAACCCGTGCGGTGTTGCCTCGTTACAGGAAACTTCTTACTCGCAAGGAACTGTGGAAGGGACGGTCCGAACATTCATCTTCCGAGAAAAGTCGATGCTGCAGCGGCAGTAGCTGCTGCTGCTCTTCTGCCAGCAGCAGTGTGTGCAGCAGCGCCCATTCGACCCCTCGCTCATCGTTCGACTCTCGCACTTCGAAGGGATCGTGTTGTCGGCACAAGGATAGATATTGATATGCTTCGTTGCTGCTCCTCATTCCGTCTACTTCCTGGATACGACATCATTGCCCTGATGCTCTCTTGAATTAAATGTCTGCCCGGAGCAGACATATGCGAGGATACCCACTACGACCATCGCAACACCGAAGACAACATACTCGGGTTCAAATGCTCTCGGGGTCGATAATAACGACATAGAGGAGGACACCGTGTTGACTAACTACCATACCTTGGGATGGCTATCTGCTGATTTGTCTTGTTCTCGCTGTATTTTTGTGTGGCTTATCTCGTTTCTTTGCTACTTTCGGTTTTGGCTATCTGATTTTTATTGTCGCATTTCGTTGTCTTAGATCTGGTTTTGATTTTGGTTTTGGTTGAAGCAGCTTATTGTTGTTGGTTTACATTTGGTGTGCATCCCGAGGTACAACCCTCCTTACTACCTTAATAACCCTGACCCGCACTACTTGTCATTAATAGTTCAACTTCCCGGGCTGCTTGTCCGGAGGCTGCTCTACGCATTTTTTTTCCCTTTTGTTTCGTTTATCTTGGATAGGTATCTGTCTTGTTCTTGATGTGATGGGTGGAGTTGGCACAATACCCTGGGATGTACAGACACCAACCACATCATGTAACTTTCCTTTTCTCTGTTTCTGGTTTGAACTTGGGTTAGACTTCGTGTTTTGGCGCATAGCCTCATGTTCATGATGACTTATGGCGCAATGAATGGACCAATTTCTTTACTCTCATGACATGATGAGGCTTGAGTGAGAAGAGAAAAGGATGGATGAATTGGACCTTGATGAGCTCATCAGATGGGGGGATGGCTTGGAGGGGCTGATACACAGATGTTGTCTATTTCAGTCTTTTGACGGGATGGGCTACGTGGTTGGCTTGCTGGAAATATGAAAGGACTGTGGGAGTGCAAGCGGTGTTTAATTGACGCGTCGTCGAATCTCTTTATGGGTGCTTGTGTAATGCGATGAGGGATGTCGAGTCACCTCATTGCTGGGTCTTTTTTGGATGGTGATGAACCCTGTACCTCTGACATGACCCAGAGATAAACATGTGGGTTGATGGTGGACTAGATCTGTGATTCCCTGGGGAGGTGTGGTCATGGTTAAAGGAAGCTTTCTTAACCATGCAGGTAAAGTGTAAAGGTATATCTGAGTTGTAGGGTTCTGTCGGATCTATCTTTTCTATATGGAGATGTTGTGTGCCCCTGAGTTGCCGTCAACAAACTTGTTTGCTGTGAAGTTAGCACTCTCCTACCTATCACATAAACATTGTCAGCAGATCAAAGATTCTTCAAGATAATATTCCGCGTGGAGTACTACCATCTCGGTGTGGTTATAATGGCATACTGGATGGTCAATTAATCGTTGAATACAGTAACACGTGGCACAATAGGACCACTCTTCCGATCGTAGAGGCACTGAAGCTCGCGGGTTGTCATTCAGTGCCTGGTAGGGCGAAATTCACGTGAGTTCTCTCTATCTCTACTCCTAATCAAGCCTCAAATGCCAGTCTATCCCCATACAATTGCATCATCTCAAAGCCTCGCTTGATCACCTCTGCTTCCCTCCTGTCCGCTATGTGCATGTGCATTACCAAGTTTACTTCCCTTCCCAAAAAAGATCCACCTCCTCCCCATCCAACCATTTCTCCATCTCTGTATACATTCTCTCCCACAGCTTGCCCCCTGCCGTAGGCAGGTGCACATCAATCTCATACCCCAGCCTAGCCTGCGCCGCGGCCAGGTAGCGATACCCCTGTGGATAGCGCGCCAGCTCGGATGGGGTGAACACAGGCGCGCGACGTCCGTCCACGGGGACGACTTTGTCCTTTTCGTAGAAGAGTTTCACGTAGCGGGTTTGCCAGATACCCGTGGTGGGGGATTTGATGCAGAAGAAGATGAAGCGGCAGTCGCAGTCGACGTCGAATTCGATGGGGGCTTCGGAAGTGTTTCCGTCAGGGATGTCTTCGGAGTCGGAATCAGGAGGGGTCACGGCGGATGTGACTCTACCCGAGGGGGTAAACTTGAAGCGATGGGTGATTGTGGCCTTCATTTTGCCGATGGCGCGACCGGCCGCGGAGTTGAGTTCGACGAGCGTGCCGCATTCGCGGTGCATGATGAAGACGCCATTGGATTTACCAGTTTTGGAAATCGTGATAAAGTCGTCTACGTGCTGGGGGCCGCTCCAGGCTAAGGAGGTGTTAGTCTTGTCCCCTATTAGAGGAGAAGGTACATACTGGTCCAGACAATGGCGTCCTCGGTGAAGAGGGAGCGGTAGTTCTTCCACTCAGAAGCATCACGGTAGACGGGCCAGCCCTTGCAGAGCTCTGAGATAGCCAGGCGATCGAGCAGCTCGGAGACGCTGCCGTTGTTGTGGGAGTAGATTTTGGTATGGGGATCCTGAGGGGAGGTCATGTTGAAGAACGTGGGAGTGTTACTGAACTAAGTGATGCTCAATGGTTTCTGGGCTGTTGATGACTGAGCTGAGTCAAGGAACTGAGCCAGAAGGATATTGAGAGAATTCATTAAACTTTTTGTGAAGGGCAAACGATGAGCAAGGCCTTAGAGGGTTTAAATCACCCCTATATATAGACCTTTCTCAGGCCCTCTTCCGGGCCCTCTCCCTGGCTCCAATGCTGATATCTCGTATCTTTGCGCAGGCACAGTGCAGGTATCGGACTTGAGGTGAAACTCCTATCGCGATATCGCCACTTAGAGCCCCGAAAGGCGCCGCGTGGGTAGTCAAAAAGGCTATGTTCAGACGAACTGATATCCAACATGGAGGGCACAAAGCGTGAAAACCCTTCGATCTAGAACACATTCGTCATTCGATCAAGAATTTCTGCATTGTACAGCAGTACGGAATGCCCCAGAACGGCACTGACAGGGCCAGAACAGTTTGCGGCAAACAGAGTGATTGGGTAACCCAGCATCCAGCGCCCGGTCAGGCACAGAACAAACAGGGCATGCGAAACAAGTTGCTTTTCTGTAGCACGTCTGACAACTCATCCGCAAAAAAAATCGCATAGGGATTCGCAGTGAGAGTCTCGGGGAGATCCGGAAGGAGTTCCGTATGGAACGGTGAGCTTTTCAGCTATGATTATGGTTCCCATAGTAAACCTGACTGAACATCAAGGGGGCGAATACGGGAATTTGTGCAGTGTGAAAAGATCTGGAAGGCCGAGTGGCTTGCAGTAGCCAGCCGCGGATGTTTTGAGGTAAGTACTTTGCATTGCAGTTGGATCAGAAAAAAAAAGAAACTGAACTGTACGATATACGGACTCGATCGTTGTGATGCTTTTGAGTCAATGATCAAAATGTGCGCGTGGTGCTCGATCACGTTGTGGAGTTTCCATTTAGCTACTCCATAAGGAGACGACAGATACAACTTCTAACTGACTGCATTCCTTTGCCCTCAAGTGAATGAGAAATTCAGCTATTTCTTTTGTTGTTCCTTATTTGACAATGTGAGCGATGTTTCCAACCCCTGAGCCAGTCGGTCCTTGTCGATTCGACGCTTCAGCATTGCGTACCTCAGATCAATTGCCCAAGATCTCGAGGAATGATTGGTAGTGCCTATATTGAGCCATGTGTTTTTGCTAGAAAACACATAAATTGACTACGAAGTGGTAGAAGAGCAAACACTCGTAGTGGCAAGGTTGAACTTCAGCTTTCAGTCGTCGTCCAAGTTTCTATGTTAAGATTTTAGGGGTCTATGCAACCAGAAAAGGGTTAGGGTTGTATACGATAGAGTCTGCCCCGCGCTGCTTCTTGGCGGCTGAGCCCCGCATTCGCAGTTGCCTGGAGAAATGGTGTGCTCGGACAGCTCTAGCTTGGCCTGCTCATTGGAACAGCGGCTGCTGGTTGGTGAGCAAGAGCGGGGCTGAAAGTCTTGATGCTATCAACAAGCAACCACCCCGCTGCCCGCCTCACTGACTACCTGCGACCTACATAATCTACTCTACCCGTCATCGTTGATCACTCATTTTTAGTCAGTGTTTCAATACTCCTGCCTAACAATGGCCCAAGGCGTCCACCACATCTCCTCCCAGGCTGAGTGGGACAATCTCCTCGCCTCGACGCGCTATGTCATCGCCGACTTCTTCGCGGAGTGGTGCGGGCCGTGCAAGATGATCGCGCCGCACTACGAGAAGTTTGCGTCGTCGCTCTCTATCCCGGGTTACCTAGCCTTCGCCAAGATCGACGTCGACAACGTGCGCTCCGTCGCCACGCAGTACGGCATCACCGCCATGCCGACCTTCCTGTTCTTCAAGGATGGTACCCAAGTCGCTGTTAATGGCTCGCCGATGGTCAGGGGCGCGGATCTGGGCACGCTGAAGGCTGCTGTGGATAAGATGGCTCGGTTGGCGAAGGAGAAGGCGGAGGCTGCTGCTGCTGCTGCTGCTGCTGGTTCGTCATGAAGATAGACAAAAAGGGAGAGAACGTGATGATATTTTTGTGTTGGATGGAAAGTTTAGTTTTCTGCAAATACCCAATGAACATGGAGTGTGGTGTCATAAAATGAAAGTTGTGTCGACGGTCAGTTGGGCGTTTCCGGTCGCACGGTCTATGCCTTTGTCCTTGTAGGATTGAGCCGGCCTGCTGGATCTTGTTGTCGACCTACTTCCTCTGGGCCAGACCAGACCTCAGGTTCCTCGGGTCCATACGTCAGGGGGTCAACGCGCCATGATGTCATCTCCCATCAGCAACTCGTCGCATTCCCACGCCCACGACTATCTCGGACACGGCCGCAAAGATTACGATCCATAGGAAACCTACCTGCTTCCGGGACCAATCAAGGTTTACCGTTTGAAGAAGTACAATGCCCACCTCAGGATCAAAGTCGATTGAATCAATAGAAGTTTCCCGATCGGAGTCAGAGCCAAAGAAACAGAGCACGGCCCGGCAGGCCATTGTCGCAACTCCAGGCCCTGGAAGAAACCAGGTTAACCTTCAGCCTTCTGAGACACGTGAGGTAACCCGGCGCACAAACTCCATCTCCAGCTCGACACGGGTGTTAGAGCCGAGCCGGGATCAAAGACGAAGGGGGCCTGCTGTTCGGCTGGACATGAACTTGGACGTAGATGTCCAGCTGAAGGCAAAGATCAGGGGAAGAGTTGAGCTCTCTTTGCCGCAAGTTAAGTCATCCGACACCCTCTGCTCTGTTCTATGCTAAATCGGGCTGCTATCGTAGGACTGATGAAGGAGGCGGCCGGCCACGCGACACAGGACAACGGCAATAGCGGTTTGCTGGCATCCATATGGACAATTCCTATCGAGCAGATATCGACCGGACACCTGCTTGACATTGAAAGAATGGATGAACGATATTCTCATTGTCTCGGCTTTGTCACATATCTACACGAAAGATACAGTTGACTAGCTGCGCATCACACCTACCCAGCACGGTCAAAGTGTCATACTAAACATTGAAGTGTGATAGCTGATGCAAGTGTCCTTGGAGTTGTCATCATGTTCCCAGGCTTGGAGCACACCGGTGATCCAGAGCAGCCTGCTGTGAGCTAAAAAGGCAGAGAAACACAGATCCGTATTATCCATAGCAGAACTCCGCTGAAACCATCATCGCTAGCTATGATGTGCGCAGACCGTCAGGACGGACACCCCGGAGACCATGTGCCGGCACCGACGCAGACACGAGCAACTTCATGACTAGGCCATGGTACTGCTAGGGCTGCGCCACAACCTCCTGCTGCTGGTACTAGTGCTGTTGTAGCTGATACCACAAGCCCTGAGCCTAATCATGAGCTAAGGAGCCTTTCCAGAAAGCTGCAGATTCTGGCGTTGTGAGCTGTATCAACGTTAAGCTGTGCTGAAGTCGAAAATCGTACTCCTTGAATGGAGACCGTTGCCGTTCGAGAGAATGTTTTGGAACTTTTGGGACCTTGCCCATCAGGAATAATTGGTAAAGGAGAGAGTGTCTCCACCGAGACAGGGCTTAAGGTCAAGAAGGTAGCATATGACTTCGTCGATGGAACGGGAGAGCAGGCATCATAATCGTGATGGAGAACGGCATGTGAGGACACGAAGGACACATAATGAGTGTGTTCGACATCGGGTTTGGAAGAGAGCAGATCATGTAAGAGAATGTCCTCAGGATGTCAGTCTCCAGAGTTGTGTCCAAGACAATCAAGCCTGGGAAATCTGTCCGCTAGAAAGTTTCTGCCTTTTCGGTGGGAATATCTTTCAAATATTTTGTTCCAGAGCAATCGTACAGTCGTTTGTCTCATTGAAGTTGAAGAACTGTGTCTACCGTTGTACTATGGAGTGTTCTCTCTCGTTCACTTGCTGGAGGGGCGGATGCCGAGTCATGACCCCATCCCCTGGATCCTACACTTTCCCGCTGCTTCCTCCAGACTGACGTCTGCCCTTCAAAGGTATTGAAACTCTGCAAATCAGTTTTCTTAAAACTGATTTCCTAGGAATGAACAACAACGGCGGAAAATCGCCCGAAACCTGCCAAGTCGCAAACGAACTCTCGCCCCTGATCGTTCCTGACTCAGCCTCGGCCCTGTCTCTCCGAAACTCCCCACCCCGCACCCCACCAAAACCTCAAATTTCCCTTCCCTCACCCACAGCGGAACCCTCACCGCTGCTCATCATTAGCCAAACCAGCTCCACCCCCCAACAGTCAAATAAGAAGCCCGCATGGCTCAGTGGTAGAGCGTGACACTAGTATGAATATCCCTTATGGGTTCAGAACAATGTCAAGGTCGTCAGTTCGATTCTGGCTGTGGGCATTGGAAGGATCCGATAGGAGTGGTTGCGATCTTTTTGAGAACTCCTTTTCTATTTTTCCTCGTCAGCAACAATTTAGCGGCAGTTCGAGATAGACAGTGCTACAATGGAGAAAATGCTCATATTTCCCCCCTTCTTGTACCTATATTAAGAGAGTAAAAATCATAGTGATCAATCTTCTATTGTAAGCCAAGCTGAGAGAGCTCTCATGTAACTAATTTGTCCATAGTGACAAACTACTTAAATAAACACACAGCTGTTGAATAGAACTCATTACGTCCTCAGATGTTACACAGATGTCCCATATGTGAACTATATCCAGTGTCAAAACCATTAAGTTTCAAGCAGTCCACATCTTACTCGTACGTTGAGTCAAAGTTCAAAACCTATTACCAACTCTTTTCCTATGTCATATCAAATCCACAGTCAGGGCATAACCTCACTAACAAGCTTGAACCTTCACCACTCCCATCCTTGCCATATCCAACATCATCGTACCTCTTCCAGCTTACCGTACCCCCCTTTGAAGTTCCTAACCCTCTAGCCCCCCGCCTCACTGCTCGACGCCTTCGAACTCTTCCTACTAAAACTCACGCTCCGAATACTCATTCCTGACCACCCCCCGCCCCTCGGCCCGCGGTAGTGGATCCGTATCGACTCATGATACTTCCAGATAAACCAGAAGAAGGCGGCGAGGAAGAGGGTCACGCAGACGACTGTCACGGCGATGATTGTAGCGTTTGGGCGCGAGGGGATTGTGCTCTTCGGAGGAGGGGGATGGGGTCGGGCTGGGAGAGGAGGACGTGCCAGTGGGGGGTGTGGCTTGGGGTTGTGAGAAAAGGATGTGGTGCGACTGTGTGGAAGGCTGGTACTATTAAGTTGCCATGATAAGGAGATTGAGTTTTGTCATCAGGATTGTTGTATGGCTTTTGTGAGTGTATTGAAGTGCTGAGAGTCGTGGGAATAGTAGTTGCAGTCACCGTCGCAACAGTAGTAGGCTCGCGCTGCGAAGGCGCTGCCGGCAAAAGAACCTCGCGTAGAATATGCGGTATTGGTATGTACATTTGATCGAAAGGTTGGAGCGACACAACAGCACCGATACACAGCAGATGTCTAGATTCAAACCGCTCAACGTTGACAGCTCAAGACTCAGCGGGCGTCTTGTGGCAGAGTTATGAGACGGCGATTGGACATCGTGTCTGAGCGGGGGAGGGGCTTGTCGCGGTCATCGGGACACCTATGAATGTAAGGTCGGTTAAGTAGGGAAGTAGACTGGCAAAGATTGTGGAATTGTTGGCGTGCCGATAGGAAATCTTTTGGGGAGCATGAACCTAGCTCATCAACCCGGAACGAGGGTTTTGCAGGCTTTTTAAATTGGGAGCGGTTAAGATCTTTTCTGCTTAAAGCTGTCGTGGTTGCGTCCTCTCACGTTCTGCTCTGCGGATGGCTGCCAGGTGCTGGTGCATCACGGAGAATGTGGAGGGAGAGCTGCAGTGACATCACCCAGGCGAACTGTCACTGGCTGGGTCAGCCCCCTAGCTGCATGGAAAGCTTGGTCAGTGTGATAGGGATTTGAAGGATGAATGCTTAGCTGCTGTATGGCCGAATGATGGACGGGAATCAGTCCTCGACTCCTCTCCCAATCCGGGGCCCCATAGTTCCCGGCCATCAGCGAATCGTTGATCTTCTAAACTGCAACCCAACGGTATCATCCAGTAGGTACGCAGAGTCCAGCCGTGACTCAGAAAAGATGCAGCTAGCTGATATTGTCTGAACTCCCAAAGATAGCGCCACGAGTTTAGGATAGGTTCTCAAGGGCCCTGCTGAACTTCCTTGAAATGTTGAATTGAAGATCGCGTAAGCTGTTTCAGGAGTGACAACTCATTGGAGCCCAACGCGATGTGGATAGCGGGCTGCGTGATGACAAAATGAGGCTCTCCAGTCGATCTCGTGGGGACCAACCTTGTATTGTCTTTGACTCCGACGGTTCGCCATATCGGGGCTCACCCAATCTTCCTCATGCGGGGTAGCAGAGACTTCACATTGTTCCTGTTGTTGGCGCGCTAAGTCGGTCTCCATGAAGGCTGAGACGTACAGTTTCAACGGATATGCATCAAAACTTGACAGGCAGCATACACTGACGCTCGTACGACCTGCGAGCACCAACGCCAACTGTCACAATGCTTTTCATGGTGATCTCCGTAGGTTAGGGACGAAGCGGGATGCTGCAAACGATTGCGTGCTGGACTAAAATGTGCACAAATGCTTGGCAAACGCGAGTCTTGTAATGATAAGGATTAGATACGACAGTCTAACGTTCACACGATTAGGCACTTGTCGCGCATGCTCCTGACCTCCTGCAGCCAATTCGTCTTCTCCGGGCCTGCTGGATTGCTGTCTCTCGCCTGCCACAGGCGGTTCAGCATCTCAATGGCCGTGCGAATGTAGCCCCATGGACAGATCCATGGATTCCTCGCCCACACAGCCTCCAACCGCTCAATACACCACTGTCGCTGCTTCGGATTGTCGGTCTGAGCGCCTGCCATAAATGTCGGCCACACGGTTCCCTTGAGGAGGACGTGATCGATGGGCACACCGGCTAGGTGGTTGAGCACCTCCTCGACAAGCATGTCCGGTGATAAAGAACCTGTTGCGGCTTCTGGCACGGCAAGCAGCACGTACAAGCAGGCTGTGGCGCGGTGAGCCAGAGCAATGCTTACGCGAACGGGTAGGTCGTCGTTCGGTGATAGGCCACGGATGCTGTAGACCCAGTTGACGACGTCAAATGTGCGAGCTTGTTGGAAGAGCATCAAGGCTGCTTCGATGCGACCCTCGTCACCGAGACAGCTCGCTGATAGGATAATGCGGAGAATGTCCGGAGGGCAGCAGTGGTAACTGTATGGCTCAGCCCTCTTAAGGATTGAGAACAAGTCAACCAACTCTTTTTCAGCCCGTGGCGGCAAGGCTACGCCGCTGATGGCAGCACTTAGCACGCGGTAGGTCAAACAGTCGGCTGCGATGGCGTCAACGAGGGTCACAAGCGAGGGATCCATCATCTGGGCCAGCTGATGCACAGAAGACATGAGAGCAGTAGCTGCTTCAATATGAGCCTGCCAGCCCCCCTTACCGGAGTCAATCAGGTCTACGTTAATGAGGAAGACGGTTGCGGCCAAAACCATGGCCTGATTCTCGGGACGGCTCATCAGGTCGCTAATTGTTGTCCGCAGTAGTCTGATAGCTTTGTCCTTGGCCACAAGCGCATCAATCAGTTCTGTGCGGGACGGCTGGTAGGTTTGACGGCTCCCATGCAGCGAGGCCATATGCATGGCCCCCGTGGCCACGATGATGGCCTCCAAGAAGTCGAACTTCCCTGACAGAGGCACCAAGGTCCGGAAGGGGTTCCGATCATGCTGGTCAACAGATACTAGGTCTTGGCACACAGCCGTCGCGACTAGAGCAGAAACGAATACTGTGAGCAAACTGGACTTAAGAAAGCGCGATTGGGGGCTGAGACGACTGTTAGAACGTACAGTGGTGGATGTAATGCCGTGACTTTTTGTCAAGAGTAGCAAGAAGCGGGTCAAGCAATGTCTGATGGAGAACCAGGGCCTCGTTTTCATCCGGCTCTCTTGGCGATGTTATCGGCGGCGGCGAGCCGAAACGACCCCCGGCGAGCTTGCCGCGGATGGCGGGACCATTGGCCCACCGCAGGACGGTGCCGTAGCCCAGACACTCCTCACCCGAAACCCAGCATTTTCGACAGGTCGGACGGGAACGATCACATCGCAGGCGTCGGCGGCGACAGTTGTAGCACGGAGGGCTGCAAGACTGGGACGATGCAGGCCGCAGGGCAGTGGACGTGGAGGCGGGTGCAGACAGAGCTCCTGCAGAGACACGGCTAGGCCCGGGCATAGACGTCGTCGCGCTTTTCTCACGCGTTGCTGGATCGCGTCTTCATGCCAGGCCGGGCATGGGCTTCCGGATTGGATGTAGGGGGTTGCTTGTTGATGCGTGGCGACACTGGCTGCTGCTCTAGCACTGTGCTTGGTACTGAATCGGGAAGGACGAGAACATCAACACCCGTTGATGCGTTGCGGAGCAGAAACACGCAGCGTTGTTGGGTTCCGATATTTCAGGTGCTGCCGATTGAAGTCCGCTTTTTGCCCCACTTTTGCTGGGTCCTTACTTCTGGGCCCCTCGAAGCTTTGCTGGTCCCACCTGACGGATGCGCTAAGCAGAATACGGGAAAACGTTAAAGTCATGTGTTGGGTACCTTGAGAGACTTCAAGCTGCGCTGAAGATTTTCATCGCAGCGACTGAGCTGTCTCAGTCGGCATAAATTATCGTCCACATCTAAAACGCGATTATGATAATGACAGGCATATTAATGAAGATATGTCATCCTGAATCCTTCCTCGCGCCCTTGACGTGACGTGTCTGCCGCGCAGAGATCCGTGCCTGGCCGACGGATCCCATCTTGATCTCAAACTCGTGGCGCTGGGGAAGTGGGTCTGCCCTAGGCCGAAACTGGCACTAAATCCTCAGCTCTTGCGTGTTTTCGTCATCTTATCCATGTGCTTGGGCAAAATCCTGACTACCAAATTTTATGTTCGACATCACCGACTCCAGAACATCGATCTTTGCAATGCCGTGACAGTTCTAGAAATATGAGACACTCTTCCGTTTCCCTGCCGGGCCTGGCATCTATCATAAGACCGGAAGCTGCATCATCGGCATTTCTCCGTCATCGACATGGACCGCACCGATGAGGAAAACCGCCCGGGGCCCGATGACTCGAACACCAGCCCCGAGACCATCGACCTGGAGGTTTTGGGCCGTAAGAGGCCAGATGTCTTCCCAAACACCTTTTACGAGGTGTTGTTCTGCGGCGCCCTGCTGGTGTCGATGTTGATGTCGGTATGTTCTCTTTAAGTCCTCAGGTCATTCATTTCCCTCTTTGAGCTCTTAAGCTAACACGTCCAGGAATTCTTCATCTCTGGCTTTAACATCATCCTGCCCAGTGTGTCAGAAGCCCTGGATATCCCCAAGAGCGCTCAGACATGGCCTTCCAGTGTCTTCTCACTCGTCACTGGCGCCTTTCTACTCCCATTCGGCCGCCTGGCTGACATCTACGGCGCCTACCATGTCTTTAACATCGGCTTGGTGTGGTTCTCCGTCTGGAGCCTGATCTCTGGCTTCAGTACCAACTACAAGATGCTGATTGTTGCCCGTGCTCTCGGCGGTTTGGGCCCTGCAGCCTTTCTCCCGACCAGCATCATGCTGATGGGCAAGACTTACCGCCCGGGACCCCGGAAAAACCTTGTCTTTGGTCTGTATAGCGCCTTTGCTCCGATCGGCTTCTTCATTGGTATCATTGTGGGAGGCGCTGTAACCCAGTTTTTGTCGTGGAGATGGTACTTCTGGCTGGGCTGCATCGTTACCTTCCTTGTCTGCGGCGCCTCGTATCTCACCATCCCCAGAGATCGCAAGCAAACCATGCTAGAGAACTCTCATGTCCGCATGGATTGGTGGGGTGTCATTACCATCATCCCAGCCCTTATCCTAGCTACATTCGCCATAACTTATGGAGCCCATGCCCCCAACGGCTGGAAGACGCCGTACATCATTGTCACTTTTGTTATTGGTGTTCTTTTGCTATTTGCTTTTATTTATGTCGAAGGTTGGGTTTCTGAGCAACCACTGTTACCCTTCGATTTGTTTTCGCCCAAGTATATGGGCCGGATGACCGTTGCTTTGTTCTTTGCTTATGGCGTCTTTGGTATCTTTTTGTTCTATGCTAGTTTTCAGTATGTTCTCCAAATTCCTTAGTTGAGGGTGCAAGATGGCTAATCTTTTCCTAGCATTTCTGACTACATGGGAGCGTCTGCCCTGAAAACGGCCGTCTGGTTCGCCCCCATGGCGGCTGGTGGTGTTGTGCTCGCCACAGTTGGCGGTTTCACTCTCCATCTCCTCCCCGGTAGGCTCTTGCTCATCATCTCTGGCTCTGGGAGTCTTGCTACATGCATCCTGTTTGCCCTAGCGCCGAGGGATGGCAATTACTGGGCCTTCATCTTCCCTGCCATGCTCGGGGCCACTATTGGTGTCGACATCACTTTTATCGTAAGCAATGTCTTTATCACGACCAATGTTGCTCGGCATCGGCAAGGCTTGGCCGGTGCTCTGATTAACAGCCTCTTGTTTTTGGGTATCAGTTTCTTCCTTGGTCTTGCCGATCTCGTTGTCGCCGAGGATGAGAACCGGGGCGGCACTCTGGGCCACAAGGTGGCTTTTTGGTTTGCCACGGCCTCAGCTGCTGTGGTTCTCGTCATTTTTGCTACCATCAAGATCGGCAAGGCCGAGAGCGACCTCACTGTTGAGGAGCGCATGCAGCGGGCTGCTGCGCAGGGGTCCGAAAAGACCGAACCTCTCAGTGATGCCATGGAAAGCAGCGACTTGACAAATAAATAGTATATATTTGGTCATAGAATAGATGATAAAGTTGGATAGATCGATGAATAGCACATAATTCTCCTCAGATATTGGCACTGATCCTACAGTTCATCTCTCTCTCGTTCTTCCTCAATTTCCTTCCTCTTCTTCAGGCGCTCTTCCCGAAGCTGCTTCCGTTCATGACGCCTGACTGACCGGTACAGCTTCTCCCACATTTTCCTTGCCCGCTTACCGTCCTCAGTTTCCGTTACTGACATGGCCTCGATCGTGAACTGCATGTCCCTCTTCCCTAGGTCGCGACGCGGCTTTGTGTGGTCGATCGGCCATGCGAGGATCGAGTGATCGACTGCTTGGCTGCGATAGTTGGCAAGGTTTTCAAGTTCACCTACTACTGGTCAGTGATCCGTGATGCGGCTCTCATGCAAGCTGTTAACTTACTCTCACACCCACTGCCTTGCGACACCCACAGTGGTAGAATCTCATAGATGGAACCAGCTGCAAACACCACGATCTTGTCCTTGTCAGCCACATCGACTATATTATCCTCCATCAAGTGCACATGGCTGGTCCCAGTTTGCCCCTGTTCCTGCGGGCTATGGGCCTCCATCCCTGGCGTAGTAGACGCAGCATCTGCCGAAGGTGTCTCAGTAGTAGTCATAGCAGCCTGCGTCGCAGTCGAAGTAGCAGCCGGCTTCGCCGTCCTCTGTGCCCCCTTCGGTCTAACCGTCCCATACACCTTCTCCCCCTCATACCTAGGCTTCCTAAACACTCCAAACATCCACCTCTTATAATTCTCCGGATCCGCAGTCCTCTGCTGCTCCTCAATCCATTCCCTCACCCTGCTCGGCACATCCAACCACTCCATCATGACAATCTCCCTATCCTGCCCCTTATGATCCACACCATCCCACGTCCCTGGGTACTCCCTCTTGGCCAGGAAATCCTCGATCGCGTCATGCCAGGGTGCCAGGCCAATCGGTGGCGGCTCGGGCAGATCCTTGAGTTTGTACATATTCGCGTGGAAGGTCCGCTTCACACGGCAGTTGACATGGAACCCTCCTGGGTCGGTACCGTCGTCTGGAAAAGAACGTGACCATTTGAATGTGGGGACTACACCGTACTCGTAAACATCCCAGTTTATGCCAGCGTGGATGGGAAGGGGAAGGGCGAAGAAAGGGAGGATGCTGCGCATGGTGGTTGCTCTTGGTGCTGCGACTCGGGGTTCTCTGGGTGTTCAGTTTGGAGTTTGCGGTGTATGTGCCAGGAAAACGGTTAGTTTAAGTCGAGCTGAAATTGTTAACCCCATCGCTTTGGCTGGTTGAGTGCTGTGTTATATCATCGTGCGTCGGCATTTGTGACATGTGGTTTTCCTTTCGGCTATTAAGCTGGGCGCAACCAAGGTTCCCCCGCATCATCGCCATTGCTTTTTGCCGGTAGGGCAAACAGTGCCATTGCCTAATTTGGGGTGTACTAATATGAGATCATCAAAACACGTGTCCAGAACAGCAAATGTTCTAGAAATTGGGTGAAATGACGAGATAAGGACGAGTGTTGTTGTTGCAAACTTGTCTATAAGATCGGCTGGAGAAGTTAGGGAACAACTTTGGTTTCCAAAGCCGTTGGGGAAAGAGGGGTTATGAGTTGGACTGCATTAACTGCAAAGAAACAAGCGTGGGGTTTCTACTCATAAGATATGATATATGAAAGCCCCGATACCGAGGGCTCAGGCAACGCCGCAATCAACATATGTTGGAAAGGAGCCTCTGCGTTTCATGAGTGACGTTGGGAGTTATTAAAGAGAAGTCAATAAGCCAAGAATTTTATCGAACATTCATGAAGAGGGCAATTTTGCTCTTGAAGACAAATGGGAGCAATGCAGGGGAGGGCAAAAACGTTCTCTTGGAAAAACTCTCTTGAACTATCTCAATAGACTCTCGTACATATTTTGTGATGTTTGATACCTTCCTCCTCCTCCTCCTCCTCTCGGTTGTCCCCTACATGAACGAGAAAGGAAGTATTTCTGAATGCGTCTAGGTCCCGTTAGCTTCTGAGCGCAGGACGGGAGGTTCCTGACCACCAACTCTTGAATGTCGTCCTGAGATCTCACTAAAGCATTGAATCAACCGGGGAAAAAAAAACCAAGTGCCATCAGCTGACGTCAGTTGAGACTTTTCAATAGTTTCCTCAACTTCTCTTTGCTAACTTAGTGGAGTTGACCCAGCACACTCCGATGTCAGTGCTCAATAAGCACAGATCCAGCTGGGGGCTCTTGAGAGCGCTAGACATGCAACACTAGCATGCAGCGGACTCTGTTCTTATCAATTAAAATCCATTCTATGCAAACCTTCAATATAAAATCAAGTTTCGCGATAACGGTTTTTGGTGGGTGATTATGTGGAGCACTACCGATCAAGCTCGGTGCTACTTTCCAGCGCGCCGATCAACTTCGTGTCTAGCATCTGCAAATAGGGAAGGCCAAGTAGATCTTCACTCCTTCCCCTCGGCTGCAACGCACCAGAACGGAAGGTTACACTGCACAGTAGGTATCATCAAGCGTCAGCACGTTGAGATTGGCCCCAAGTATTGATGCTCATTTCACCAATCGCCAGTTTACATGCGTGCTCGCAGCATCTTGTGGAGTGTAGATTGAGCCGCGACCAGAGCCCTCCTTCAGCATGCTACGCGTCCCGTTGTCTCGGTTATCGGCTCGTTGTTGGTATTATAAGATATTATATGGGTATATGTAGAATTGCGACGGTCGAAACCATTCAGCGTTGTCTTACGGTTGCACTGGCGACTGTCGTCGAGGGTGACAGGTTTGCCGGATGACCTCATCTTGGATACGCAAACAGTGAAGTTGACGCTTTCATATCAACCTCGCCGCCGGTCTTAGGTCTCTTCAACATCTTCCACGACAATTTGTGATGAGGAGCAGTCAAGATCAACACAGAATTCTCCAAGCAACATCTTAATGGTTTCACAATGATCAAACATCTTCTCACAGCTGCCTTTCTGGCTGGCGGCGCCATTGCCAATATAGTCCAAGGCAAAGAAGACATGCTTGTGAGTCGCAGACTCTCAAAACGATTCTATGACGATGCCGGCAACTACAACATCTCCTTCTACCACATCAATGATGTCCATGCCCATTTGGACCAGTTCTCCTCTTCTGGAACAGATTGCACAAAGCCGGAAAAGGGTTGCTATGGAGGGTATGCTCGAGTGAAAACCGTTCTGAAGGAGACCAGGCCATCGCATCCGGATTCTCTGCTGCTCAATGTCGGTGATGAGTTCCAGGGGACGATGTTCTTTACATTTTATGGGGGAGAGAAGATCGCTGAAACGCTGAACCACATCGGGTTCGATGCCATGAGTATGTTTTAGGCTTCTTCCCTCTTCCCCCCCCCTTCCCCCAAACAATTGTGCTCAGTGATGCAACGGAACCAAATGTAAGTCTAACTGCGTGTTTAGCCCTGGGCAACCACGAATTCGACCGCGGCGACGACCACCTCGGCGAGTTCCTCTCAAACTTGACCTTCCCCATCGTCACGGCAAACATCATCACCGATCATCCGGTCCTCAACCGCACCATCAAACCGTACCATATCTTCCCCGAGTACGACCTCGCCCTGATCGGCGTCACGACCGAGACCATCCCCGACATCTCTCAGCCCGGCGACGGCACTAAGTTTACGGACCCCGTCCAGGCCGTGCAGGCTACCGTCGACCACATCCGTGCCACGACCAACATCACTCGCATTGCTGCCATTACTCATATCGGGTATGAAGAGGACCAGCGCCTTGCACGGGAGACCAGGGGTCTGTATCTCATCATGGGCGGCCACAGCCACACCCCTCTGGGCGACTTCGAAGGCGCGGAGGGCCCATACCCCACGATCGTGGAAAATGTGGACGGCGAGGAGATCTTTATTGTGACGGCGTACCGCTGGGGCGAATATCTAGGATACATTGATGTCACCTATGCACCGGACGGCAGGATCCTGGCGTATCACGGTGCTCCGATCCATTTGACGAATACCACGAAGCAGGATGAGGAGCTGCAGGCGATGGTGGATGAGTGGAGGGAGCCGTTTGAGGAGTTTTCGAAGCAGGAGGTTGGGTATTCGAATGTTGAGTTGGATCAGTCAGCTTGCCAGCTGAAGGAGTGCCTTCTGGGTGATTTTGTAGCTGAGTATGCCCCCTTCAATTTGTGGATTGGTGTGTCCTGAGGACTGACATGGTTCACAGCGCCATGCTCCAATACCGTCTCAACAGCAGCACAGCCGAGAATTCCCCAGATTTCGCACTCATCAACGCGGGTGGCATCCGAGCGACCATCGACGCCGGCCCCATCACCCGCGGCGAGATCTTGACCGCCTTCCCCTTCGGCAACGCCATCGTTGAGGTCCCCGTCTCAGGCGAGCGCCTCTGGAAGGTCTTCGAGGGCATTATTGCCGGTCTTAACGTCGAAAACGGCAAGGCAGTCACATCCTTCGTACAAGTAAGCAAAGGCGTTGTGATCAAGTACAAGCCGGACGAACTGCAGGAAGGTGCAGGTAACTATGGCAAAGGCAAGCTCGTCTCTGTGAAGATCAACGGCAAGCTCCTGGACAAGACGAAGCAATACAAAATTGTCACGCTGGACTTCATTGCGACGGGTGGAGATAACTTCTTCAGTGAGAAATTCGATAACTTGGTGCTGCTTGATACCCTGGATGAAGTTGTTGTTAAGCATATTGGGGCCGTTTCACCTGTTGAGATTGCGTTGGAGGGGAGGATCAAGGAGGTTAGTGACTCATGCAAGAAGAGGAGGAAAGCCAGGGGCCTAAAGAAGCGGGCGATGTAGATGTGGTAATGGTTGTGTAAGAACGTTTAGTGTATCAATGTAATTATAACACTTCGTTGTACCCTTTAAGCATTTATCCATTCATTCAATGGTTCATTATCACCCATGTCCCCTCCGATTAGCGACCCCTCAAGGCAAGCATGTCAGCATATGCTGCAACTTCTGCAACACAATCGCCTGCTTTTCAGCCGGAGCAGTCGTCTTGTCATTCGCATCCCCCACGCTCACCGAAATATAGCACCCGCTCTTGGCAGTAACCTCCAGCTCAGAAGGCAACCGCTTGCTACCACACCACTCAACGTCATCCCCAGAAAACACACCCAGGTTAACCCGGCTCAACACCCATTTAAACTTCCCGGGAGAGTTGCAGCTCTCACTGACCTCGGGGAAGTTTACGTTAAGGAACACATCCTCCGGCAGGTACGGCTTGCCGCTGGAGATCACTGCATTAGTCAGGTTCGCCGCTAGGTCTGCGTACACCAGGCTGCGCTGCGGCACCGGCGACGTGTTCCACGCAAGCGTGCCCGTCGATTTTCCGGAGAACGCGATCGCGGGGATTTTAGCCTTCTTTGCGGCGTAGGTGGCCGCGCCGACTGTGCCGGAGATGTGGTCGGCGAGGTAGATGTTGCTGCCTACGTTAGGACCGGTGACCGCCAGTTCGGGGAGCTGCCCGTTCCAGAACTGGGGAGCGATTTCGTTGATTCCGTAGCGGATGGAGGTGACGGGGAAGGAGTTGACCCAGTTCAAGCGGGGAGAAGACTCGTTGCGGCCAGTGCGTCCGCTGTTGGCCGGACAGCTGTTGTATTGACAAGGGAGGAGGCGTGGCCAGGGGTCGAGGTCGAGGGATCCTGAGGAGGTTAGAGCGCGTGTTGTTATGAGATGATGCATATAAGTGATTGATAGCGTACCTGATCCGGATTTGTTCTCTGCCGGAGCGGACAAGACGACGTCATGACCGGAGGAGACAAGGGCGTCGTAGAACGACCGGGTGTACAGCTCGGCCCATCCGTCATCATTGGAGTGAATGATGCGGATGCCCTGGACGCCCAGAGTAGGAAGGAGGGTTATCCCTCCAAGCAAGGCCCAGCTTCTCATGGTGTTAGCAATAGACTTGATCTTGCGGTCGTCGCTCTGAGACCAACCCACCGCCGCCCACCTATCTCATAACTGGCAGCTGGTTGAGATACTAGGCATATTATACCTCTCCCAGCATGATCTCAATCATATGAACACGGAGCGTTGCACCGTTTGTTTGAAGTTGCAGCCATTTGGCGCCTCTGTGGCACCAACGAATCATCGTGCATCATCACTTTTTACCCCTGAGCGCGAAAATACAAACCTAAGCCACAAAGGACCCAACAATACAACCCCTTGCATTCGGTTCGACCCTGTATCAAGGAAGGCCGTCCACACGTGCCAGTAGCATTGGAGAGATTCAATTTTTAGCATTGCTTGCGTTGCCAGTGTTGTGAGGTAATCCCTGTTGCTGGTTGCAGTCGGCTACCTCTTAGGATCAATGGCAGACATGACCTTGGAGGCCGTGCTGTCGCAGGTGCTGGTTGGTCAATGCGCAGGGCTGCTAGAGCCTCCTGCTGCCTGGAGGGTTTTCTCGATCCTTGCGAAGAGCAAAAGCCAAGCCGTCTAACAAGATGGAGATCTGAAGCGCATGGACAACAAGTTATTGAGACTTCTGAGAGGTTGGTATGAAGGAAACTATTGATCAGTGTTCTAGGTGAAAGATAGCTGAATAAGGCTGGACTTCAAAGGTTTGCGCGGTTAGGGATTTCCAAGTAGAAGGTTGCAGCGAGCGATCGGCAACGTAAAGGACCTCGCGATCGGTAGTGCAATGCTCTCAATCTTGATAACTACAAAGGAAAGTATCATTCAATATTCCTATTCCAATGTCATTTGTCCCTAGGGTATCATTAGGCGAGTCATTAAACAATATAGTTGTGTCCGTAGAGTACGATTCCCAAGCATCCAGTTGTCCATTGCCTTGAGTGACCTATCCGAGGCTGAAACCCTAACCCTTGCCAAGACCATCCGTTGTCTGTGTCTGTGTGGCGCTTCGGCACAGCGTCTACCCCACAGTGGGGCGCTGGAGCCATCGTTTGCCACGTGGTTTGGAAAGCCCAAATGAATGGGTCTGTCAACCCTCCACACAACGCGCCACAAACGCTCAACTGAGAGCGCTGCTGTTCCTTTACCGCAAATTGTACCGCTCCTCTGTTCGAGGCCGACGACTTCTCACCACCCTGGCTGCTTCGTCGCCCGTAGCTGTTCTTGGAGCTGAGCAGCCTCCTCTGCGCGCAGCTCGGTGGTGCTGGTGTGGAAGGACCGCTCCTCCAAGATGATGTATTTGCCCGCATCCTCGTCGACCGTGTCGAGTGCCGTCATGCCCAGCGTGCCGCTCTTGGTGCGTTTCTTGCCCTTCGGATAGGAGCCGATAGTAACGATAGTGCTGTTGTTTTGACCTCCAGTTTGTTTTCGATCGCTCCGCCTGGGCGTGCTGCCGAGGGCTGATGCGCCGAAGATCTTCTTGATAAGCGGGAAGAGAGTCGGGATGCATGCTCTGTCCGATAAGTTAGCAACTGACTCTCCATTGCGATATAATAGCCAGGCTTCGTCTTAAAAAGTCAAGAAACCTACCCAATGAGCACGCAATTACCCTCGATACTGCAAAAGTTAGCAAGGATGTTTAGGGTGACTGGAAAGGAGGTTCTCACTTTGTCCAGAGGACGACATCATCGACAGCATAAGTGAAGTCAACCAATGACGAAAGGCCGTCGAGGGTGTAGCACTTGTAAGAAGTAATGGCCGCGGCACTGGAACCTTGTTAGCAACAAGCTGGAGTTCAGCTTAAGTTCCATCGATACCCACCAATAACCGAAGCCCAACGCAGCCGACAAGCCCAGCTTCTTCTTCCAATTCAGTTGAAGCTTTGAAAGCACGATTGTCGGATACACGGCCAAGTATAAGTCGAAAAGCACTGAGCAGATACCCAGGGTCATGGCATAGTCGACTGTGATCTTTCTGTTCCAGCACTTCTCGATCGGCCCGTTCCACTGTGCCGACGGGGGATTGCACTGGACAAAGTTGATGACAAGCATACCGATCGAGAGCATGACGTAAAGGATCGAGATAATCCACATGATGATTTTGTGCAGTCGGCTTGGGTCGAGGATCTTGGCCAGCAGGATGACGACGGCAAGCTTCGGAATGGTAAACGACAGGACGCCCGGCACAAAGGAGACCACTGTATAGTAGATCGCCTTCGGGACGTAGTCTGGTGGGAGTGTTAACAGATGTCGCCCTCCACCATACTTGATTGCGAAGGATGCGAGAATCACATAAGCGATACTGAGAAACTGTTGTTCGGTCAGTCACACACTGTCTTTGCTGTTGAGTAATCGATCTAGCACTGACAACGCAAATGACGATGATATAATCATCAATAGCCAATCTCCCCTGGGAGATGAGGCGACTGTAGATTCTCCCAACAACAAAGAGGCCAGTCACGCCAGTAAGTGTGCCGGTGACAGTAAGAATGAGAGGCCCCTTGTTCTCATCAGCCCAACCCGGATAGGGCTCGACGAAGGCTGGACTCGTATCGTTCGACATGGTCAATATGTTGTGAAGTCGATATTTGAGCCTTGTGTAAGTGTAATCGAGTGTCGGTGATGTTACATGCAAGCTTCTCTACCAGCAGCCCCGTGGACAGCACCTGAGCCCCCGGGACTGGAGATCAGGGATATGGAGATCCAGAGACTTGGGTTCGCCGGCCTTTATCAATGATGGAGATTCGACAAATTCAGAGTGGCAGTTGGGGAGGAAGGAGGGCATCCACGACAAGATATCCGTAGCTCAGGGGCCTCATCAACCCGTGTCGTGAAACACGGACCTTTCTTCAAACACCAAGGACGACCCAGGCTGAGTGCTACCAACAAGGTGGGAAGGTGTTGTGTCCTCTTGAAATCACACAGTCCGTGTAGGATATATGACACATCCTCGTCTTAAGGGTATTTTTTGTGCCTGGGGGTGGCGAAATCGTCACCGATGAGCAAACACATTCCCATAACAGATAGCCTAAAGCCCAGCTCCATCATAGCCTCGCCCTCTTAGTGAACCACAGACACCAGTACCCGAGCACCTGCAGAGCGCACGGTCGCTCGCTTGAGCTTTGACAGGAGCCGACGCTTGCGATGCGCATGGCTAAGCTGCCCTTCGAATCCGCCGCTGAGGAACGGCGCATTTCTAGCTTCTTGGCACACTTTAGCTGGGGGCCGGACCTATGGGAGACGAGCAGCTACAGGGCCTAGTCTTGGTCTAGCCTGGGTCCTTTGGCCCTTCGCCTGGAGAACAGACGTCGCCGAGCGGACGCTGTAGGGCACCCTTTCCCATTCGCTTGTACATCATACGATTTTACCCGCTGGTTCCTGTCGCGGAAAAACACCGGTCCACCGATGAGTGTGCTATGGATCAAAGTCACTAACAGCACTGACGGCACTTGGCAGAACGGTCCGTGGTGTAAGACAGCGGAATGGGCCGTTGGCACAGAGCCTCATCTCCTCTTCAGGCCATGTTCCCTCGTCTCAACTTTTCCACTCCCTGTCTGCGCCGTCCAGAAGGCTGCAATGCGGTGAATATTGGGAGTACATGCGTTTGCAGAAGTCAAAACGCAGACGCACGGTTGTTTCGATGTCGGCTGCAGTTCCAACGACCGGATAAGAGGCTGAGCATGCCGCTCGGAACCTCTCGCCAAGAGACTCGCGAAGGAGCGAGGCACTGTCCAGCTTGGCCCAGACCAAATGGAGAAATTCCCCGCATGTCCTCGCCACATGGTCAAGCAGGCCATCTCAGTCTTTTTTGTTCGCCCTTGAGATCGCTTCATGTGCTGCTGAGGAGAACGGTACATCACTACATTGTACCTCAATATCTTCAACTAGTATTCCATGTTCATCGACGAGCTTGCAACGCATCGAGTCCTTGTCAACCGGATAATGGGTAAGCGACAAAATGGGCATCCCGGTGTCAGACCCTCTCAGAGGGTCTCTGCATCATCTCCAACCGCTTTGTGCTACCTCCTGGCATCTTTGGGATCTCGCTGACAGCTTACCGATAGCCTTCGACACACCACGAGATATTGGCGACTTGCTACCCGTGCCGGTGGTTAGGCAAGGTGCACACTGATTAGTGTCCTGCGACTCCATCTTAGCGGATGGGTCCCATTTGGGTCCGGTCGTCCTTCTGCAGATCATTTACATACCTTATTTTACTTGGCCGACCGGCCCCGGAAGTGCCGGCCTGGTCGCCTTTTTTTTACCAATTACAAGTATGCTAATTGATGGCTCAGCGTCTCGCCGCTATGGAGATGTGGTTCACACGCCAACGTTGAATGGGAGAATCTCCTCCGATGGTTGACTTCACGCTAGTTGCGAAGTGGCATGCTTAAGCTACACGTGAAGGCTTTTCAGAAGGTAACGACCTGCTGTGTAATCTGGTTGTCATATATATATCACGAGGAGGTGATTGATAGGGGCACTGGATATCCTCGACCCCGTTTGCCACAGACATACAGACTCAAGGGGACCTGGCTATTGAGAGGAAGGTGGGCTCTTGAGGTTGCTAACCCTTCTTTTCAGTAGCATTATTTCTGGCACTTTCTGCCTGCACCACCAACCCAGCTAACCTCACAAGTAACAGAATCTCCCACGAGAACGATGTAACAATAATCCTATATAGTGGTTGCACTACCTCCCTTTACTACATATAGTGTAGCCTGCACAGTCCAAGAGTATGCTTGGCTGAGCACAGGCTGTCGAATCGTCCACCGGCTCCAACCATTGCCAAGGTCTTATATCCAGATTGTTCCAAAGTACTGGGTTCTATTGTTGGGGCATCCTGGCTCCCAGATGCAGGCCGCGATGTCAACGTCAAGTAATCAGTAAGGCTTCCAACCAGCTGGCTGCTCAGACAAAAACCAAGGTTCCCGAACCCAGTCCCTCACTCATGCAAGGTTGATCTCAAATCCCACGTCAGCAGAGAAGACGGGAGATATAAGTAGTATCATCTGCGCTAGAAATGCTGAGATGCACAAGATCCTCGTCAACTGACTGCATACAGATATGGGCCTTCTTGGGTATCCATGTGAAGTGTTCTAGTCTCGCTTCATTCTCTTGTCGGCAGCCATTCACGGCCCACCTTCCTGTTTAACATGCTTCCCTGCTCCAGTTCTTTCGCCTCCATACTAGCCTGTTGATTTCGGATCATTACCCCTGAGCTTCTACGCGTCCAAAAGACCCAACATAAGCAAGGAAAGCGGGGTTAAGGCCCCAATAGGGTTAAGTACGTGGCATCGGAGCTTCGGCAGCATCCGGTATACCCCGAACATTTGCAGCCGCCTTGCATGGATTAGGCACGGCAAAGCAACCCGGCCCAGGCTCAAAGGGCAGAGCAATGCCTGCAATCTGCAAACGTTTCCAGGAAGCTCAAGTCTATAGCTCTAGTTCGGGCCGCCCCCTCACTTCCTCCAGCTCGTTTGACACCACACCCCCATGTCTTTGAGTGTTGGCGTGGTCTGTCCATTCCAAGCCGGCTGGTTTATCTCACCAGTCTGGCTTATCCATTCTTTTCAGGGGAATCTTGAGTAACATCGTCTTCACGTGGAAGCCATGCCAACAATTGCACTATAGGAGACCGGCGTCGCAGCATCTCCGCCTGGTCAGGGGCTCATCATGGCTGTTGGGGTCGGCATCGTCGGCACGGGGCACAGAGTCGCAGGTTAAATACCACTCGGTGTCCCGCTCGCTTACTGGTTGTGCCGCTTCATCCGGGCATTCTCCAACCATTACCAGATCGTGAAGCCCAAGGTCCGAGCTTCTACGTCCGTCTACCCGTTTTCCTCTTCTACCGCGCGTTTAAGCCTACCATCACTTCAATTGCCTGGGCGCACAGTCCTTCATTCACACATATCCAGCTCTTTCCCCAGACACTATCACACATCATGATTGGTCATCACCGTCTTGCGGCCCTTCTTTCCGCTGCCGCTGCTCTTCTTCCTTCGGCCTCTGCCGCCGCGGTCGCCTCTCCTGCTTCGTCTGAGCTGGTCGAGCGCACTCTCATTCCCCTCCCTTGCTACATCTTCGGTCCTACCGTGAGCCCCTGGTGGTTGAAGCTGTGCAAGCCACACCTCGACCTCGTCGTCATTGACCTGCGCTCGGCCGACGAGTATGCAGCCAACCACATCCCCGGCAGCTTTAGCCTGCCATTCGAGCCCGTCTCAGCCTGGAGCAACATGGGCCCAGGCGATTTGCTGCTTGAGATGCCACCCTCGGCAGACATCTTCGCGACGCTCGGATCCATCGGCGTGAGCAACCCCAACCCCGCCACCAAGGTCGTCCTCGTCAACGGCGTGGGCAACCCGGCCTTCCCCCAGGCCGCCTCACCCCGTGTTGCCACGACCCTGAAGTACGCCGGTATTTCTGAGGGCCGTGTCTCCGTCCTCGACGGTGGCTTCCCCGCCTGGTTGAGCGAAGGCTACCCCGTCACCACTGCCGTTCCCACGCCCACTCCGCGCACCTACACTGCTACTGAGGACCGCAGCTTCCTCGTCAACATCAGCTACGTCGCCGAACGCATCAATAAGAAGCACCAGCACATCTATATCATCGATGGCCGTGACGAGGCCGTCTACAACGGTACCATTCTCGAGGAATGGGCCGACAAGCCCGGCCATATCCCCTCGGCCGTCAACCTCCCCGCCAAGTATGTCTGGAACCCGGATGGCAGCTGGAAGAGCCCCCTCGAATTGCTTGCTCAGCTCCGTAGCAAGGTCGGCTATGGCGTGAGCCGCAGCTACGGCGAGATTATTGTCTACTGTGGTGTTGGCGGCTATGCCTCGACCTGGTATTTTGTCCTGACTCGCATTCTCGGCTTTGACAACGTCAAGATGTACGACGGCTCGGCTCAGGAATGGAGCAAGTATTATGATATGGAATTGTAATTCGGTTGTGGATTGTGAGAATAGCATAAGAGATACCCTGATAATTTTAGTTTTCAAATAACTACCGTTTAACAATTATCCGTTACAATCGAATTATTGATTCATCGCCGGCTCCTGTTCTAGAGATTTGGGCAACTCAATTTATACCAATATCCTCACAGTCCCCTTTCCCACATCCAGCAAACTGGTTTTGGCCCCGCCAAAGTCGAAGCCTACCAAGGATATCACGGCCTTAGGAACTAAGGTTCCCCGTGTTCTCATGAAAGATCGGTAGCGAGCGACAGTGTTCGATCTTGTAGATTTCGTCGCTGGTTGTGCAACTGGGAACCATAACTGAAAGCTGATATGGTACTATGTAAGGAACAACTTTGCGCTACTTTCATAGAGACATCGAAGGCTATCTACTGTCAGAAATGACCACTGGCCAGAATCCCGTCTGAGATCTTGGAAGGTTGTTCCATCCTAGCGGCTCCTCTACCTCTACCTCTGGAAAACACACCTGCCGATCGATATGAGTGAAAGTGTCCCCAGTCTCAAAGCCAGGAGTGATAGGGCTTAATACATTTCCCCCCTTGATCTTTGCTTCACTCTCCAGCAACAAGTTCAGTGAAACAAATGAGCCAGACCACAAAGCTGCATATTCTCTTGTCAAGATACCCATCCTGTTCGATAAGGCCAAAACATTTATTAGGTATGATCAGCACAAAGCCAGCAAGTGTCCGAAGTGGTGGTAAGGCTTTTGAATTTGTTGTGTTCTGTTGACTTTGCTCCACTTGTTGTCGGAGATCAAAGTGGTAAAGGAAGAAGTCTGCGACTTCTGGAGTACTTCATGTCTGTTTTCACGAGATGGTGGCTGCAACTGAATCATAATCTTTACGGAGGGCAAGATGGCGTGCTCGGACCTTTGGCTCTCCGGCAGAGGTAAATGAATTGGTCGCTCGCTTGAGATACCTAGGACCCCTGACATATTTTCTCAGGCTTTCGCCAACTCAAAGCATGGTATACGTTATTCCTATAATTCTGGAACCCAGGAGGGTAAGAAAATAGACATGCAATGCTCGCAGAGCATGGCATGTCTGCATGCTTTCCTGTATACACTAACAAATCGAAACTGTGACAATCGTACATAGCCCACACAGCCCAGTTAATATTAATATTATGCACGGGCAGTCTGTAATGCGGCTGGATGCCGTAACAAGGAGAAATGTTAGGCACTTCACACGCGGCATCTCAAGGATCAGCCACGTTATGTGAAATGGAAGTCTGACGTATAAACATCAGCCCTGGTACCCTCCATCCCTTCTTGAATGATGAACAGTAGCAAGAGTGACGACAACTCTGTCAGGAACGTACATTGAAGCTTTGTCCAGTTGCTGAATTCAATGGGGGTGTGCTGTATATCACCCCACTGAAGAAAAACGTGGCAGTATCTGATGTGAAGAACGCTTCCAAACTCGGGACAATGAGCAACATCAATTTCCCTGGTGTGATTACAGCCCCAAACATGTGAAAGTGCGACCGGGAGTTTGTCAGCACGATTTTTAGACAATTCATAACTATCTCCAATGCTCAGACCCGAGAATATAGACCGGTCCACTTTGTATCGTATTGTCATGTCATACGTCCCAGGCTGATTGTAATAGCTGAGTTATCACTCTTAGCTTCTTCTGATCTTGACGCAAGCCATCATGGCAGCAGTCAGTAGTTATTTTTCTCGATCTCTGCAACGCCTGTTCGATATCTGTAAGTTTAGTAATGGGAGTTGAGGATTTGAATCCCTCTGAAAATGTGCGTGGCTCTTCACTCGCTCTGTTATCTCCTTGCTTCTCAGTCTTGCAAGACGAAGGTCAGAGCGGTAACCATCTCTTACCAATGGCACCATTGGATAGCCCATGAATGAACTAGGAGTCTACGCCTAGCCAAGATATCACAGCTGTGGTGCTCCGACATACGTCGCTGTGAGCAGCACTTGGTTGTTCTGCTCGAGCACATCTTGTTGGTTGATACAGAGGGCATCAATTCACAAAAGTGTCCCAGCTAGGATGTAGTTATCTTTGTTATATAGCCATGCGCTACTGTAAGTTCACAACTACCTAGGCTGTCGGCGATGTTGTCAGAATGTGAAAGACCCATAGACCAGTGGAGCTGAAGGTTTAGTGGCAGTCTGCAAGGTGTCCAACAGCCCAAGCGGTCTGGCGACAAGGCCAGCTATTGGAGATGTAGAACCAATCAAGTAGATAGCGGCATGGCGATGAAAAACGGGAGTGAGAAAGCTGTGTCCGTAGTCTGCATCATCCGTCGGTTTCCGAAAGAAGTCTTATATACAGAACTTACCTCTGCCACAAGATAGGACAAGTGGCTTCTGACTGCTGCCAGCAATGGTTGGTTCCGCTTAGGGGGCTGAGTCGTCGCCCCCTGGCTTTGGTTGGTGGATGCTACAGAAGACTCTTAAAGCACACGGGGCGGGCGTGCCAAGGCCTGAAGGCTTGGCCGCGCCGTGTAAGTCCAGGTACTGCTATGCAACTGACGGTGCTTTTTATCCCTTAATAGCTTCATGGCGGCCGGTTAACAAGCGATATGGACTGGATCTTAACCACTGCCTGAGCATGTTTTCTACAGCAACGACATCGACAACTCCCGCTTCTACAGGATAAGCTGTAAAAGGTCAAAAATGATGAAATTTCTGCTCGAGATTTTCCTCCTCACCATTCTCTTTATCCTCGCCATTTACTACGCCTTCCTGCTCCCTCCCAAACACCCCACTAATATTCCAACCGTCCCATTCTGGGTCGCTCTCTTGCCTTTTTTCCAAGATATCGACCAGTCGGACATCTTTCACAAATACATTCAGCAGCCACTGAGGAGATACGGCGCAGTGAAGCTGTGGTTCGGCGCACGATGGAACATATTAGTCCATAGTCCGTCCTACTTGGCCGAGATCTTCAGGGAAGAGGATATATACCAAAAGAGCGGTAACCAGAAGAAGATCCCTTACAGCGTCCTGGCGGAGTTCCTCGGGGATAACATCATTTCCAGTCATGGAGAGACCTGGAAAGGCTACCGGTCGGTGATCATGCCGGCACTGAAGAACTTTGATACAGCAAAGATTGCTGCCAACGCGAAACTTCTTTGCCAGATCTTAAGGGATGAGCAACTCCGGACCGGGAAAGGCGGCGTCTTCGTGCAGGAGATCCTTCAAAGGTACTCGGTGGCAAACTGTTCGGAAGTCCTCCTCGAGATGGATCTAGAGGTGAGACCAGGGGAGATTTTAGATTCGTTCGTAATGACAATGGCATACTAACTAACCTTCTGTAGGCATTGAAGTCACCTGATGTGACGATTCATGTCCTACAAAGCGCAGTTAAGAGAGAGATCTTCAAGCCCATCTTCATGAACTTTCCAAGGCTGGACATGTTTCCCTTCCCCGGCCGCCGAAGGGCTCGCCAGCTGGTTCGCCAGTTCAAGCAGGTGTTGAGGTCTGCTCTTGTGGCTTCATATTCTTCGGCATCTCTAGATGGGTTGAATCGCAGGATGCTGGATGCTCGAGAATCCGGAATGTGGACGGAGAAACAACTTCTTGACAACTTGACCGTCCTATTTGTGGCAAGTCAGGAGAATCCTCAGCTTTGCATGATATCGACACTCTACCTCCTGGCAAAGCATCTGGTAACTGGCGTTCATTATCATATCACGAACTCACATTACTGACAGTCTCATCAGGAAGCGCAAGAGAAACTCTATAATGAGATCGTAAATCACGGCCTGGATGATGCCACAGCATCCCTCAACATCAACGTCCTTCAGAATATGCCATTCCTAACCTCCGTCATCTACGAAAGCCTGCGCCTCTTTCCCCCAATCAACCAACTTATCAACAGACGTGCCAGCACCAATATCTACCTGGGCGGCACAATCTTCATCCCCGAAGGGACCTATCTCGGCTACTGCTGCTACTCAACCAACCGCGACAAGTCCGCCTGGGGTCCGACCGCGGACGACTTCGACCCAGCCCGATGGGGGGACACGCCGGCCGCCATCCAAAAACACTACCGCATGCGGCGTGCTCGGGCAGAATTCATCAGCTTCCACGGCGGACGGCGGGCGTGTCTCGGGGAAAAGTTTGCGCTGCTGGAGATGCGGATCACACTGGTCGCGCTGGTGCGCGAGTTTGTCTGGGAGCTGGATCCTGCGTGGGTCACTCGGATGACACCGGTAAGTGTTCTACCTCCTCCCCAGCATCGAGTCGAGGGGATCGTACATTTTGGTGGAGCTGCAGGCTGCGCTGGTTAAGAATCTCCAGTTTTTGAGAACTTTTTCCCCCTCCTCTTTTGCTGACATGACATGGGTGATAACAGGCTGGTCCATTGTATCCACGCGCATTGAAGCTTGTGTTTAGGGAAAGGGAAGGAAGGACTGGTCCTTTGCAGATGGTTTGAGAACATACTATGCCAGGATTGATCAGTGCTTACAAACTTGATCTCTTACAACTGCTTCTGCCTGACAAATCATTCCTCAATGACCACTTGATGGATACCAAATTACCAAATGAATTCAAGCACGAACATTGTTCGCCTCTTTTTCTCTGTCATAGCCTTCATGACCCGATACATGACCAGTTCGTAATTTATGAAAACGCGGTACTCGGATCAGATTACGGGCTAAACTAGCAAACAGCTGATATGTGCAAACAGCCCCTGGTCAATGCCCCATGAAATCGGGCACTTTTCCCTTACGTGGTGAAACTTTCTCAAATCCCGAACACTATCACGTCAGCAATGTAGGCCAGGGTTAATGTTGTCAAAGCCATACTATGAGCATGAAACCAGCAGGTACATATACAGAGTGGGGAGCTTGAAGGCTTATTATTGTTTGCACGAGCAGAGAGGCTGTGGCTTTCAGCTCATGTTCAGACAAGTAGAACGATTCGTATCTGATACCCCCGAATTGTTCGAAAGTGCGATGGCAGTGCTAGACATACTGTCATACAAAACCGATTGTTCTGTTTACATCGTACGGAAAGCTTGGATAGCCCATTGTAGCACAAAGCATGTTAGCCTGGCATTGACGCAGGCAGCAACTTCCTTTTGTCTCATTCCCCCGATATCCAATGCCAAGGCTCAGGGGGGTTCTTTGTCCGATTGTAAGCGGGCTTGATGCCCTTAAGTGAACTTGAATTCTACGATAGAGGACGCTCGAACATACTTTTCGAGTGTGTATTGAGCGAGTTTTTCATGCAGCAGTTGCGTTAGGTTACCCACCCCAGCAGCTCATACTCGCCAACTTACAGGAGATCACGACATCTCATCAAAGGACCTTGCCGTACTCGCTTTCTAGTCCTGAAGAGGGCGTACCCTGCTCAGAATCAGATATCGTGAATCTTGTTTTTAGGCTCCTGTTCCTCAAGTTCAACGATTCATTCCCTGCCCAGGGTGCCAGTTTGAACCACGACACAAGAAGCTCCAACACACCGGCAACCGAAACATTATGGAGGTTTCAAACCAAGGGACATCGTTCTACCACCGCTTTCGCAGTTCCTTTTACAACCCCAGCAATGCATTGTCACTCTCCTGCTCTGAGATGTCTCAGAGCTTGTGTTCAATACCTCAGCATGCGAACAATATTCACAAGAAGCATCCTCCACCCTCACCTTCATCCCCAGATGGATCAAGATATGTTGCCATCAACGGCTCTTACACCCACAATGAACATAACAAAACAGCTATTGACGCTTTTTTCGCCAACTTAATCCTCTCTCAGACTTCCTTCCAACAAACCCATCCCATCCAACACACCCCAGAGAGCATCACACTTGCCACCAAAATCGTCAATCTCTTCGATAGCTACCTTCGGTACCACGGTGGCATCAATGACCAGTGGGAATCACACGGCCGCGAGTATTTCACCCATCGCGTGCGCCACTTCACGGCACAAAATGCTCCGATCGAGTTCTGCTTACCGGCCTTTCCATGCAAGTCGTCCAACCTGGACAAGGTGACCGGTACAGACCCGGATAAAGGGGAAGAAATAGCACTGGAACGGCTACACAGCTTCATCGAGGCGGTCGATGGAATCTATGAGCCGGGAGGAAGGCTCTGGATCATCAGTGATGGTCATGTTTTCAGTGACTGTATCGGGGTTGACGATTGCACTGTGGATGCTTATGGCGAGAAGCTACGACGGATGAGCCACGCAATTGGGTTGCGTAAGGGGAAGCCAGATCGTGTTGTCTTCCGGTCGCTTGTTGATCTTTTCCAGCTGGGGACAGTTAGACAAGGTAAGGAGGAGTCGGGACTTGTACAGCAACTCGATAATCTGCCTCCGGTCACGCATTACCTCGAGACACGAATGACAGACGAAGCGGAACTATGTCGCCGAATCTTGATGGCAGGTTGCGGCCCGTCCAGAACTGCAGTGAGGGCTAGGATCGAATCCAATGATTCTGCTATCACTGCACTTTACAGGGGCTTCTCGAGGTTTATGCTGGAGGACCTGGAGCTACATTCCCTGTCCAGGACGAGGACCAGGTCCCAGCAGAAGAAGCTGGCGACAAAAGTGGCTTTCGAGATGATACTGGTCAGTTGCAACAAGCGTATATACCTTAAACTTGCCCATATTTTGACCTGGCGTTCTCCTGAACAGAGAAACCAAGCCTATTCGAACCTTGTCGAGTTGCTCTTCCCACACCACGTCCGGCTCTCAATCCATGCGTAAGTGCAATAGCACCTAAAGCATTCAAACAGGCCTTATGGAAGCAGTTTCTGAAACTTTTGACAGACACAACAACGCTGGTCCCAAATTCGGAATCCGTCTCTTCGATCCCTCTCGGGTGAAGGCCGTGAAGGATCTGACAGTTGGCAGTGAACTGGAGGCCTCGCCGGACCTGCTGCACATCCCGACGCCCTGGCACAACTGCATTGTGCAGCTCGGGGGCCAGGATGTGTTCTTCCTGACCAAGGCAAAAGTTGCACGTGCGGCACTCGTCTCGGGAGTGGTTACAGGAAAACTGGCTGGGATGGACGAGGGCAGTGCATACTTTGCGCTGGAGAGGAGGACCATTACTGTGCTCTCTTCTGTGAGCCTGGCAACTCCTGCAGTGGCTAGTGCTGACAGTATCACCGTTCTGGAGGCGGCAGGGGGGCGGCACATCAACGGATTTCGGGTGCATATGGGGGACAAAGCAGAGAATGAGGATGACGGTGTAACGGCCGGAGGTCGCTTTGGCATCGGGATGCCAAGAACGGGGACTCCCGTGACCGCCGTGCCGGCATTGTCGGCTATTGGCGATTGCTAGATCGTGGCTTCGGAACGGCGGGGGCCCACATCTTGCGGAAATGGCCCGATCGGCCAAGATCGGGAGCGGATAGATATCGTAGCTCGTAGTTAAAAATTGTTTCCACCGAGACTAGACCATGTTTTCTTACATCACGATATTTTGAGCTGGTTGCCTAGTGTATGCCCAGAATTTGGCTGCTTTGTTAAGCGCGGGGGGCTAAGATCGGGAGTCAGGGGGCGGTGGTGCACGTGTGCGTCCAGCGCTTGCGCATTACATTCTCCCCGGAGGAATATGGCACCCTGTGGACACTGCTGGCGACGATACGAGTTCGTTCTCTGAGCCACAGGATCTGGTGTCCGGGGTCAGCAATCAGCATTCGGATAGCAGTGTCGCACAAAGCTTGCTGCTTGACAACGAAAATTGGCTGCCAAGTCACCCAGCTTCCCCAAATGTGACAAACCATCAGAACTATCAGGTCAACATCTCGCCATTTTCCCGTGTGGGATCTCGTTGCCAGTACCTTCTAACCCTCACAATTCTCTCTTATTCCCTCGCCTGCATCCTGCCTAACTAACATCGAGGGAAGACTTCACATGCGCATGAAGTAGCACAACCAGTGAAGAACAGTTGCATTCCTTCTCTCTGGAACGTGCTCGGCTGACGGGGCCGAATTTGAAAGCATGCTGGCAGGAAATCCGTAGAGAAAACCTGGCTTCCGGGCCCCCTGGCCCGCCGCAGAGGTTCCAGAAACCAGGATCGAAAGTAAAAAAAGAGTGAAGCGCGAGCAGCGAGCGACAGCGAGAAGGGCAGGTGGTCCAAACTTTTGTGCATCTCCACAATTTGCTCAAATCAACGCACGCAGTTCGCTCTTGCTTCTCCTGTTCCTGAGGTAAGACGGCCGACAAGGCCCATTTTTTCAGCTGATCAACAGCCAATCACAAGCGTTGCCGATCGGATCTAGTTGCTAGGGCGGGCCACCCATGCCGCGTTTTGTTCTCACACGCTCTGGTTATGCGTGTTCTGCGGGCGGTGCAGGTGCAAGGCAAAAGTAGGCGATGAGCTTATTCCTCTCTGCGTGCCTGCTTGTCCGCGCCGCTGGTGGTACTTCTGTGCAATTGGCGTCGTTTTGTCGGGGGACAGGATGGAGCCCTTGGGGAGCCTGTTGGTCAGACATTAATAACCATGCTTTTCTAAAACAGCTTAAAAGCTTCATTGCTCTGCCCTCGATCCGGTGTTGAGCTGGTCTCATGGTGATTGACGTGCTTCTGATTTCCATTTAAACTCTTCCCACGAGGTTTCCCCCCTTCGTACTCTTTTGTTGTAATCCAACCACTCGGTGTCCAAGCTTCAAACGAAGACCAGACTACTTCACCCTACTCTGACATCCTCAGACCAAACTTCACGCAATGGATCACATGGACCACGGCGGCGGTATGGCCATGACCACAACCGTGACAATGGCGTCAGCGACAACAACCGCCCCCGCTGTCGCGAGTACGACTAAGGCTGCTATGAGTATGGGCGGGCATGGTTGTAAGATTTCTGTAAGCCTCCTCTCTCGCCCTGTCTGTGTAACCGCGTGACCAGTCGTCTAACCCTCCAAAATGCAGATGCTCTGGAACTGGAACACCATCGACTCCTGCTTCATCGCCAAGTCCTGGAAGATCTCCTCCAAGGGCCACTTCGCCGGCTCGTGCATCGGCGTTGTGCTGCTCGTCATTGCGCTGGAGATGCTGCGGCGCGCCTGCAAGGAGTATGACCGGTTCCTGATTAACAAACATCTTCGCGCGACGTCCGCGGCGGCGGCGAAGGCCTCGAGTTCGGCGAAGTGCGATTCTCAAGACAGCATCCCCGCTGCGGCTTGCGCCGTGGTCAGCTCTGGGTACCGGCCAAATGTGTTTGAACAGGCGATTAGGGCACTTCTGCATATGCTGCAGTTCGCTGTCGCTTACTTTGTCATGCTGTGAGTTGCTCGTGGACCTTGATTGCTCGAAGCTGGCCGCTAACTTATCCGTCTCTTGTAGTTTGGCTATGTATTACAACGGTTACATTATCATTTGCATCTTCATTGGCGCGTATATTGGCAGCTTTATCTTCCACTGGGAGCCTCTCGGAGGGTGAGTTAGCAGCCGTTGAGTCCGTTTGTTGTCTTAGGAGCACATGTTGACCAAATTGATAAGGGGTCTACAAACTAGCGCGACTCAGCAGGCAACGGTTTGCTGCGGTTAAGTGCTTCACCGGGCCGTGGAAAAGGGGGAAGAGATGGGATCGAGACATGAGGTTCTGTTGCTATTTCAGAGGGTAGATACCTCGTCGCATAGCAGGGGAGAAAGGGGTAAGGAGCATTGATAGACATAATGACTTGTGATGTTAACGGTAGGGATAAAACCAAAGATTAAACAATACCAGCTCCAGAGAGATCGTCTCTCTCATATCTAACCAAACATATGTGGCATGCATGCCGGGGTATCAATGAGCCCAACGTCCACCCCTAGTCATTCCTCACTTGTAGAAGCTCTCCATCCTCCTCTTCATCCGGCTCAACCTTGCTATCCTTCAGGTCCATATGCTTCATTTGAGTCACCAGACCGCCCAGCGTTTGCGCATCTCTGTCGTCCACGAAGCTCTCAGCTCTCATAATCAACCTGCTCTGCGGAACGGCCGATCTTAATCTGTGCGCTGTAGGATCATCGTGTGCCTTACGACAATGTTGACACGCACAACCGGGGACATATTTAACCTCTCCTATGACTTGCCCAAGTTTGGTTTTCGTGTCGTTGTCCATCAAATGGGTTAGGACATGCAAAGTTATCAGACCTAGTATCATATTCTGGCCCTGGTCGTTCAGCCCCTTAGCGGCCAAAAGTAAAGTAGACTGGAGCTCTTGAATATCGGTTGGATCAACGTAGGTGGTGTTGGCAGTCTTATCGAGGAGCCCTTTTAATCTGTTAAGGACAATGAAACCGAGATGGACAAGAGGTTGACCAATGAATGAGTCGAAAAAGCTAAATCCATGGCGGATATAGTAGATGCGGATAAGAGTTTCAAAGTGACGGAGAGCGGCGTCGCGAATCTGTCTGGGATTCAACTGCTCTATCCCAATATTTCCGGTGATATTATGGGATGGCGAGGATATCGGAGTTGTCATCTCCTCGACACAATAGGGCTCGTAAAGAGCCTTCACGATAATATGATAGTTGATACTGTGAACAATGTGTTAGTAATTCGGCTTCTTAGCATGATGGCTGCATGCATTACAGGATCCCAGCACTTACTGTAATAGTAGCTGGCTTGGAAGCGTAATATTCTCAGGAGAAAGCTCCGTTGGAAGATTGTCGAACCATTGTTTGAGCTTCATGTAATATGAGTGAACCCTGTCCAATGGAATAGTGGACTTTGGATCCTGTCTGCCAAAGACCTCTAACCATTCGCTATTCATGATAGCGCGGACATCACACATTGCTTTGAAGACCAGAGGGAAATGCGCTGAGTATGCCTTTTGGTCTTGAGGATATCTCAATCGAATTTGCCCGTACCAGCTTGGATCCTTGTTTGGATCAGGCAAAGGGATAGAGGGCGGTTGTTTCACTTGAGGGCGCTCATGCAAAACGTATGCGTACATCCTGCGGCCTTAGTGTCAGTATGGTAAGCAACCATTGAGTGTAGGATCAACACATACGCCTGGAAATTAAACAAAGCCCATGCCGTGAAAGCCTTCGCTCTCGCCATCCTCGTATCTAGCTTGGTGTTTCCAGGATTGAACAAGCCAACTCTTTGTGCCATCGCCACACCCTTCTGGGTAAACTGAGTGCCAGTGGCATCTGCGGCGTGCATGATATGGACGAGGTTCAGTAGGACGGAAGCTTGGATGGTGGTAAGCCGAATTCTGCCACTTGCTTCTTCAATGTCCCAAAGTCGCTTCGCTTCGGCCAGGAACTGCCAACCAAGAGTCTTGGGATTCCATGCACTCTCGTTCCGGTTTTGGAGTGTTTGATCAGCTGCCTATATATCCGTTTGTCTTAGAACAGGGCGCTTGCTGGGTAGTGCGAGTGGAAACTCACAGTTGCAATTGCCAAAACGCAGTTGACGAGCAGCGAAGAACAACAGCCTTGCCGCCCAGTGGCCATGTCCTGGAGAAAGTAGTCCTTCTGAAACACGGGAAACCATTGATACTCGTTCAAAAAGTAAAAAGCAAGAAGTTTTCTCATAAGCTCATCATCTGCGCATACCGTAGTCCATTCGGAAGGCTTAGCTGAACTTAAGAAGGGCTCGATAAGCTCGGCAGCATGATATGGTTGGGTGTACGGACTTTCCAATGCAATTGCTGAAGCTGGAGAGGAGAGGGAAGATTCAGACATTTGTGGCGAGGGCAGAAGTCCGGTTGGCAACTCGAACTCGTGCATCTTAATCCTGCGAAGGTATGGGTTGTCACCCCGTACGAGATACCGCGGCAATGTCCTGAGGAATGGATCGTGATAGCGAAACCGCGTTTCGGGGGTAACAGCCAACTGCAAAAGAAGATCACCCTCTTTGATATAGCGCAGAATAGTGTCCGGGTCGGTACCAGACCTGATGCGCTTTACAATTTCGAGCACCTCAGGCTCGGGCCGATCGCGAAGGTGATCAAAGATCTGCTTAAAGGTTGCCTCGCGGCTACCCAGCTCAAAGAGCTTTCTTTTGAGAGCCTGGCCATGGGTCTCATTGCTGTTGCTGGTGTTATAGAGACAGCTGACTCCGCTCGAGACGCAAGAGTTGCAGGCCGGGCGGGCGCCGTTGCACTGTGCGGTATCGACGTCAGTCGCACCGCGACTGCTGAATGTTGCGCTTGACAATTGTAAATTTAAGCGTTTAATATGCGTACCTTGACCTTTCGCTTCCGACACGTCTCACAGGCCGCAGTGGTGTATGATTTTCGCCGGGAAACGGCTGTGGTCTTCGCAGAGGAAGCTGTCTGCGGGCTAGGCGATTTAGACGTCGAGGAGACAGGCGATGTAACTTGAGGTGAGGTCGAATATTGATAAGTCGGGTGATATGCTTGTATTGGAGGATATTGCGTCGGAGGACATTGGCGTATGGCTGGAAGAAGTGGCCGAGGGGCAATGGGAACGGCTGTGTCTGTTTGCTGTCTCTGTCGCATGACTGTGATTTCGCTCGCCTTGCGCTCAGCTGGTCTTGGTCTTGATTGGAGAGCTGAATCTGCAGCAGCAGAGACACGGGCGCGAAATGCGCGTGCCGACAGCCCGGGATACGGGAGTGACAGGGCCCAGGGGCATCAGCGGGGTAAATTCCGATCTGGATCTGGTACTGCTCATTGGAGGGCGTAATCCCGATGCTCAGCCGACCAAACCTTAATATAGACTTGGTCTCCAGGTTATCATGGCCCTCCATTTGGTCATGAGACATCGGCGTCGCTGTTCAAGGTCTACGGTGACTGAAATATATGTCTCTACAACTCTTTCCCAACCACCGGGTCTTTGCTTGCAAGAGCCGTTCAAAGATGGCGTAAAGACAGGCAGACCGCACAGTGTCAGGTCAAGGATGCAAACTTTTAAACGTTAACTCTACGAAGATCATCTCGAATTATCTGTGCATTAATACAAGTAGCGCTGACAGTACAAAACTGTACGAACAGTTGGGCTGAACAGTATGTACACCTTCAGCCCTTTCGCGCAAAATACACAACGAAGAATTGAACAGCAGAAAAAAAAGCCAGGAACCACCGCAGTCCAGATCGGCCCCAAGCGGAGTTCGCAGATTTTCAGATGCGCGATCGGCTTCTCCGATCTGAGATCTGTCGATCTGAAAACTCGCCTCGGACATCATTAAGGTGTGGGTCTTTCCGGTCAGCTCTGCCCCACAAAGGGTCCCACACGCAGGCTGCAAGCCTCCACACCCCGTTAAATGGACAAGGCCATCACCAACCTGCGCGCTGACTCTGACAGCTAGCAGCTGACCCATACCTTCAACCAACCTCTCGTTCGGGTCAGAGCATCATGACGTCTTGATCGACGAAACCTTAAGATCCACGATATACCTCGTCCCCGCGTGCTCCGTGACGGTGTAGATGTGCCCACCGTTCCGCTTGTCATAGCTCAGGTCCTCCGGGCCGCGAGGCACAATGCCACCATTCTTCCTCGCTGTCTTACCCGGCACCCAGCCGAAGATATCGCCGCGATTGTTGCCGTTGCTGCGCGAGATGTAGAACTTTCCGTTGGCCGAAACAGCGCCTTGCATACGCTCGATGCCAACGCAGTAGGCCCAGGTGCCCTTGGCCTTCTTGCCGCTAGACGTCACGAGCTTGCGCGTCTTGTAGTCGAGCTGGAAGCGCACCAAGCGAATCGGTTCGCTAGTTGACTTTTGATACTCGCCAACGATGAGGCTGTCCGGGCTGGTGGTCCGGTCGAGGGAGATGAAGCTGAAGCGGAAGGGGAAGGAGGACGTCCACTTGTACCATCTAGCGGCAACCATATATCGATTAGTGATCGGTGATGGGGTAACGGATAGCAACAGTGATTGCCGACGAGTTCCGAACTCACCTGATCTGAGGAATAACATATTTGTATCCTGCAGCCGAGTATCCACCGCCGGACTTCTTGCCGACCCCATCACCATCACTGACCTGCCAAATATTGTCGAGATCGAACACGCGAATACCGTTCTTTGTGTCCACGACCCAGAGCGTGTTGCCATACCACATAATCCCTCCAGCATGGATGGGCACGGCCTTGAAGTTGTCCGCAGCATGGGGATAGACAAGCAGCGCATGACGATACTTGTTGGTCTTGCGATTCACAAACGTGACGCGCACGCTCTTGTCATCATTCCGATGCCAGCTAACGATCCAGCCGTCTTTCCCCTCGTACGTTCCCGCATCGAGCGCATCCGCTGTCGAGGTGATGCCCTGCGGCACCCACTTGGAGGTGTCTACATCATTGAAGCTGGACGTCTTCTCCCATCTGAGCCCTTGGGACGTGCTCGTCATCTTGTGGTTGCCATCGTCGAAGACGTGGGCTACGGTGACCCTCTTGAGCTTCTTAGCAAGAGACTTGACGTGGGGGTTGTCGGCTTGTTCTTCCAGAACGAAGTCGGAGCCGGTGCGTGCCTTGTTTGAAGTGTTGCAGTTGCTGGGACTGAGTGCGACGACGGCTGGAAGAAAGTAGACCGCCACAGCGGCGAGCACGGTTGAGAACCTCATTTTGGCCCCTGAGGTAATGCCTGGCAGGTGTTAGAGTGACCTGCGGACTCGTGGCCGTCAATCATGACATCTTGGAGATTTATATGCTGCTCGCGTGTTTTTCATCTCGGGTAAGCTTTTACAAGCGTCTGAATCCATTGTCGAGTTAACTTCCCGACTCCTTGCACAATGGCATCACAACCCAGTAATCGAGATCAGCTTCATCCAGAACTTACCGTAACTGGTCGCCTCCAATCTCCCTAGGCTTTCTGGACTCCATAAATTCGGCGTGATATATGACCCGAAAATCCCGAAGAGCTTCGCCCAGTGATGTTACAACATTATGGGGTAACGTAGCATTAAACAGGTCACCTGTGGAGACGATTACTCGCATGGCTTAAACGAAATGCTGGCATGAAAAGGTATTGTATTTGAATTTTTAGACTTGATGAAGCACCTAACCGTCACTTAAAATAGATAATTGCTTACACTTTGTCAACTACTATCGAAGTTACTATGACTGCCCCGCTGACTGCGAACAACTCCCAAGTCAGCGCTTGCCGAGATCAAAGCGATCCAGGTTCATGACTTTGTCCCAAGCAGCAATGAAGTCCCTGACAAACTTCTCCTGCCCATCGGCACTGGCATACACCTCCGCGATGGCACGCAGCTCGGCGTGTGAGCCAAAGATGAGGTCGACCCTGGTAGCCGTCCACTTCTTCTCGCCCGTCTTACGGTCATAGCCCTCAAAGATTTCTCCGTCAATAGACCTCCATGCCGTGCTCATATCTAGCAAGTTGACAAAGAAATCGTTGGTCAGCTGGCCCGGGCGCTTGGTGAAAACACCGTGGGTAGAGCCGTCCCAATTGGCGCCCAGTACACGCAGGCCACCAACAAGCACAGTCATCTCGGGCGGTGTAAGAGTCAACAGGTGCGCGCGGTCAACAAGCAGCTGCTCGGTTCTGACGCGATCAGTGCCACGACCATAGTTACGGAAGCCGTCCGCAACTGGTTCCAGATAGCTGAAGGACTCGACCTCGGTATACTCCTGTGTCGTATCGTTGCGGCCAGGAGTGAAGGGCACAGGCACACCGGCAGCCTGTTCCAGGGCGGCAACGCCGCCAAGGACGATTAGATCAGCCAGCGACACCTTCTTACCACCAGGGGCTGTGGAGTTGAACTGAGCCTGGACAGCCTCCAGGGCCGACAGCACCTCAGCTAGTTGAGCCGGGTTGTTGACCGGCCAGTCCTTCTGCGGAGCGAGACGAATGCGAGCACCATTGGCACCACCGCGCTTGTCGCTGCCACGGAAGGTCGATGCCGACGCCCAAGCTGTGGAAATGAGCTTGTGGGGGGCAATGCCGGTAGCAAGAATTGTTTGCTTGAGGGCAGCGACATCTGCGTCGTCGATGACAGGATAGTCAACCGGCGGGATGTAGTCCTCCCAAGGCAAGATCTCAGACGGGATCTCGGGACCGAGCCAGCGAGTACGCGGGCCCATGTCGCGGTGCAGCAGCTTGAACCAGGCGCGGGCGAAGGCATCGGCGAACTCGTCGGGATGTTCGAGGAAGCGACGAGAAATCTTCTCATAGACGGGGTCGAAGCGCAGCGCCAGATCGGTCGTGAGCATACGCGGCGGGTGCTTCTTGGAGGGGTCATAGGGGTCGGGAATGAAGGCCTCAGCATTCTTAGCTACCCACTGGTTGGCACCAGCAGGGCTCTTGGTGAGCTCCCAGTCAAACTTGAAGAGGTACTCCAGGAAATTGGTACTCCATTGGGTCGGAGTCTTGGTCCAAATGACCTCGAGACCACTGGTGATGGTGTCAGGACCCTTGCCAGAGCCAAACTTATTGCTCCAGCCAAAACCTTGCTCCTCGATGGGAGCAGCCTCGGGCTCCTTGCCAACATTGTCAGTAGGGCCTGCGCCATGTGTCTTGCCAAAAGTGTGGCCACCCGCAATGAGGGCCACTGTCTCCTCGTCGTTCATTGCCATACGACCGAAAGTGATGCGGATATCCCGAGCAGCGGCCACCGGATCGGGGTTGCCGTCGGGTCCCTCTGGGTTGACGTAGATCAGACCCATGTGGGCAGCAGCCAAGGGAGTTTCGAGCTCGCGGTTCTTGATGTCCTTGTTGGCATAGCGAACTTCATTACCCAGCCAAGTCGTCTCGCCGCCCCAGTATGCCGATTCATCAGCTTCCCAGGTGTCAGGGCGACCGCCAGCAAAGCCGAACGTCTTCAGGCCCATTGACTCGAGTGCCACATTACCCGCCAAAAGCATCAAGTCGGCCCATGAGATCTTGTCGCCATACTTCTGCTTCACGGGCCAGAGGAGACGCCGAGCTTTGTCCAGGCTGACGTTGTCCGGCCAACTGTTGAGAGGAGCGAAGCGCTGCTGACCCTGGCCACCGCCACCGCGTCCATCAAAGACACGATAGGTGCCAGCGCTGTGCCAGGCCATACGGATGAAGAGACCGCCATAGTGGCCAAAGTCAGCCGGCCACCAATCCTGAGAATCTGTCAACACCGCCTTGATATCCTGCTTCAGAGCCTCGTAGTCCAGAGACTTGAAGGCAGCAGCATAATCGAAGTCCTTGGGGTATGGGTTCGAGGCAGGCTGATGCTGGCGGAGGATGTTGAGCCGGAGCTGCTTGGGCCACCAGTCGGTGTTCCTGGTGCCGCCACCGGCGACATTGTCATGACGAACGGGGCATTCACCCATGGCGTCGAAGTGAGTTGGTATATTTGTTGGATGAGATGTCGAGGTTATATGGGGTATCTTGAACAGGAGTGTGGGATGTAAGTTCTGCGATGGAAATTTGAACGAGCAGAGCGAGAGTATTAGTTAGGTCGAATGGACGAAGGCAAAGCAGGAAGGAGAAGAGAGGGAGGATGTCTTTTATGTTACCTACGGGAGCTTCCATCGCCTTCCCGAGTCGTCCAGGGGCCTGTCGGAGGGGTCCGATGGGGATCTCGGGGACCGCCCGGGGAAACATCTTCCCCGCGAGCCTCGTCCACTCACTGGATGTGTACAACCACAACCCCGCTTCTCGACATAGAAAGTCAACCTACCACAGGTTCGCAAGAGCTGCTGCACCTGTCGTCACACCAACTGAACCCCGCATCGATGCATCGCTGAGGGGCAGGGTAGCAGCATCCTATCTCGTCTGCCGCGCTGCTGCTTTTGCACCTGCTGTTGTGGTTCGACAGCGGGCCAAGATGAAAAACGGTGCTTACCTAGAGTCCAGCTGCGTCTTGTCCCTTCCAGCATCAAGCCCGTCTATGGAAACTTGCAGAATCCCGTCTTGGTCCGGGTAACATCAAGGAATGTTGCCATCATCTAGCTCCAAGAGTCAGAATGCTGGAGGGGCGAACTCTAAGTCCTGACTCACCGCAGGTTCTTTGTTACCTACCAGGGCCCGGTCTCGCCTTGGAATCAAGCATGCCACAATAGGTTACGGTCCTGTGCCTTGAGACGCGATCTCTGCCACGGTTACGGCGATCGCGCGTCCGTCAAGTGCATCCTGGGGTAGCCGTTAGTGCAGGACGGTATCATGCACTGTTGGGCATTGCATAGAGTGGTGGACCAGTAATGTGTGGGCTGCGATTCGTCAGCCTTTAAGCGGCTCGGAATTTCGGAGACCAGTAACGGCTTTAAAGACTTCTCCGAGAAGCAAGGTCAGATTGCGAATGTGCTGTGAAGGTTGATGTTAGCAATCCAGACTCCATCGCCCTTGGGTGCCAAGAGGAGTGCTTCATCGTCGTCGATGCAGGGAAATTCTACCTCATGGGTATGTTCCAATGCCCACATTGAAATGCCATAGATACCCGTTGGGGCTTTTTGGATGTGGAGTCCATAGTCGTCAGCACCTTGGTGGATTGCATGGGTCAGAATGGATGTCAGCCAAGCACATGTCTTCCATTCACATCCCGCCATCGAACCCTCCGTGCAGCCAACTTCCATAAAAGACAAGAACCCGCATGTAGAGCACACTGTATACTATGAATATACTGAACAGCAGCAGATTTCTTAATTCACGATTGCCACACAAAACACATATCAGAACACATGACTTGGCTGCTCCGGCTCGATGCTGTGCATGAGTGGGGAAAGTCGGTTCCTGGACCTTTTTGGAACCCCTCAACGTTTGCCCCACAGCGAGCTCCCAACTTCGCCCCCACCCCGATCCCTGGATTTGGCCCATCGAACATCAAAGGAACAGTGGCCACTGTTTCTTGAATCTTGCTTCAATTTCTAACAAACCGTTTAGTGGGCTTTTGATACGACCGGTAACATCTCGGAACTCACCAAATACCATTACACGTAATTCTGAAACGTGCTTGACTTTCCAGTAAGCGCAGGCTGGAGCCTCTAATCGGCATCCCGAGGTCAACGATGACGACTTCCGACTCGGTCCTAAATCGGAGGTACACCGGTGTTTAGCCTGAGCCAGCCATCTGGATTAGACTCGGGCTTCATGCCAGTAGCTCTATACTAGGAAGAAAACAGAAGATTATCACAGCACGAGATGCTTTATTTTTAGGCGATATTCACCGCGCGTGGCTTTTCGGAATATTGGTCCAGGATTCGGTGACCGAGCTTCTTTCCGAAGTGACCATTCTTGAATATGGTGTATAGATGTATAGACGAAGGTTAAGTCAGGCGAATAGGAGATGTTCTAGGCGATCGCTCTCTTGAAGTCAGCTAGCTAACTTTGCTTCAGTGTTTGAGACTGAGAGCAATGGTCTTTGGACATTGAGGTTTTGATATAATTAGCAGTCTTAACTTCTATCAGGCATAAAAGATTCGAACTCACCGAGTGCTTCCAACTGCAACTGACACTCCAGTTTAAACAACCCCAAAACCAATGTAGCAAGGATCTTTCTCACCTGGTCTCGACGTCCATATCTTCAGTTCCGTCTTCTAGTTTCCATCCCACGCCTAGGCCCCAGCAACCCCGTAGGGCACCTTGGACATATACACGAAACTTGGGCCGGTGTGCTCGATCAGCTCGTTGTTGAAGACTTTGAAACCAACCCTGTCGCCGGTGTTGACCTCGAGGGTTTTGACGTTGTCGCCGGGCTTGGCACCCACATTGCATCGCAAGTCTTCCTTGGTAAGGTCTTGGAAGGCAGGGTTGTAAGAGTTGGTGCTGCGCCTCACGTAGGTGTACCCTCTGCCGATTTGCTTGCCATTGACAATGGTCCTCGAAAGGAAGAGCTTGACAGCCTTCAACCCATTCTGGCTCTTGAACCCGTAGGGGTTTCCCGAACCCTAACTTTGGTGCACCGATCACAGCTTGGCTACTATCTGGAGCAATAACGCTTGACGTTACAATTCAAGAGGAAATGGCCGAAGCATGGCACTTACTGAAATGAGCGATCAGGTATGCTGTAAATGATAGTTTGCTGATATGATAGTACGGAACCAATCAGATGCAGAGATATTGCGCCACTTGAGGATGTCTTCTGGTAGCCCGTAGGTGTCCTGATCACTCAATTCAATTCAATTCTATATTTCAGCCGGTCCCACCGCTGGGGATGCTGGGTCGTGCCCACGGCGACGGCGGGCAATAGCTACCTAATTACTCTATATACATGTGCCGCCGGAGAAAAATCCCGTACCGGGGCAAAACCGGCGTGAGTAAGGGGAAACATTGGGCGGGTTGCGTAACATGTGTCGGGTAGGGATTACTCTTGCATGACCCCGGGAATGTGGGTCTCTAGCCCCAATTCCGACTTCGACAAACTGGTGTCGGGGTCGCTGCCCCTGTGAGATGGGGCTCGAACGCGTAAGGGGAGACTGGGAGGTCGCCAAGCAGGAATGGAGCGCCCCGTGGCGGCGTCCCAGGCCTGGCCGCAGAGCTCAATTTGGCAGGCCCTGGACCTGAACAATTGGAAGGAGGACCAGAAGGCCCTCGGGTCCAGTCTGTCGGCGAGAAGGTTATTGGAGATAATGAGGGGGCAGGAGAAGAAGTGGCCTCTGAACACCACTCTACCACAGGGGCACTCCCTAATGGCCTCTGGAGGTGTGGTTGAACCGCACGTGGTACTCCAGGAAATCGCCATGCCCCGGGGCCTCCGCCAGCCAGCGAGACAGGTATTTCCGGGAGAATTTCTCAAGGAATGGGTTGGCTGTGTAGCCGTCCCAGCGGGTTGAGGGGGGTTTATTGGCTTGCCACCCCCGGAATATCTAGAGGGGGCACTCGGCGTTTGGGGGCTTTGGGGGAAGGCCGAGCCACGCCATAACGCTCAGGCGCTTAGGCTCCCGTTGGGATCGGACCCCGAGACCGTCGGCCGCCTGGTGCAAGCGGGACCGGCCGCGGTAGGGGGGTCGGGCAAAGCCTGGCCTGGAGGGGGTGGCTGGTCGGCACCAGGTACATACATCTTGTGTGGCTAATTGGTTGGTTGACAAGACGCAGTTCAAGATACTAGCACAACCTCCAAAATTGGTAGATTGACCTGAATTCAGCTTGTACGTTTTCATTCAGCTAAAAGCCAGCCGCGACAAAACAAACCGCTGAATACACAACAGGTCCGCATCTAGTCCACTTGAACGTTCTGCGGAGCAAAACTCTTGTCCGGTGTGACCGCGATGCCATTTTCCAACTCCTGATCTGAATACGACGGCCAAACAATTAACTGCTTGTTCCAATCAATCACTGCCCAGGTAGTGAATCCATGATAACTCCCAAATTGGTTGCTCCAGCTGGAGCTCATGAGGTAGGAACCACAAGAAACTTCGTTTGTTGGTTTCTTGCTCGCCTGTGGCCCGCTGACGTTGTAAGAACAAGGTGTCTCTGGTTCCACTTGTGTGTCGATTCGAAAGGTTACGATGCAAAATGTGTCGTCATCGTTGCATGCTCTGGTAAATGACTTGAAGATCCAGTCTGGAAGGTATTTCACATCGCTATCAGTGTTGGAGAAATCACGTTGGAGAGTCAACCCCTCCCCAATGCCCAAGAGAAGGAGACTGGTCAATATGGTGCTAAGTCGCATGTTGTGATAATTATTCAACGTTATGGACCCGAATGAGTGAGAAGAACAGTCAAGTCCGCTTGCAGTAAGGCTTTCAACCCGAATGATAGCTGAGCTAAAGTTAAGAATACTGCTAACTTGCCATCTGCTTCAGTATGGGATCTCCTTCATCTTGATATACTCATCACTCCTATGGTGTCACAAGAGAATTTATTGCTCACTGCATGGTCTTGGGAGTTCGTGTTGGAGACTGTTTGGTGTCATCGATTGAATGTTTGCAACTTGTCTGACAAAAATATATTGACAGAGCTTGTGTTGCATCGTATTTTCAGATTGAAGCTTTTAATATGCAGTCGCCGTTAGCAAACATCGATCGAAAGTTTCTCACAAGTTGCCAGCGGCTACCTGCTTTTGTCTGCGTTGCATGTCAGTGGTGATGTGGCTGTTGTACTAACAAAAGTTTCCTGGAATGGTTATATCATTGAATACCTCTAAGTGCATGTATTGTACTGAGATAGGGTGATGGCCTTTCGACTTGGAATCACTTCCTGCGTCACGACCTTACATGGCTGTGAATTCTGTTAGTGAAAGGTCTTCATGAGCAGTTAACATATGAGAGAACATTAAGGCTTGAGTGACATTCGAGTAATTTCTCTTATACTTTAGTATATCTTCAAGTGTTTTTAACTTAAATGGTTGATAACTTGATTCGTCCAATGGCACGCCGTGTGGACTCCGCGTGGCCCTGTATGCAGATTAACAGATCAACACAAGTAACATTTGTACTTCAGTACAGACAAGCCTTGGTTGAATGTTGTTAAGTTTTGAAACTCAACAACTTTGTATAACATGGCTGGCTTACAGTACACATTCATTGGTAAAAGGTGGGAACAATACTCAAGGAAGTCTGTATTCTGAAGTGAAGCACTTCTAGGACCTTGGAGCAATATGTCATGATAACGATGGTGCACTGCTTCAATTGCCAAGATTGGACTCTTGGAGCATCTGAGTTTCACAGGATCTCTTAATAAATCATGTCAAGAACTTATGGACCTTTAGAGACAGTGTCTTTTGCCTTCAAGATTAGAGTCTATTGTCAAGGACGCTACCCGACATGCATCTACTATAATCACTAGGCTTCCCATAGTCTACAGTAGTAAGGTTTTATGTATCCGATCAAGTGACGCGTCTGTATCACCTTTCGGCGATCGTTATTAGCCTCCAGCCACGCCAAGCTGTGATCGGCATTCATGATTTGCAATCGTTGGATGAACTCTTGCCGTGCCGTGTGGTAACACGTGCCAAGAAGCCCTAAATTACTCCAGCCCCTTGCATCCTTTTGAGCCAAAGCAAGAGAGTTCTGTCTGCACAGTGAGATAAGCAAGTGTCTGGCCAAACAATAAAAGGGATGTAACTTGGTTGCTGATGCCAATACTCGTAGATTTTAGCCGCGTACGCCTCCAATAAGGGTTACCATAGCAAAATGTGATCCAGGCTCTTGGGCGTAGCTAATATCGGGCCGTTTGTGATATCTGGGAAGTTGAAAAGGACGGGAAGTCCCCTGCCGTTGTGCAGCAGAATGGTCCCGGGAGATTTCAAGTTTGCATAGACAAGTGGCATGGCTTGCATCTAGCATTTGTGACAATCACAGCAATATCAGGATGCTTCCAATAAGAGCAACAACGTTTGTTCTCTCGTGTCTCGGTCTCGTCCATGGCCTAGCCATAAATGTTGAAGCAAATTTGCAGTTCAAACATTGGCCGTGGCTTCCAAAACCGCCGCAGCCAGCGAAAACTTGCCTCGCCCCTGAAGCCTTGCAAACAGCAAGTTACTACAGTGGACTTGAGCCAGGAACTCCTGGGATTCGTGAAGGATTGTCTGAATCCAAAACGTATGTCATGTGTTCCGAGCTTTGTGTGTGCCATCTAATTAGAGAACAAGTCCAGACTAACACAGACGACAGTGACCAGGCTAACTTCATCAATTTCTGTGCTGGCAAAGTCCTCACAAACGGCCAGCAGAACAGAAATGGCTCTTGCAATGGCATCCCTATGGGTCGGATTCCGGCAACCACCAACATGATCTCATCCATCATCATATACCCTCAGCCAGGGGACAAGATTACCCCTAATACGACCTTCACTATCAGGATCCAGACACGCAACTTGCGTGCTGGTTACCTCGTAAACCCTAGCAGCAGCTATTACACAGCTCCACAAGATCTCGACGAGAATGGCAACATCATTGGGCATTGCCACGTCACTATCCAGGAGATTGGTACCCTCAGAACCCTGGAGCCGCCTGATCCCACAAAGTTTGCCTTCTTCAAGGGCATCGACGATTCTGGTGATGGCAAAGGCGGGTTAAGCACAGAGGTCACAGGAGGTTTGCCGGCTGGCGTCTACCGTATCTGCACGATGATCGCAGCTCGTAATCACCAGCCTGTGGTCATGCCTGTTGCACAAAGAGGTGCTCAAGATGACTGTACAAAGTTTGTTGTGGGGGAGTAGTAACAGTCTGTATGTTAGAAGAATCTGGGAGGAACAGTGGATATCACGAATAAGGCTGTCGATCGAATGCGTTCAGTCAACTTCAAGTCATGCATAGAGATTTCTAAAATTGCTCACGAAATGCAATATTTTTCTTGCATTCAGCAGGCTTCACCTGTAGGGTATCCTATTTTGTATGTAATTCTTCCCATCAATTGTACGTATTTAAATTAACCCAATTGCTTTTAATGCTTCAGTATCATTGTAAATGGCCCTGAGAAATCGAGCCAGATGTCTTCTAGTTAAACTGTATCGGACATACATTGGATAATCTTTGTCTGCTGCAGCACATGCGTGCTTCTATTGATTTGTTTCCTTTGTTATGAAGTGTGCACAGTGCGACAATGATGGCCTCATGCAAGATGCGCTGAGAATAAAGAGCCAACGAGAATGTTCTGTGAAAAATCAATAATGGAATTGTCTCCTCAAATTCTGCAGTTAAATGGATAGAAGTATCCTGATGAGATGCTCATTCGGTTTTCTCCTGCACTTGATTGACCAACATTTTTCTCTGACAACACTGGATACCTGTCATTCCCAATCGCAAACGAACGGCAGACTTAAAGCAAATATCCCACCACTATGCTGCTTGCCCTCCTGGATGTGACATATTCCGATGATCTTCGTCTTCATATACACTTCCTGATCCGGCATCTCAAAATCGCTCACCTCTGCCCTCGCTTCGTCTTCCAAGTCATAGCCCTCTTCTTCCTTTACGTGCAGGACTTTTTACAAGACAATACCCATGTTCTCGACCCACAATTGGCCCAAGTAAAGCTGCGCGTCAGACTAGCCCTCAAATATCAGCAGGCGTCCTGGGGTTGGGACAGGCAATTTTGTTATGATCCAGACAACATTTACCCTACATTGCAGGATGACTGTGCTGCCGAGTTTGTGATTGGTGTTATCCACCTTTTCTCTACTATGGGAAAGGGAATTACTGTCACGGAAGAAGGAGAACAGGGCGATTTTGAGGAGCTTGTCCAGGAAATCCATCGCTGGCTGTGTGTCTTGCAGTCAGTCTGGCTAAAGAATGGGGTATGGATAGAAGTGCCGTGGTTTGAAGACAGGATGCACAGGGCTCTCTATCTTGCCTTCAAAGAACTTGAGCCTCTGTACGACAAACTGTCCTTTATCAGACGATATGGCCCAGTTTAAGGTCCTTTCTGGTGCATATTAATACCGGGGATATGGTGGTTGAACATAGGATATGTAGTGAAAAGTCAGGATAACCGCCCAGTAAACAGATAAACGGTGATAGACATTCTATCAAACAACGAATAATATAACAATTTATACAAACTGCTATTCCCATGGACAACTGGGTTGCAAGAAGCTTCTTGAAAAATATAAGGCTCAGAACCTTAATCCTGTGTCAAGGGTACAGGGACTCTCAGGCTCACAGGCTCACAGGCAGCTACTTGTATGTACGTCCTTTCATGGTGAAGATCTTGGTATGATTGCCTACGTTTTCAGTCGTAGATGAACATTACTTCATATTTTACTTATCAGGTCTTCACAAATGCTCTCGGTTTCATGCAACCCTTCTCGCTTTACAATCTCTCCTTCTGCCACTCCCTCTTTGGACTTTCAGTCCCCGTTTTACTGGGCGTATATTCAAAAAAGGTAGAGCTCTGTCATTTTCATCCGAGGAGTCCTACACAGTGTACCTGCGTCTACGTTCGCCCTCCCGTAGACAGCAATGTCTCGTTCCCATTGACCACAGCCTCGGCGAACCGAAAACCCTTCTCCACTTCCACTTCGTAGTCACCTCTGGGCGCTCTCTCCTACTGTCCTGCTTACTCTTGGTATTAGCTTCCTCTAGAGTTTCATATCCAGCAGTGCTCTTTACATTGTGGCTACCTTTGCGCAATCTATTGACGAGTACTCAGCCCCTGTGACGGTAACCCAAACCAGCGACAGTACCCATCACACCTAAGGCACCAGTTACCCATCTCTTCACTTTGGGTGCTATGACTGACCAGTGTGTTGCAGTGAAAAATAGCGTAGCGGCTAGACAAACAAGCACCGAGGAGGCAAGCATGCAACTTGTAGCGGTGGAAGGAATATGGATAATGAAGGGTGTTTGGAAGAGAAGAGCGGTCAAGGCAAAGGGAAAGAACGCCAGAGCTGCTGTAGCGATGGTATTTATGGTCTGTGAAAGACGAGACGGGCTGGGTTCGTTTGTCTTTGGTTTGACTTGAGCAATCAATAATAGGAACTTAGGGGGTTATTAGCAGTTTCGACAACCATGAGACAGGAGAGAACAGGGAACACTGACTGGCAGAGTCGATATGCTCAAAGTTAGTGCCTTTCGGTAAATTGAAGTGTGGAGGGACTTGAGTTCACGCATATGGCCTTTGATGCGTTGACATGGCAGCTGTGTTGGGTGGAAGGTTGAATGCGTCGGTAACATGAGGTTCATCGAGATCGAACTAGGGAAGACAGGTCTCCTGAAAGCTTTACCAGACTAATATTGTGTCTAAAAGCACCTAGGGAACTTCTTCTGATATCTCCCAAAGATTACGAAACTGATAACATTGTACCTGTGCGCTCAAAGTTTGAGAGCCACAAGCCTAACACAATCTCAATGGCCTAAGCAGTGGCAAGATTTCGCACCTACATGGATCTTCATGCCCTTAAGCAAGTTCTTGCCTGTTCTCTTCTACTCTTCTGTCACTTCTTCCATGCATCCCTCCAAAGCCTGCAAGAAGCATTCCCTTGCTGTCCAGGTTAATGCATTACATGCAGTCTTGCCGCAGGTTAAGGGGTCCATGACGAAGCCGCCCTTGGTGGACTGGTAAGATTAAATGTCAAGATGGCTTTCTCCTCCGTCATGGTAGGCATCGAAGCCATAGCCAGTCCAAAAAAGGTTATCGAGACCACTGATCATGCACGATATTTGAGCTTCATGCAAACAAGCACATCCCAAGAGGATGCGTCTGTCCGTTGGACAGAGCGCCTAGAGAGGCTGTGACACAAACTCTTCGATGTCATCCCAGAAGTATCTCGTGGAAGGACTGTCATTAGGCACAAAGGTGCGAAGAACTTTTCAACGGTAGTAAGAGTATCGCCGTGATACATCTCGGCAAGAGCCATGCAGCAGGGTTCATCTTCCATGGAACAGAAAGCAGTTCTGTCAGTATCATAAAGCTTGGGCCACAGAGACTGTTTTCTCTGCCCCTCGGGGCAAGGATACCTGTCTTCCGCTGATTGGCTGCGTTTGTGTCATTACAGTCTTCTTGGGATCAAAGTCAGGTTTGTCAAAGGTTGTTCCTGTGTCAAGCCTTAGTGCTCGAAGGAAGTCTGCAATGTGATTCCTCTCCATGGTGTGAGCAACAAAAGAGATGCTGGAGAAGGTGGGAGCAGATCCCAAACGACAAGGGGTAGTTCGAGTAGAAGGACTGGAGAGAAGCTTTGGTATAATGCTGAGATCTGGATGCTTTTAGCCCCCTCGGGTGCTTGGCGTAGGCAGTTTCTCCACATCTCGACGTCGAGATTCTCTTTTCGTAAACGTCAAGTCACAAGAACATATGTCCCATCTTGCAACCCTGTCAGTGGAGAAGAGGGGGCATTGAGAAAGATGAGGGAGTGTTCCACATGTGTTTAAGGTAAGGACATCGGCGTCATCACGATCGTCTTCTGCTTCTTCGAGAGAAGGGAGTAGATTGGGGCATGTTGACGAGGTGGTTTCAAAAGGGGGAAGTCCAGTATTCTGAACAACGGGAACAAGTGAATATGCATCATCGGCGAAACAGATGCCTAATGTCCAAGCCTGCATCTGGTTGATGAGTCGCCTGTGAAGTTCAACGACAGAGTGCCAGTCAACCTTGTGAGCAGCATGAGCAAGCTCCTGAGCTAAGGAAGCAGTAAAAGAGTATTTTCTTTTTGAGTAATAGCTAACTCAACCGCATACAGACAACGCCTCAATAGTTCCATTGCCTGAGAGTGGTTGAGCTTCTGGTGTTGAAGGGTAACCTTGTAGCAACAAGACATCACAGTTAACCTCATTCAGGAGGGAGTGTGGAACCGAGGTAGGTACGGTTAGAGCATCGCGACCCCAACTGTCCCTGGTTGATGGTTTTGACGAATATCATCATAAGGCCAGTGACTTACCCAGACAGAATCAGCAGTGAGCTGGTCATTAAGGCGAACATGTCCAGCATAATAGATGATCAGAAGCAGTGGTTGGATCAGTATAGACCGTTGGCAGCGAGTTATATTTTGAATAGAGACTTTTATAGATGGAAGCCTGAGTATCCAGAGACTGTTTATCAACATTATGGAATGTCTGAGTTAACAGGCCACCACTTGGCACTAATTGTTGGCTATGATGTTAAAAAGGAGGTTTGGATCATGAAAAACTCCTGGGGTTCAGGGTGGGGAACTCAGAGGTTTGTTTACTTTGGGTGAGTCGGTCTGTGCTCCTAGTTCAGGGGCGATCCGGGTATTACAATCGAGACCCCAGCTACAATGAAGCTTTCAAAGACTTTTGGGCGAAGTACGGTCTTACTAACGTCAATCCGAACCCATGGACACGGAAGCGCCATCAAAGTGGAAGCATGGTGCAGTCAGGTAATGGCAGGACTCAACGAAAATTTGGACTTCTATCGGGAACTCGGAAATCGGAAGGTTTATTCACATATAACGAGACGGCGACTTGAAGAAATGGAGCAAGATCTCGGTTATAGGGGGCGTTAAGGCCAGACTTGTTGGGCGCCCAGTCATCATTGGAACCTCCTTAAACAGGGACTTCCATGCAGTTGGTGTCAGTGAAGATGTGAAATTCCATCAGTCAAAGAAGAGATAATCCCACTTGTCAATAATCAACGATCAAGATATCGATGGCATCCCTGGTCTGACTCAAAGCGATGACTTACATCTAACCTTGGGGGTCAAGCATACCGATGGTACACTGAATGAGGTAAACTGCTTCGCAAACCTCTCCTTAGTACAGTTATGGACTCCTAGGAAGTCCAATAAGGCCCCAACTCAACAACCTGGACCATTACCCGTCGCATTGCCACATCTATTTCCCAATCCGGTCCATTTCTCGTCCAATCCAACATCGGCTTTGACCTCTACACCTAACATCCACCCGCAAAGGCCATCTCTACACCGTAGCTGTACGAGAAGATGGTCAACTGCAACTTTTCTGGCGCCCGGGCAATCCCAAAGACGCATCTTGATTTTCAGGAGAAGTGTTTTGCATCTGACATCCCCCCTTCCAGTCCGCCTGTCATGATCAAAGACTTCTTTGACACGGTGAACGAGACTGCTGCAGGTGGTTTTCAGTTGTTAGTGGCTGATGAAAACGGGACAGTGCAGCATTGGGAAAGGAGGAACGATGACACCCAGCTGAGGCCACCAGAGGAGGGAGTTCAAGGGAAGTGGGGGTTGGTTGAAATTACGGGCGCGGAGGTCAAGAGGGTATGGGCCCACGTTCAGGGGAGCTTTTGGGGGAAATACATATGATGACTGAGGGGGCCGACGGAAAGATTGGGTATTGGGAATAGGATGGGAGCTGGAAGCTCATTGTGTCACTGCCTGGGCTGAGGGATGAGGGCTGGGAGAAGAGTAAACCCGTCAGTGGAGGATAGAGGATGGATCGTGTAAAGTAAGCATCTACATAGCAATGTCATGTACAATGGGTACACAGATCTGTACATGAAGCCGGACTTTAAATCAAGATCACTATCATTAACGTGTCTACTGCTCATTAGAATCCATTATTTAGATGCTATTTCATGTCTGACGAGGTGCTTCCGAATAAGGAGGGGGATCAGCAGCATAGGGGGGTGGCGGGTCATCTATAATCTCGGGGTCAACCTCAGCCTCAGGCTCATTGGACTGGATTGTGGTCATTGGAATGTCGTTATTGTTGCCGTTGTTGTTACGATGGAGGGCCTTGCGTCGGTCTTCTCTCTTCCCCCTGGTGATGCGAAAGCCCACGAAAGCCATCACGACAGCAGCATAAAGCAGGGAACTATATGCCAAAAAATAGTTAGAGACTCTTCGAAAGAAAGCATTTGTGGGAGCATACCAGGGCACCAAGAGCATGACCTCGGCAGCTTTCCAACGCCTTTGCCACTTCCAGCCTATGTAACTCCACTTAATCCACGAAGGCTCTTTATTAATGAAGGTGTGCAGGTAGGCTCCAAGGATGCAGCTAGCGACAGCAAAGTCTGCCAGAAGCGCAAACTTGATGTGTGAGAGGTTGTACTTTCTGAGAAATGCTGTAACAGCAATGTAGGCATTCACAACAGTACCGCAGAAGACCTTGAAAATGTGTCAGAGCTACCTGCTTTTGACTCGAAATTGTATCTTGTTGGGGAGACTCACGCTAAGTACCCCAAGAGGGCCAGTGTCACCCCCAACGTTTATCTTATGAACTTCTATATTCCACCACAAGATGTAGACTGAGCCACAGAACATGATGGCGGCCATTGTAGTTCGAAAGCAAACGGTGAGCCAGCGAGGGTATGGCAGGAGGTTATCTTCGGAATCATCGAATGGTGATGGGGCCTGAGATGGCCTAAGCCAGAGTCTTGCTCCTAACGGCCTACGCTCATCAATCCAACTCATGTTGTCCTCAAACTGCTCAGACCACTGCAATGTCTAAAGCACGACCCTGAACTGGTATCGACATAATAAAGAACTAAAGAGCAGCCGAACAGCCCGAGGCTCGCGAAGTCGGGGGCTGTTTGCTTCTTGATAAGCCTGAGAACATCAAGCGGCCGCTGCGATCAGTCAAGTCTGGACCAATGAGGGTTATGATTAATCGATAGCGTGGCTGCCTCGTGCTGCACGCGCGGCTTGGCAATCCCGTGTTGGCAAACACCTGTGGCGCAGCAGAATCGAGGGATTCGGGGGATCAATCTTTTGGCACAGGGCTCCGCCCCCAGTGCTACCGCCAACCCTCCACTCACTTGGCATCAGGCAAAGCAGTTTGGCTTCAAGTGACCCTCCGAGTCTTATCGTCTTAAGAAATGGTAACAACGGCAGCGGTCAGCAAGAGACGTGTGTTGCAGTGCATAAGGCATGGTTTAAATGACTCCGAGAGACCACTGCTTCCCCAGACCGGATGCGACTTCAAAATCGGTACCATTAGCCTTTCAGGACTTTATATCTTACAATGCCGTATCATCCACAGGTCATCTGATTCAACAACTCCATCCTAAGGTATGTAAGGGCAAGAAGGGCTCCGAAGCTTTCGTTACAACAACATCTTCCTCGACATGCCATGAATCATGCGAGGGGCTGGAAGGACCTGTTATAAGCGAAGAGTGAGAAATTCACCCTCTGAGGATGGACAACAGCATGCAGTGATAGCGATGGACAGGAGCTCAGGCTAGAGGAATTATCGTGCAGAGAGTGACGATCTAGTAATAATTCGACCATTTTCACATTCCAGGACCAGTCATCGACAGAAAAGTACTCGCCAAGGAAAACAGCCCATGAAGGCAAGTCGCCAGTGACCAAGTCGACCAAGACCATGACAACTGCGCCACAGGTAGTATACTTTTTAGGGCCTGCAAAAGTTGTGACATAGACATTGATAAACAATCCAAGAGCAAGCCGCAAAGCAGGAGGTCTGTTTGCCCAGAGAGCAGACTCAAGTAGAGAGTTGGAAGTACTCACAACGACTCCTCCAAACCCACCACTGCATACGTTTCGTCCTACTGGATTGTCTCGTTTGTAAGTGCGACTGTACCAGCTTGCATAGATCGTGAACGCGAGAAAGACGACAGCCATGGTTTCACGGAAGGAGTTGTCGGCCATCATGGATATGGTGGAGCATTCGCCGGCCTGTGCTTGGCCAGCGCCTCGTCAGGGGACATCGGAAGGCTGCCAGTCATGTTGTCCAGCCAGCGTCTTGCCAACGACGACCTGTGGTAATCGGCCTGAGGAAGGACGCTGGAAGTTTTAAGTAATAGTATCAGGTATCAAGGTATCATACACACAAGATGCCGAGAACATATACATGTGGCGGCAAATCGCGATCGCTCCCATAAGCATCCGGCCGACGAGCAGTAAGGAGGTAATGTGCCGTTGGTTTACGTATAAGCTGCATGGAACATGTTCAACGTTGCCTTTTCATCGCCCTTCAGGGGTCGGAAATTTGGGCTAAATGCGCCGGCGTGGCGCAAGCGGGTTGGTTGGCCAAAGCGGGCAGAGTAGTTGACAAACCACAGAACCGTTCAACGCTGCGGCATGGAGATATGCCAATCAGCCGGAAAGCGGTGTTGATGTCATCAGTATTGACTATCCAAGACGACCAACAGCGATGTCAGAGGAACGAAAAGCCCGGAAAGCTGTGCAAGTATCATCTACAGTACCATAATGGTAGTTAACACGATTTGAACGAGGACCGAGATCCTTCTGGGTGTCAGATCGCGGTGTGCAACGCTCATGACAGCCCTACTAACGCGCACCCCACTTGGCGTCACGGAACGGGCCACCTAAGCCCACGCCCCGACAAGGCTCATGCAAACAGCGCCGAGAAACACGAGCAAGCAGGCAAACACCCTCCTGCGACCGCGCAGAATGGCCCAGCTGGCGTCGCTCAAAAAGTCCTCGGCCAGCAGCTCGATCAGCGCGGCAAAAACCAGTAAACCAGAAGAGATGGCGTTCATGGTGCCGACCAGGATCAGACCGAATTCCGAATCCGGGCTGTAGAGAGTGTGCGTGGCAAGGCCGATGGCCTGACCGATGGGGGTACTGATGAGGTGTTAGTGTTCAGTGGAACCTAAGGCAGAATGGAGATCGGGGAGATCGGGGAGACGTACGTGCAACCGTAGGCAAGAACCATCAACCACGGTTGAAGAGTCTTCTTTGGCCAAGTGATGGAAGCAATGCGGGCTCCGAGGGCAAGCCCTTCGAAAGTTTCTAGACGGCGATGCATGTCAGTATTGACCAGCGGTCAACGATGGCGACAAGAACTTACGGTGGAAGGCGATTGCAATCAGCAGCACGGCAAAGTTGGACCCAACAGCCACGCTTAGGGCCATGCCTATGAACACACTGTGGAACAGAATACCCACCTCAAGCAGCATGCATTGTAAGATACTCTTCTTGTGTTGCTGCTCTGGGGTCAAGGGGCCTGCGTCCTGTGATTCCAACTGACCGTGCACCATCGGAACCGTCTTTTCGACTGAAGGAGCCCGTTGGAGCGGAGTAGCAGGTTCGATACTATGACGATGAGCACCTGAGGGACGTGTAATTGCCGCCACAACACCCGCGGTATGTCCGCAGTGACCGCCAATGCCGCTAAGGGCACCCCTGACAGCCGGATCCGTGGATGTCCCGACTTGGGTGAGAGCATTGAGGGAAGTGACAGTCTTCTCCGGCTCTTTTGGTTTTTCCTCCGTCTGGCCAAACCGCGGGATGTAGTTCCGAGCGGGGCTGAATACCATCTCGATGACGGAGACAAAGAAGATACCGACAAGGGCGATGGCACCAGGCATGGCAGGATAATCGGTAGTCCAAAAGCTGGACAAGCACGGGTTGCCAAGGGACGAGAACGCAGTGGGCAGTAGGTGGACGAAAGCTGTGGCGAGGAGGACTCCGGTACCAAAATGGCGGACGCCGAAGAAAAAGGTCTCGGGGATTCGAAGAAAAGGGAACTTGAGGGCCATCAAGGGCACACCACAAGCTAAGCTCGAAACACCCATGATGATGAACAAGGCGCCCACATGGAGGGGAGTGTTGTACTCATGAGGGGCGGCAGTCGCTCCAGCACAAGCATCCTGACGTTTGGATAAAAGGCGAACGGGAGAGCCGACTGCGAACAGTTTAGCGCCCATCGCGGTAGAACGATTGAAACGGGACCTGGATACCTTTGTCAGGGCTCAAGATGGCCGGCTTGACGGCACCGGCAGACAGCTTGAACAAGGTCGGGAAATAAGCCCCTACCACATTGACCAACGCCGAGGTCAAGAGGACCGACGTGATCCAACCAAACCAGCCCGAAGGGGGCCGGATTTGGAATGAGAAGCGACAGGCCTGGCCTTCACCACCAAGCACTGTCTTGGGCGCAATGAGCGGCTCTATAAAAGAAGGTAAGTATACTGCCCAGAGACATTGGCTGTTGTTTAATAAGACACAGAATACTACACAGTACATACGGATAGACCAGCCGCTCATTGCTAGGAAGGAGCGCCAACGGGCCCCGGGTTCGATTTCTCTCATGCCGACATGGCCCATGTGTTTTCCATTTTTATTGAATCCATAGGCGTCAGCAGGAAGGGCATTACAGCGGCGATTACGCTGCTCACGGGCATTGGCGATACCATTAAGATCCTGGCGAGTTGTCAGGTCGGCAGCCAGGAACGGTGGGTTCTGGTTCCATGTTGGATGCTCCAGATCGTCGTCGGTACGCGATGGGCGGTTCATTGTGCGTTTAACCGTGTCCAATCCAAAACGTATGGCGTATCGTGGGCGGTGATGACAGCAAAGATGACGATTTTTTTTGGGCGGGGGGGGGGCGGTGAGACGGATGATCTCTTAAAATTTACGAGGTACTATAATGGTATGGAAGAACGGACCGAGTCGATGACGCGATTTCGCGAGCTTACAGAAAGTCTGAATCTCAATGAAACACGCTGGTGCTGTTGATGCAAGCAAATTCAATTGTCAACACTACAGTACAGCTGTACGACGTGTCTTTGAGTGACAATCCCCCCTTTAAAACTTCAAAAGATGAACCTTGATGGATGTCAAAGCTTTTGTCCCTTCCTTGCTCATCGAACGGTCGGGTGGACGGTCTGGACTCTGCTTGGCCCTGAAGCTTGATTGGCGGGCCTACCAGTCACAGAGCCTGGGGGCATTTTTCAGTGGGGCTTGCTCCATGCGGCGCTGCCGCCGCTGACGAGTCCCTGGCGCGGCAACACCGTACCCAGCTCCGGCGCCCAAACCCCGTGACGCTTCGATTTCGGTTAACTTCAAAGCCCTGTCGGAAAATTACGGAACTGGCAACGTCTTATCGTCTGTAAGTTACCGTAAGATACGCCTAAGATGCTGAAAATTTGGAAATCCCATCCCTCCAGCCGCAAAATCGCCGACGACTAGCGCGCTTGCCGTGGCAGGCTGAAAATCGATTCCTGTGGGTTTCGATTTGGTTGACATCACCGCCGCCTAAATGACCCGATTGGCCTTGCCGCGCGGAAGCTCCCGGCCAGGACCTGCACGTCGGATCCTGCATCCGCCTTTGTGCCACTTACCCCTCCGGGTTAGGGTTACGCACCTGATGCTCTTGAATTTTCAAAACCCTTTTTCCAAGCACGTTTCCACGGATGTATGCCAACCTTGCAGTTTGACGGGCCACAGCTCTCAGAACCAAGCTCCGGTGCTCCAATCATGCAAGAGTTCCTTGCTTGACGTCACCCCGCTAAGATACGGTACAACAGGCTGGGCAGCATAGATGTACGAGATTAGCTCTCAGCAAGTCATGAAGTGACCACAGGATACCGAGCCTGTGCTGCCAGATGCTGAAAACATTGGAGGAATAAGTAGGGTCAAAAATTTGAAACACTTCATCCCAGGCGCCAAATCCATAAGACAGATCTTTGCTTCACATAAAATCAAATGCGGAGTGGATTCAACTGAAGCGTTCTTCGATCACAAGCTGTGGTCATGCGGGGTCACATCAGCCGGGCAAGGTCTGGTGAGGGGCAGAAGCAGGGTGCCTTCTCTCTCACCAAAGGCACGTGACTGTCCCGAGGCGAAACTTCGAGTCCCCGCGTTCTTCCATCCCAGCCAACTCTTTTCCTCTGTGAATCTCTGTCAAATGCGTGGCATGCTGTCGCTAAAGATGTCAACTTGGCATGGTTTCTCACATCAGGCTGCACCGTATGAATACCGCCAGCAAGATATCAGATTTCCCATTCAACCCCTGTGTATCCTTGTTGGATGACCAGCAGCCAAAAGAAAACCAGGAGATTTTATTGATGGAGGCCAAATCCCTCCTGTGTTTCTTTGTTTCTCTGCCACTTATTTGATTCCAGTGAATCTGAAAGCTCGACCAACCCCATGTTTGCAACTGGCACAGGTTTCCATTTCTCAACCACGATATGTCTTCAGAACTGCATCTTCACGCATGCTTTTTATGTCATACCCCATCAGGTCTCCCCAAGTTATTCATGTGGTGATAGCCCCATGGGCTTGGAGTTTGTCCAAAGACTAAACTTCACGTTGTCCCTGATTGATCTGAGAGGAGGTAACTTGGGACGGGCAGGAGTCATACCAGGCCACCATAAACTTGTCCAGATCACCACTCGATAGCCACCTAATGTCGATCCAAAATGCTTATCTGATACATCGTGAGCCAGGTTTCATCATCTGACCCCAGATGCGCAATGTCGAGCGAGCAGGGAAGACCCTTCCAACATTGCTCAGGGCACGTACGCGCTGGAACGTTCGATCTTCCTTGCTCTTCCGTGCTCATCGCTGTGACGCTGCATGCTTGTAATACAGCTTGTTGTCTCTATCGACCCTGCCAAGTTTCGTCGATTTTCGATAGACAGCAAGGCAGCGGCAGCATGTGGTGCATGGTGTTCTGTATTTAGCTAGTGCTACTGCTCCATCCCCCAATCGAAGTTATAACCGTTTGCCATACCATCGAACGTCCTTCCTGTGAACCCTTGTTTCTGAAACATGCAAGCTGGACCGGCATCGGGGAGCTCCCAAGGATGAGTCTTTGTGACAAGCAGAGAGAATATTGATAAGAAGGACATGAATTTTCGTTGCCCTTGAACATTACACAAACAGTCGGTGCTGTATGTCGTAGAGCATAGACGGTGTGGCAAGAGACAAGACAGTGAGTACGGAGAAGATGAGCATCTCAACATCTAGCAGAGACGAAGAGCAGCCGCTGCTTCGGAGAAGCTCTGAGATGAACAGAATCACTGAACGATCCCTCCAATATGGCGTCGTTGACTTTACGAGCTCAGGCCTAACACCGCCGACTGATGCTATTGTCGTCGACTTTGACCCTTTGGGCGACCCCGATAACCCCCTGGACTGGGCCACCTCCTTCAAATGGACCATTGTCGGCATGTTGGCCATGATGGCCTTCACCGTGTAAGTCTGACCCTGTCGCACATTAGATTCAAATTTTTCAAGGCTAACAACCATCCCTGGGAACAGTACATTCACATGCATGTCACCCGTCCCCCTGGCAAGCGCCATCGTCTCAGAGCTCTCCCACTCTCCCAACCCGGCGTCATCCTCCTCCGTCTTGCTAGTAACCATTTGGGAGCTAGGAGAAGCCGCCGGCCCCTTAGTCATCGCCCCCTTATCTGAGATGGTCGGCCGGTACCGTGTGATCAACACTGCCAACGTGATTTTCATCACCGCCATCGCGCTGGCCGCCACAGCGACCTCCGTCGAGCAGTTCATTGCCGCGCGCATGCTGACCAGGCTGGCGGTCGCAAGTAACGTGTTGGCGCCGGAGATTGTGGGGGATATTTTTGTGAGAGAGCAGCGTGGCGGGGCGCTCAGCCTGGTTTTCTGGCCCCGTTAATTGGAGGAGCGTGTGGGCCGATGTTCGGGAGTGCAGTCGCGAACAGATGGGGATGGAGGGCTGTGTTATGGGGAAATGCTTCGTTTGCAGCAGCGTGTGAAGGGTTGTTCCTTACGTTCTTTAGGGAGACGTACAGGGTGGTTATCCTGAGAAGGAGAGCGGAGAGATTGGCGATGGAGCATAAGCGTCTGGCTGGACCAGAGGCATCAAAAAGCTTGAGGTTCAAGACGCCTTATCATGGAGATGATGAGGCTTCAGTGACCTCATCTCAGCTAAGGAAGCTTGGCGAAGCCATTCTCAGACCCATGATCGTCCTCTCGGGGAGTGGTGTACTAATGGCCATGAGTCTCCTAGCCGGGACTGTGTTCACTTTTCTCTATGTCTACAACACGACATTGGCGGATATGCTGGTCAATGTCTATAAGATACCCCCGGAGATGGTTGGCTCCTGCTACGTCGTCTTTTGTAAGTCACTTAACTCATTTCCCTCTCGCGAACATGACTCTGACTAACCTTCCCAGCCCTTGGGTCTGCTATTAGTGTCGTCATTTGTAACATCGCCTTGGACCGCATCTACGTACGGATACGAAACTCCCACAGTGGCGTTGGCCGGCCCGAATTCCGGCTCCCTTTGGCCATCATCGGCTGCTTCCTTCTACCTCTCAGCGTGGGAGCCTACGGCTGGTCTACTGAACTGAGGCTTCCACTGGCAGTCCTGCTCTTCGCAACAACCTTGATGGGCTCTGCTATTCTTCTTGCCACTATCCCTATCATGGCGTACGTTGTTGACGCTTTTGGAGTGTATTCAGCTTCAGCCATTACAGCTGTTATTGTCACGCGATGCTTGATGGGCACCTTCTTGCCCCTGACAACCGTCCCGCTCGTTGAAATGCTTGGATATGGCTGGGGCTTCATGGTGTTAGCAGCGTTCAGCTTCTTCATGGCCCCTATTTCAGTTTTGATGTTAAGATACGGCGCTTTTTGGAGGAGGTTTTCTAAGTACGCTCGGGATGCATAAACAATGACGGCCCTTCGATGCATGGAAACAGTCTGGTCACGGAAACGACGCTTGAGAAGTTTACAAATAAATTCGCATTAGCTAAACCTCGTTCTTTGTCCATTTACGGCGGCTGCTATATCCCAACCATTATTAATCCTGCAAGGTCCAGGACACCCTAAGCATTCTCGAGTATTCAAACGAGCTAGCCGCTTGCATCTACTAGCACAGCCACAATGACGAGCAAAGAACATCTCAACTATTTTATCAGTTCAATTCCAACTCTGCTGCTGTTGTGTAACTGACAAGACGGAGATAAGAGTTGAGAAATTGGTCACATAATGAATATTGAGCAAGAGCCGCAGCGTGACTGGTTGCGAGGCTATGACGTCGTTCTCGCAAGATTGTGCGAATCGTAGCACGCCGATGGTTGGTGAAACCATCACCAGCAATGTTTCCCTGCGGTGGCACACAATCCCACGGTAACACCTTTGGCTCTTAGCTTCGCCATATACATGTGGCTGACGCGATGACGGGAATATCAAACTTACGTATTAATTTTCTATGGTGCAAGTTCATCATGCCTCCCACTAGAAAGGTCTATTTAAACTGGGCTTAGTATACCGAAGTTCAGGGCAGGTTGAGAGATCATCATCCTGAAAACGCACCCAAGTCTGCTTATATCAGCTCGAGTCATCACCATGGCAACTACCACCATCACCAAGACCAACACTGAGGAGCTCCCCCTTCGGTTGACCGTTGCCTATGATGAAAAGCTCCACGAAAAGGTTAGCTCCCGAAATTGTTCTGATATTCAGTGGCGTACGAAACCTAACAGATCCCAGTACAAATACACAGAATACCTTCCGGTCTATGACGAAGTGACCAAATTCCCGCCACTCAAGCCGTTCGAGTTCAATGACCGTGGCCTGGTAGCCAACAAAGATAAGCCAAACCTCTTCTCGAAGGACAACCCCAACCTCAAGGTGACCAAGCTCACACCTCTGATTGGCACTGAGATCAGGGGTTTGCAGCTGTCGCAACTCAATGATCTGCAAAAGGATGAGCTTGCCTTGCTGATTGCCGAGAGGGGTGTTGTCGTCTTCCGCGAGCAGGATTTTAAGGATATCGGCATTGAGAAGCAGAAGGAGTTTGGACGGTACTTTGGCCCACTACACATCCATGTACGTCCTCTTGATCAAGCTTCCAAATGCAAAGGATAACTAATTCCCATCAGCCCGTCGGTGCCCACGTCAAAGACCACCTCGAGCTCCATAACATTTATCTCGGCCCCGACAACGAGTACCGCAGCAAACGGCGCAGCAACCGGCTGACCTCAACCGGTTACCACTCCGATGTCTCCTATGAGCGTCAGCCGCCCGGAATCACCATCCTGACGCTGCTTTCCGTCCCACCCACGGGTGGCGACACAGCCTGGGTGTCGCAGACAGCAGCCTACCAGCGGTTGTCATCCCCGATCCGTGCGCTGCTCGAGGGCCTGCGGGCTGAGCATAGCGGGTTCCCGCAGGCTGAGCAAGCCAGGCGCGATGGCAAGTTTGTACGTCGTGAGCCTGTGGCAACTTTACATCCCATTGTTCGGGTTCACCCTGCGACGGGACAGAAGGCGCTGTTTGTGAACCCGGGGTTTACGAAGCGGATTGAGGGGCTCAAAGATGAGGAGAGTGATGCACTGCTGAGGTTGTTGTTTGATCATATCACTAAGGGACAGGACTTTCAGGTTAGGGTAAAGTGGGAGGAGGGCACAGTGGTGCTGTGGGATAATAGGGTGACGGCACACACGGCAATTAGTGACTATGATGTGCATAACCCTCAGGAAGGGCTGAGACATGGGTTCCGAATCACGACGCTGGCAGAAAGGCCCAGGGGTGTGAATGGGTTGGAGAGTATCTGGGAGTGAATTCGGAGTGATACTCGAGATCCATGTACCTTAACTTGCTGATGAGTATGCATGTGGTCTTCATATCTATCAGCCAAACTCATTTCTCGTTTCCAGTATGAAATTCATGCAGTTAACATGATACAATCCATTAGAATTCGCCGTTAATGAAATCCAGAACAGTGACTTTCTCGATAATTGGCTCAATCTCCTTCTTGAATGCCTTGTGGACGGGGTCATGCTGGACATAGTAGTCTCTGTCGTTGTGGTTCTCGAACTGGACGACAAAGGCATGCGTCAAGCCATCCTAGAACTTGTCAGTAAACAACCCATGGGGCAATAAAAGATGATCTGCAATGAATTGGTTCATGTGGCAAATGGGGTCCAATCATACCTGAAGACCCTCAGTGGACATATCCTTGCCTCCGCTGATACTCTTGATGTAGGGATGCTGTGAATTGGGCGCCAAACATTCATCCTTCAGCGCAAGCATACGCGTACAAGCCTATCATTCATGAGCAGTCGTCCCAATTAGACCGATCGAATGACCTCATGAACAGACCTGGCGAACCGCAGCAGGGTCGGCGGACTTGCTGAAGTGAAACAGGACCAGGTGAGTAACAACATGAGTCGATCCAGGGGTCATAAAGTTTGTCAACGACTCTGAAGCAAAGCCAATTGGGTCGAAGAAAAGGAAGATAATGAGAATTAAGGCCACCGCAATGGTGAGCCTCAACACGTGGACCTGCACTCCTGACACGCTGACCATTTTACCTTGATTTTCGAAAATGCCGATCGACACGTCAATATTCGTGATGTCAGAATACCATATGAAAAGGGGTATTTCGTTAAGGTTGTTCCAGTCTGCAGGTCGGTCAAGCGGATAATACTGATTCCTGTGGCGCAGCACAGCCGTGTCAGTACATGAACCCCCCACGTTCACACGTGACTGCGCGTAGGACCTGGGACGCGTTTCTTTGCTGACAGGGATGTTGAAATCCTTCATGAGATGTGCTTCATGCATCCACACTGTTTACACTGGGTCATCACTGTTGAGCCGAGGGGCTGCTGGTTGGTTGCTTGGCTGTCAGCGATCGCACCAACTCCCAGCTCTGATACTGACACAGAATCCCAGCTCAGGTTGAAAATTTCCGTAAATCTTCGTATTTTAGTGGCAATCCCTCTGTAAAGTATACTTTATCTGAGCGTAATTTTCACCGGACACGCAGGCTGCACAACCAAAAACCAGTATGCGCCGTCTTGCAACGAAAACTGTCAAAAAACCGCAGGTAGACATGTAAGCTTTCAAAAGATGAGCAAATTTTAGAGCTAATAGAAAGTCTGAGAAAAATATACATAACATCATTTCTCACTGACCATACGGAGCACCAACCGACACGACCTCTTGCACTCAGCCAAGCCATGTCGCAATTCACACCCACAATTCACACCAAGCTGCCCCTCATCCTGAGATTGCCCCCACTTGTTCACCTCCACCAAAGAACATCGCAATCCATGCTGCGCATTTGCCGTCAACATCCAATTGCACTTGTCCCAGCTGTCTGTGCTGTAAGAAAACAAGCTACTGTTGCAAGCATGGCTTCACTTAGCATAAGCACCACACTTAAGCTGGCCAGCGGTTATGACATTCCTCAGCTAGGCTTTGGTGTAAGCAAAGACCATATACGTGATGGCTGCACTTCAAGGGCTTCAATTGACTCTTGATTGATCCTTAAAACCTGACATCGAAGCCTGCTATTGTTAGCCAAGCTAGGCTAGAGGCTGATATCTTGACAGGTCTACCAAACGTAAATCTCATGAACCTTGTTGAACATTTAACCAGCTAGCTGACGGGTGTCAGGCCAGCTAAGGACGCAGCAGGTCTCGTCACTGAAGCTTTCGAAACGGGCTATCGCCATGTATGTCCCCAAACCTAGCTTCGACAAGCAACTTACTCAAACGGTGGAAAACAGGTCGACTCCGCCGCAGCCTACCGCAACGAGCGTCCCTGCGGCGAGGCCATCCGCTCCTCCCCAATTCCTCGCTCCCAACTCTTCTTCACCACCAAGATCCCCGTCAAAGCTGTCAGCTACGAGGGTGCCAAAGCCCAAATCGACAAATCCCTAGCCGAGACCGGCCTAGACTACCTCGACCTGGTGCTGATTCACGCCCCGTACGGCGGCTCAGAGAACCGCAAGGGTGCCTGGAAAGCGTTGGTTGAGGCCGTTGAGGAGGGCAAGGTTCGCAGCATTGGTATCAGCAACTACGGAGTGCATCATCTGCGCGAGCTGGAGCAGCACATAGCCGAGCTAGAAAGAGAGAGGGGCGGTAAAGGCAAGGGAGGTGTTATCAGCGTTGGTCAGTGGGAAATCCACCCGTGGTGCTTGCGGGAAGACATTGTTGCGTGGTGCAAGGAGAAAAGAGTCGTCGTTGAGGCTTACAGTCCTCTGGTCAGGGGCAAGCGCTGGGGTGAACCGGTGACCAAGAAGTTGGCTGAGAAGTACGGCAAGACGGAGGCGCAAGTGTTGATCCGTTGGAGCTTGCAGAAAGGCTATGTTCCCTTGCCGAAGACGGTTCATTCTGAGAGGATCAAGGAAAATGCGGATGTCTATGACTTTGAGCTGACACCAGAGGAGATGAAGGAGCTCGAGACAGATGAATACTCTCCTGTTTGCTGGGATCCTACACGCTCCAAGTTGGATAAGTGAAGCGATTGAAAGCATTGAGAGGGATTAGAGAAAATACATCAAGAAACAAGTTCAATCTAAGCATAATATTTGCGAGCCCTCAGGGACAGCCCCACATGACACACGTAGGAACATACCCAACCTCAACCAACATCTCTTCAACCGGTCCCAGACTCGGCCAGCCCAGCGCCCTAGCACCGCTCTCAAGCAACCATCCCAATTCCATCAGCATCCTCTGCAACACCTCACCTCCCTCAGAATCCAACTCTTATCCTTCCTGCTCACCATCAACCTCAACCGCCTTCGCCACAAACGCCAATGCAACCCCAACACAACCCATTGCCTCTTCCGCACTCAAACTGCCCGGCGGTCGCCGAAACTCAACCGTCGCACGACCACAACCATCAATACCTGCACCCGAGGGCATCATCCCAACCATGTTCCACTTGAACAGTTTCCCCTGGACAAAATCGTGATCCATGCACAAGGCAATGTCACGCGGTGAGGTTTTGGAGACCAGGTTCATCGTTTCCACAAGTGGGACACAATTTTCTGATTGGTCTGTCACCATCGCGGAAGCGGCATCGATTTTAGAGAAGCAGTCCCGTAGGGAAAGGTCAAGTAAAGGAACGCTGGTACGGTTAGAACGGCACCAGTACTTGTCTTCTTTTTGCAGCTGAGTATGGAGGTTGGGGCGTGAGAAGAGGAGGTAGTCAAGCGCGGGCTCGAAGTAAAGGATTGCTTTGGAGAGACGGGCGAGTCCGATGGCTAAGAGAGGGTTTGGCCAGCGGGAGATGTGGATGTGGGTTGAACATTGGGAACATGGGAGGACATGGAAATGGGCTTGGAGGACGTGGAAAGATTGTGGTGACATCGGACTCGTATTGGGGGGTGAGGAGTGAGTCGTAGATGGGGGAGACGAGCTTAAGGAGGACTTTTGAGGTTAGTTCGAAGTATATTGGTGTCAAGGTTGATCAGGAGAGTTCTTACTGTGTCCGTCCTTGGGAGTGATGGTGGCCTCTTGGGTAATGGACCATTCTCCGTAATTGGACATGAACGCATCATTGATTTTGTTGATATGATTGAGAACTATAGCTTCTTTGAGCCTAATACTGACATCTTTTGTGAGAGACTCCCAGGTAGGCTCTGTCTGAAACGCCGAAAGCGGCTTTCGAAAGGGGGACCATTTTACCTGTTGCTTTTGATGATGCTTCGACTTGGCAATGAGAAGTTCTAGCTCAATACCGAAGCGAAAGAGCTGTCCAACGGTGCCCATTTTTGCTGCGGTCACTCTAACGCAGAGCTTTCGAAAGCTACAATGCTCACTCTGATCATCTACAGTTAAAAAAATATATTCAGAATTACTGAAGATAGGTACTCTATATACCGATCTTTTGATTCAACCTCTCAGCAAGTCCAGGCTCTTGATTACAACCATCGTTGTCTCCATAGTCCTTCACAATCCTCCAATGAAATGCTAGAACAATCTCAAGAGATCAGTAGGCCACACCATATCTTGTACATCTTGAGATAGCTCGGCGATACGCTGGTATCTATAGGGTCATCTGAGCCCTTGATACCACGTCAGGAGTCATTCAGGAGCAAATGGTCATGGCAACGGCGACGGCTATTCAAATGGTTTATCATGGCTGTTTTGACATCATAGGAAGTACCATTGCCACTAACCGCTGGTTTCATATAGTCCGGACTAATCAAGGACACCATTGGACTTTTCTAGACCAGATAAGGTGCTCGTGGTGCTTCCCATTGAGGGCTTCTACATGTTCATAAGGAAAGAGACCCCACTCTTCTTACAACGATATATGCTGAAGCGCATATCAGGAGGAGAAGGGCAAGAACCTGGGCATGCTTGGTGGTGCTCCTATCAAACCGACGTGTTTTGGCTTGAGCTAAGTGATGTCGGTGAGCTGCTTTATGATGCTTCTCACGGCGCTTATGAGACGGAGTGCGTTCCATATCTACGAAGTCAAGATGGGAAATATAGTGAGTACTTCCCATCATAATACAAGGTTCTCGAGACTGGTGTTCCTTCTGAGCGTTATCTAAGGCCAGACGTACAGATAAGATGCCTCTTCAGAGAGTTTGAAACGTAATATGAAGGAATAGCCGCTCCTGAGGACACAGAAGAACTGATCTAGGGCTTTCAACTCCGGTTAAGGGGTGTGTTTGCCTGACCTGTGCCGCCTTGCTTATCCTGGTTCACCAATCAGTGTTCCATTCCCCTCTGACCTCTTTTATTACAGGAGATTTCGGCTGGGTTGCTTCCTTGTTGGTAGTAAGCGCCGGCGGAAACGGGAATGTAGTGAAGAAACGAGCCTTGCCGAGTGGAGCGAATCACTAATGCACCATAACTAGGCTCAAGGCTAGACGGTGAAAAAAATGAAGCATTATTATGATCTATCTTCAAAAAGAATTTCCTGATCTTGGTCTGGACAAGTCAGTCACAGTCAACCTCGTTCCAACTTGGGATGGTCGCATAATGGGTTGCAGAGTGGACACCTCGCCTGGGATCACAAAGTCTTGACCGCTAGGCCCTTTTAGACATTAAACGCAAGGTGAAATTGATACATTTGACTTACACGCCAATCTAGGCAGAAAGCGTACATGCCTGGCAATGGAGAGCTGCAAACCTTTTTAAGGGAGAGATGGGCTTGACACCTTATCAGAAAATGCATTGCCATAATCCTCACAGAGTGCTCAAGGCTTTCGCAGTTCGTTGAAGCCGCCAGCGTACTCATATATGCCCTATAATTTCTGGAAAAAGAGAGTCGGCGTTCGAATGGTTGATTGGTTCGCAATGGCCAGAGCGGTAAATATGCATTGAATGATGCAGCTTTTCTCCATCGCGTCCACATAGTTTCCAGTATTCATATTAAGTGCGACATCAATTTCAAGTCAATGATACAAAATTATGTACATTTCTCCGTAGTATAGTGGTCAGTATGCAGGCTTGTCAAGTAGTCTCGCCTGAGACCCGGGTTCAATTCCCGGCGGGGAAGTCTTTGTTACATTGTTTTTTAGCGAACTGAAACTGCATCATCACTTTGCCTTGGACCACCAAATTTCTGAAGCCATCGATACAATTGTATCAATTTCATGAAGTTCGAGTTTCGAATTACGTTGGTAACGCCATATCATACATCAAAAATGTGTCCGTTAAACGTTCCATAACCTATAAGCAGTCGAGACCAGAAACCGTTGATCCACTTCCTGTCCTTCATCTTTCGCCTACCTGTCCTTGGAGTCATTGCTTGCTCCATCACCTAAGTCAGAGGCAATATCGTCAACCCGCAAGGCAGTATCACATCATCCGTGCTCTTATCATTGACAAAGCTGAGCGACATCTCCTGCTTCTTACCCTCATCCTCAAAAGTCAGCCAGTGCGTCATCTGCCCAACCCCCTCATGCCCATGCTCCTTCGCCTGAACCCCGCGCTCCGCCCTCTCCCCCTTCTCCACAGCCTGCACAATTAGGTCCGCAATATCCTTCCGATGCGTGCACGTTGTGAAAACTCGACTGCCTTCCACGGCCTGCAGCACCTCGTCTTTGCCTGGCCCCGTCTTAATGCCCTGCAGCGTGCGGTCGACAACCTGCGCCGTCACCGTGTGGCTGTGTGCCGTGGCTGAGCCGGCCAGTGGCGCAACGGCCTCAGCCCCCGCGGCAGCAGTGTCGTGGTTGTAGGGCCACTGTGTGTCGGCTACGCGGTGCAGGAACAGCACGATGCTGGCCAGGGCCTGGCCCAGAAGCACGCCGCGCTCATGGGGGGATAGGCTGGAGAGGATGGTACCTGTTTCGGTGCCGCTGCGGTTTAGGATCTCGGAGATGAGCGGCTTCTGGGAGGAAGGGAAGGCGGCGTCGAGGATGCGGAAGAGGAGGGTATTGTCGGTGGTATCGGCTAGAGCGGGAGGAGTGTTGGTGTCCCGCATGTTGAAGATTTGTGTGGCTTTGGCGAGAAAGTTGGGCAAAATCTCGAGGGTGTCGACGCCGTGCATTTTGCGTGCGTGGCCGGTGTCGACCTCGAAGTAGTCTGCTGCCGTGGCAGCACAGACTGAGCCAGTGTGAGGAGATGATTCTGTGGTAAGTAGAGAATATGGGTGAGAAACTCACATCGTGCCGAAATAAACGCAGAATTCCTCTGTGCAGCTGCATACACAAACTTTACAGACCGGTTTTGCAGTGTCGAGAGGGTGCTCTCAGCAAGCTCCTCAAAGCTCCGGACATCATCCTCGCTGTCGCCACTCGATATTTTCACTCGGGGAACTGATGCCTCCAAAACACCATTCCACTTGCGGCCGATAGCCTGCTCGAACTTCTTCGATGACAGATCCCGCAAGATATGCGACACAGCAACCTTCGACAAGCCCTGCTCCTGAGCATCGCGCGACCACTCGATCTTGACGCGGGCTACAAATTCCTCATACTTTGTGAAAACGAGGACGAGGGGCACGTTGGGCGCTGCCGAGGGCAGCCCTTTTGTGAGGAAGCGAGCCTCGATCTCCAAAACAGATCTGTCCTCCTCGCTCGCTACGCAATACCAGATGCAGTGAATGCGGTCTTGCAGTGGTGTGGTGAGAGTGGACCGAGATCGTAAGAAGTCGCACAACCGGTGATAGTCACTCTCGTCGGCGGCGCCGAGGTTTAGAGACGTGTGAATGATCAGACGCTCGTTTTGGCCCTGTAGCTCGAGCTCCTGTTCGATGTCGTGGGTTTGATTGAAGAAGTCATCAACTGCTTTCTAGGGAAAGTCAGCGATATGGTTGATAGGTGAGAGGTGTGGTGGTTCGTCCAACCTTCGACAGTTCAACGCCAAATATTTTGGAAAAGAGTTCTTGCTTGGTTGATTCTGGGTTCCCAAGGACCAACAGACGGAACTTGGGACAATCAGCAAAGAACTCCAAAGGTGGTGACAGCGGGGGCCGAGGACTGAGGTGAACAGCTGCCATGATGCAAGGGTTCGCCGGTTCGGGTCCAGGTGTTGTTAGTGTTTTTTGTGATCTCAATCGAAAGTTGATGACTATCTAATTCGGACTTCTTGTTTGCCTTTCTACTTTTATGAAAAGACCATATCTGTCTTTTATGCCAGCAGAGCTGCAACGGCGCATACGATGATGGTAGGGTCCCAGGTGGCCTGCTGATGACGCCACCCCCGCGTGGGCCACTTCGACGTCATGCCACTCCCCGTCTGCAACGCAAATACATCGCTGCATGGCATTTTCCAATATCGAGATAAGTCTGGCATTTAACACTTATTCAGGCTATCGGTGTCCCTTCTCATGCCCCTCATCTAGATACTCATTTTTAATATTTCTGGCAGAGTAAACGACAGTTCGCCTTAGCACAAATCCCCCAGTTATACATTGAAATGATGCTTGGGAAGGCCTCTTGCATAAGCCGTACTTGGTCTCAATCGTCAGAGTTGAGTGTCCATCCTAAAGCACATCCTATCTCACTATCACGCAGAAGCACATCACTCGAATAAAGCCAAGGGAGATCTACATCATATCCTTTAGCTGAATCCGCAGGATAGATCGACTACAAGAGGAGTAGCTAAAAAGATGTGCACGCTACGAAGTAGCGGTACAGGCGTTCGGACGTTTCGGTGTCTTTAATAACCTTGGTTAAGTAGCTAAACCGTATGATTGCTCATAAGGTGGCGGGTATCAGGAGGCCTTAGTATATACAATCACTGGTAGGCAGTGCAGGCAGCTCAGCTGAGGCCCTTGCCCCGTTGCTTGCTGTCATGAATTAGTGAAAGTGCCTGCAGCTGAGCTGTCCATGTCCCACAGTTGTGTTGTTCTTTACCCTTCAACCATTTCAGTGCCTTGTAATTTTCTGAGCGCCCGCTCCGGTTCGCTGCCAATTTTCTCCCTTTGTCAACATCAAGCTGGAAATTTTGTCCAGTAGAAATTATTGAGTATGCATCAGACTCTTTGTTAGGATATATGGGTGGATATTGACGTTGGATAAGAGTTGCAGACCATCAAGTACCCTCTCACCAGAGAGCATGGCAAGGTGTCCTCAATGCCCCGCTAAAGCACTACAAGCATCCGCTGGTAAGATAACAAACTCAAAACTCCTTAAACGGATCCAAGACATCGGGCCCATATCCCTCTTGTCAGTCCTGGTCTCCTGCATCATGCTCAATATTCTTGCTGCCGTGATGGTTATTCAAGTCAGAAACTTTGGGGTAGGCATTCTTGATGAAGCGAGTATCGACTCAAGAGCACTGCTTACAGTGCTTAGAATCGCCCTTGGCCTCTTCAAAAGAGGAGTGTTGGATGCCTTCGACCATACATTTGAATGGTGGTGCACTCGAGAAGCGAGAAACAAAAGGCTCGACTATGGGCGACTTCTGAACAGTTTTAAAGGATCTCCAGCATTATTTGGATATCGACATGGGTATCCTAACTGGATGATAGCAAAAACTACGCTATGGTCGATCGCAGTCGGGTGCAGTTTCGTCTATAGTTTTTTGCTACTTGAGAGAATGGGAATTGCCGCCATTATCTGTTATGGGCTTGGGACTGTTGCGTTTTCCCTTTTTCTTTTTCGCCTCTACTTAGGACCAGCGTGACTCACATCATGGGCTGGACAACATGTTTATATCGCAATGGCTGCAAATCTCACAGATGAGGACTTCCTTTGGCCCCTGGCCAGTGGACAGTAGGTAGCACCCGTAGATATTCCCTGGAAGAAGTCTGGGAAACTGCTCCCCTTGACAGGTGCGTTTTTCGCTGACGATTAGAAGATTCAACGACCTACATATTTGAAGGTATGCTGACTTTCTGGGAGACTCGAGGAGGGCATGGAGTTGGTCCAGGACCTCGTTTCAGTCGGTCTAAAAGCTGTTGAAAGAGCAGCGAAACCCTGAAAACACGGCAACATGCAAAGCAAAACCCCCAAATGATATTACATGAGATGAAGGAAACATTAAAGAGAGCGCAATCTGTGTTGAAGTGGTACATTTGGGCGCTGATGATTCTTCTTAGGTCGAGAGGCGTGATCGGACGGCAGCCGTCGTTGTTCGAGTCACCACATCAAGCTGCAGCTTACAAGTTGCAACATGACGTTGTATTAGAGCCATAGCCCACGAACGATAGACCGATAGAATGACAGTATGAAGTTCATATTAGTATCCAGGAAACCGGATAACTTAGAGTTGAGTCCTACGACCTCGTTGTGCCGCTTGCACAATTCTCTCTGACCAACCAGCAAATAGGTACCTATTCGGCCTCCTACCACGGTTCACCATTTTGAACACCCCGCTGCTGTTGCGGAAACCCTATTGACCACACTACAAGACACTTTGCAACTAATTCCGTGACGCAGCATGTTCAGCGCCGCCCACTGTAAAAAGCTCATTGGTGCTCATAATCACTCAAGACAGCTGAGATGGGTCCTGAGGCGCAGTCTTGGGCGCATGCAACACGCCAATTGGTCAGGGCGCTTTTATCAACGTCTTCCGACTGCATCTCCCCAACGCAGTAGGCCCAACATCCTTGAATTCAGATTGGTCAAGCAGATATGTCACTTACAGTCCAGGTACCGGAAGACAAACACAAAAGGAGACATCGAGGTCGTGATAATTAAGACAATGTTCAGCATAAAATAATAAATCACTATGTCGATCCCCTCAAGGGCAGCAAGGGTTTTCCATCTCTTCAAGTAGTATACACTCCTTTGATCCGCAGTTGATCGGGTCACATAACCTCCATGCTTTTGTCTCTTCCTCTACGTTGCCTACCATGAGGCTTCTTCGCCTGCTGGCCCTCCTGGCCAGCTCTGCATTGCTGTATGTGCCAGGAAGTGGTCAAACCAATACTCCATGTCGTCCTGAAGACCGCACTTACAACCCCGAGAGCATGCCACCGGCGAGCTTTCAGCCTTATGACAGACTCAATCCCGCAGTAGGTGCGACGAGTACCAAGTTCTACGTTACCGTCGTGAACCTCACTCCGCACCGCATCCGGCTGGAGAACACCCATTCATACCAGATGTCCGTCTTTGACTTCGGCGATGTCCCACAGGGTCGAGCTCGCCAAAATACTGTTAAGTACCGTGGCGGGTGGTACACAGGCGATGACGCCGGGGAGGCCTACTACCGGATCGAGGGGACCGACAAGCGATTTGTCCTACGCATCAAGTCGTACGTGCCTAGTTCGACTCCGAGACGAGTTGTATTGGATTTAAGTGGGATGGGCCTGGGCCAGCGCGAGTATCCTTTCCCTGGAGGTGACACGGCGGTAACACTGGTGATTACGGGTAGCAGCAGCTACGGGTTCATGGCATCGATCCGGCATGGAGCAGGGAATTGGATGAAGGGCATCTATGATGTGATCCGAGACCGTCCCGTGAGGCATCTCATCATGCCGGGCACTCACGACTCGGGCATGAGCAAGATCACCAACAAGCTCAGCAGCATCGGCAACGTGCAGAACACTCAGAACCAAGGCATCAACATCTACGACCAGTTGCGGGCCGGAGCGAGATGGTTTGACCTGCGCATTGGGACAATCCATCCCAATGACTCCAAAGACCCCAGCAAGCACAACGGTTTCTGGACACTCCACGTCAACGACGAGATGGCCACAATAGCCGTCGGCAACTCCGGTGAATCCCTTGATGAAATCATCTCCGAGATCAACCGCTTCACAGCCGAAAGCCCAGGCGAACTCATCTTCCTCAGCATCCGCTACCTCGTCGGCCGCTACCAACTCCCCGACCGCGGCCCCATCACCTGGACGCCCGCCATCATCTCCGAGTTCTTCGCCAAACTCCGCACCCTCAACAACCGCTGCCCCAACCTCGATATGAGCATCCCCTTCCAGAACCAGCCCTCCTCCTATTTCCTTGACCGCAACAACGGCCGCGGTTGCGTCATCCCCTTACTTAATGGCCAACTTACCCAAGCCCAATCCGAGTCCCCCGCCGACGGGATCTACCACCTCACCCGGCTCTCGCCCAACCTGCGCGATCAGTGGTCCAACAAGATGCACGCGGTAGACATGGCGCCAAACCAAATCGGCGCATGGCGGTCCGTCGCCCGGGGCACAGGCGCAGGGGCCGACCACAATGGGTTCCATATTGCACAGTGGCTGGTGACGCCGGATGCGGTGGCCGCGACGGCATACTCGCTACAAGCGTTTGCGATTCAGGCGACGAACCCGGCGCTGTACTTTTCTGGGGTCAATGGGATAGATCCGGAGCATTGGCCGAATGTGTTGATGGTGGATTATATAGGGGTGGCGCGGAAGAATGAGTGGGCGTGGGATCAGCTAAGCGCGGAGTTGTATACTCTGGCGGTTGGTTTAAATCTTTATATGGCGAGCGAGAATTGCGGTGTTGGGAAGAGGAAGTCGCCCCTGTTGACGAGGGGGCTGGAGAAGAAAAGATGGGCCGAGGATTGGAATGGCATACTCTTTGCCAATGGAACAGTGATGGATCATCCGCCGCCGGGGCTTCATCTGGGTCGGGTTGAGATATTGAAGAGTGGGACTGTGTTTGGAAACGGGTCTGTGTTAGAAAGGACCATTCTGAACCCGTGGTTATGAAGAACCTCTTCTCTGAGCATTATTTCAGCGTCATTTGGCTTGACTTGATACCCAAGTTATTAATAGACCTAACAGAGTTAATGTCGTGAAGAAGCATCTTCAACTTACAATTTCACTTCTCGTTCATTTCTAGTCACCTCCTCCTGACAATGCCAGCTTTTATAACCCCCCCCTTTCTCCCGTCTCTCCTTGACCCTCCTTCTTCCCCTCTTCGTATTCCCCACCGAGCCCTTCCTTCCCCTTTGTCTGCTGCTGCTGCTGTTCCCTGTGCCCATGCCCCTCCTCCCGTCTCTGGGCAGGAGGATGATGTTTCTGTAGCCCAAACCCCCCAAAAGGCCAACGACCCCCAATCCGATCGACCTTATGCCCATGGACCTGATACGCAGGCCGAAACTCCCTCGGCCGTCTGTTCGGATCTAGCACGGGATCGCCCTGTTCCGGCCGGGGAACCCAACGCGCGGCTGGGGCAATAGTGGCTATTGGGGGGCTATCTTTCCGGGTCGGGTTGGGAGCCTCACTGTCATCCTTCCTGTTGTCTCCGGGCTGAGGGGGCTGTTTGTCTGTGTCTATTGACGTCGTGTTGGAAAACGCAGACTGTTCCGTGGACATCGTTGAGGGACTTTTGTATTGACTAGGTGCAAGAACTGAGTCCGGAGAATTGTTGAGTGGACAGAATATGATCTCTTGGTTGATGAGAGGCTGTTGCTGGAGGGCAAATGTTGGGACCGTTGGAGGGAGTACAGTTGCAGCCGCAGAAGTTCCTGAGAGAGTCGCCGGGACAGGATGCGGGTTGCTGTCTGACATAACGTATCCACAAACAGCATTGGAGTCAGCAATGTTCCCAGAGGCGAGAAAAATACTTGACTTACCAGATATTGTGGTTAGTTTTGCAAAGCACTTTTCGAACGGGAGTATGTAGCACTGGCTTGACGAATGCTATCATGATTACGCGGAGAAAGGGTAAACTTGAATGGCGGACTTTTGGAGACTGATGTCATACCAAGCCACACTCGGCCTATTGCAAGCTGGATCCTCCGGTATGAAGCGCGGCCTACACCAATCACTTGTCTGGCATGACGTCGCTCGGCACTTGGCAACCGATTTCACTTTACATAATCCCGAGGAGGGGAGAGCTCTATGCACAACGCGTTACCACAAGTCTATGTTCCCAGTTGTCTAAAAGTACCCATTATGCCATATCCTACAGAATCCAGTCCGTGAGGGGACGCCGGGTGGTAGTGAATGGACGAACCAAGACAAACAAGGTGCCCCTGAATACAGTGACCCAAGCACAAGCAATACGCAACCTTCCCCGGTCCTTACCAAAACTTGTCAACTAAATACGCTTAGAACAGAGCAAAGACGCCAGCAACGAGAGCCAGGCTGCCAATGGCAGCCATTGACAAGCCCTTGCCCATGGAACCGCTGTTCTCCTCAGCAGAGCTGTCCGAACCATTACTGCCAGACTCAGAGGCAGGAGAGCCGGTCGGAGTAGCAGTGCTGACAACGGTGGTGAAGCCAGTAGCAGTAGCACCAGGGGTCGTAGCGGAAGCACTCTCATTAGGATCGTAGTCGGGGGTTTCGAACTTGGTCGGGCAGGTCAGGTCGAACAGGGGTTTTGTTGACAGGTTCTTGGTGATGGCGAACTTCATCTCGTTGTCGGGGTTGGAATCGCGGAGGTTGTACCAAAAAGTGGGGACCTTGTTGAACAGTTTGCGGCAGCCAACCTCTTGCCAGTAGTACTGGGCGTTCTCAACACTGGGAACGGCCTCATCCCAATCGGGGCCAGTGTACGGCCAGCCGGTTTCGGTGACCCAGATGGGCTTGCCACCAGCAGCGGCCTCAACAGCGGCATAAGCACGGTCGAAGAGCCTGCCTGCGTTCTTGATGTTGTTGCCCTTGCCATTCTCGTAGTAGGGGTACTCGTCAACACCAATCCAGTCAAGAGCATCAATAACCGCCTTGTTGGAGCTGTTGGTCCACGCATCCCAGGTGTCAACATGGCCAATAGGGACACTGGCTAGGGGAGTGTCGGCAATGGCCTTCTTGTAGTCGTTAATGAACTTGATCAGGGTCTGGGGACCAGCACCAACGCCGGCCTTGTTCTTGATGCCCGTCTCGGAGACGCGGTAGAGGTCCTCACTGCCAATCGACATGCCAATCACGAGGTCAGTGAAGTCCTTGCCATACTTTTTGATGGCCTTCTTGAGGGCACTGAGCTCATTTTCGATGCTGTCGGTTCCGGACGTCCAGATGCCCAGCAGTAGCTTAGTCTTGGTCTCGATGGCGGCCTCGAAAGCCTCGATAGGCTCATCGGTCGAGTAGGCCTGGATATTGGTGTATAGACGGACGGAATTGAACTTCCCTGGGGCATTCTCGAGGTTCTGAGCGGTCTCGAACTCGGCCTTGAAGTCTTTCTTGAACTTGGCAGAACGATCGGGAAGCGTGTTGCCCGAGTTGAAACCGAGATAGTTCTCAGCCGACACGCCAGAAGCTAGCAGGCAAGCAGCAATGAGAGCAGAGGCACGCATCTTGGCGTAGAACGTAGCTGATTACGACGATCAGAATCGGATGGTGCGATTGGAAAATTCGGCGATTGAGTCACTGCAAACGAAAGAGGGAAGTACGTAGGGGAGTAGATGCGGTGGTAGCTGATGAAGCAGGCCTTGTTGAAGGAGGAGCGAGAGAAAAGAAACCCAAAAAAGGACTGGCACGTGGTGCACACAACGAATGTGGTCGTCACACAAGGACGGTTGGATGCAGGAGGGCAGGAAGGATGGTGAGAAGGAATGAAGAATCGACGAAAAGTCGAAAAGAGGATGGCAACGGGAGAAAGAATGCTTCCTGAGAACAGCGACCTCGAGGAACGGCCGTGGGCCTTTTCTGCGAAAACCCCGGAAGGAGCGAAATTGGTTTTGGGACCACACCCTGGTTGTCCCAATGGTCGCTGCAGGGGAATCGCGAGCCGGAAACTCTCCACTCTGCACAGCCTCAGGGACAAGGCGTCTTGGCATGCAGATCCGCTGGGTTCGGTGGGCACGGCAAAGTCAGCTGCCGGAGATCTTGTCAAAGATGCTCCCCAGACATAAAAATGCCTGTTTTCTCGCCAAATAGTCATGCTATCATGGCCGTCTTTTCTTGATTTGTCATGAACGCAAATTGGTGCGAGTATCATCGATGGAAACACATTCCAGCGCTGCCCTGTGACCCTGTCACAGCCTGATCCACCTCGTATCTCGGAATCAAGTCTGTTCCACCGCGGTGTCTGTGTTCGACCAAAAAAGTCAATCACGACCTCGATTCCCTGGTCCTCGGCCCACCCGTTTTCAGACCATTTAGAAGTCGAGACTCAGACATTCTAGCCATGATGATTTCACTACGTCGCCCCAAATTCTTGACCCTACTGGATCATATTCCATTTACTGTTTGCTGTCTCGCTTGTTTCCAAGCGAGGTAATGTGATGGCCAGCCTGTCAACAGCCAACGCTAGCGCCATCTACTTGACATTTTAAATTAGATCGGGTGAAAGTTTTGATCTATGTATGGAAAATTGGCGGAGGGGTACGTTGGTTGGCAATGTTGTTTCCGAGAACCGAGTCTGCAGTCAAACGAGCTCAAATATGGATGGGAGGGTGACCAGGTTAGCACCACTGTTCCCTGCCTCAGAGCCTACAACTGGATTCAAAGCCTAAACCTTGGGGTAAGTATCTTCCTCCCTAAATGATCCGGAAGTCAGGCTGGGTCTAAGGGGATAGCTGCTGCCCGTTTACGAGACAGGGCCAAACAGATGAACATCGATAGCAGCGCCAGTATTTGGGTGGTTTGGCCGTGCCAGCAGGTCCTGGTAAGGAATTTCCAGCCAGCTGAGTTGTGGATGCTGATGGGGGTTGAGTCCGTGGAACTTGTTCGTAATCAGAGTCGCTTTCCCATGCTGTTGGTGGCCCATTTTGGTGGTTTAGGAGCCGGGCAAGTCGCCCTCAATACCGGCTTGCTGCCCTGGACTGATACATTTTGACAATGTATTGTCTGAACTAGATTTCCCAAGTCATGGTCCACAGTCGCCTGCTCCTCTTTAAACGGTTAAATTCCACATGGATGCTTGAGAGAGGACGAGCCTGCCACATGGAAAGAGGGCTCTGCTGAAAAACGTACGGTGAGCCAACAGCAGGGAAAAAAGGGGAATCAGAAGCGCATTCGACCCAGCCTGCCAACTCTTTTTTAGGAGGGAAACAATATTTCAATCAATATGAGTACCTGTATAGTAGCAATCCTGGGCACATAAAGTAGCAGCGTGCCTTGATTGCTGTCCATCCCGTGAAATCTTAATGGTTCAGTCAAAGCTGCCTTCAAAACAGCAAAGCAACTATGTCCACACGATGCTGAGCCGTGTCGGTGTGCCTCGAAGCTGATATATTCCCAGGTAACCTCCCACGATGATACAGTGGCAGAGTAACAAAGAATCACAGGGCTCAATGTTCCATTAATTGTTATAGTCTATGTACAGCAGATCGGGAATTAATATCACAAAGCCACTGTTACCTTACTCATACCCCTATCAACACATGCAGTGCAATAACAACACCAGGTCCCCAGAAGAGGATACCTTCCATGTTACCCCTGCCAAGCTTGTTCGCTCCAGAAATAGAGGTCGCACTACTCTGTATGCTCACCTCTTCAGTTGGACTTGTGGCTGTGGTGGAAGTATGGATGGGAGTCACGCTTGTTACCGTTGTCATGCTGACTTGATCCACCTCTGTCATGGGAGTAAAAGCTTCCGTGCTGCTTGTGGTGTTGTCCGCCGGCACTGAAAGATCACAAAGGCCCGTTATTCTCTGGATATCCTCCACGCTATTGAGGGCTGCTGGAGTAGATCCGCAGTTGGCTGCTTGGGTCATCCATATTGAATCGGTTTCAAGATCGAAGAGAGCTGGTTGAGGCAAAGTGAGTACGTATGCATCTTTTGCAATTGAGTTCAACCTAACGGATAAACATACCATATGCAGACCTCAGAAAAGTATCCCCTAGCAGCGTGAACTGATCACTTGCCATGATCCCCAAAAAGCATGCCGGAGGATTGGTTGGCACCTCCCGCGTCAGTTCCTTGTAAGGAACCTTAATCATCACACCGTCAAAATAGAAGTCCAGAGTGCCATTTAGCTTGGTTAAGGAGCAGTCAATTTGATGAAATCCATAGGCATCCTCTGATTTGCTTCCAAAGTCCCTAGCAATTGCCTCGGTGAGATTCGGGGGAAGAAGAGTCATTGTCGAGCCGCTGTCGAGAAAAACCGGCATTTCGCTTCCAGAATAGTGCTTGCTAATCCCGCTAGGAGGAGTCATGGCCAGAGACCGCATACTGACCCAGAACCTGGGGACGCCGTCGGGTGATTGCGAGGCAGGGATGATAGGAACTTGTGTCAAGTGTCCGGCAAACTTGGACGTATCAACACCCCCAAAGACAACCACTCCTTCCTGGGCATCCTTACTCCCCAATGAGAGAGAGAATGCTTTAACTTTTGTTGCGTTCTGCTCTTTGAGCTGATCGACAAAGTTAAGATATCTGGTAGCTATGCCTTTCCCATAGCCAATCCCAAGAATACCAGAGAAAGCATCCTCGGTGGCAGTCGCAACGCCAAACTGGACTCCCTGCAGCGTCGTTCCGGTCCCAGCAAGCGTGATTGTGTCGGTAACGTATGTAATGTTTGCCGTCCCAATACCATATCGGAGAGTTCTCGACGTGCCCAGTGAAACTGCTGTGGAAGATTTCGATGCGTCATATTGGCCAACTCGTTCACAAAAGACGGCATCTGCCCCTTCTACTGTGGTGCAGTCGGGATTCACCCATAGCTCGAAAGACCCTGTGTCCAGCTGCACGAATACCGGCTGAGGAGGTGTTCCTATGCTGACTATAGAACCGTAAGTATCGAATTAACTGACGGGCAAGGGAAATAAGAAATCATACGTTGAGCATAATAGGCTACATCAGACCGGTTGGCAAGCTGAAGCTGAACGCCTCGCTTGCCGAAGAGTCTGGCATTTGTCGAATGTACGATGGGCAGATGAACACAGCCCTTTTCGTGAGGTAGGTGTTGTGCAGTAACGAGGCTAGAGAGCCAGACCGTGGACAACACCAGGCATGAGGAAAGAAAGGGAACTGCCATTGCGAGCAATGGCGGTCGTGGGTAAACTATCGTAGCGGTGTCTTCATGAGATGATATCGCGATTCCGCCTGACTGTCAGGAATAATCGAAAAGAACGAGCGGCGAAGAAGATGGGCATGGACCAGCCAGTTCCCGGCACCAAACACTCAGCCGAAACGAACGGAAGATGTGCCTCCTCAGCTCGTAGGAGGTGGGAGCCGCCCTAATGTGTGCCACGGTCTGCACAAGATGGACTCGCTGTACGCAAATAATAGAAAGAAAAGAGAAGCAGCGTCAAGAGAGTCAAACAAACTAGGAAGCGAATGTGAGCTCGAAGCAAGAAGCGAGAGTAGGTGACGAAACGGAGTGAGAGGCCAAGCCAGCTAGATGCCTCAGGGACACGCTGTTTATGACTCGAAACACTGCCTTCTCTGAGGATATCAGTCCATGGAAAAGAGGACTGTTTCGCAGATGGCTGGCGGTAACGAGACAAGGGATTGCAAAAGGTACTACGCTGCTACACACTTAGAACAAAGTGGCCATCAATATCGTTGAGAAGCATGGTTACTCAGCCACCACACATTTGTTATGGAAAATCCCAGTGACAAAATGCCCCTCTGATGAGGCAGCGAAGATCAAACACTAAGGGCATGTTTGAGCAAGTAGCCCCTGAAGCCGCTCCAGCGTCCAATCTGCGGAACAACAGAACCCAAGGCGATGGTCAAGCGCGAAACGGCGATGTCCAGAACCCTGCAAGTCTGAGGCTTCTCCCCCCAAAGCCAAGGCCGCTTGCTGCCCGCCACTGGAGCGCTCTGTGTCTCAATGGCGGACACCATCCAATTATGGCTTGGCAATCTGCCCCACAAAGATTTGAAACCGGCAGGCTTCGGCCCCCTTACCCCTCCTGCGCCGCCGAGGTCTAGGTAAAAAGACAACATTGTACCAACCTGAGGCTCGATGGCTCAGCCTTCCTAAGTGCTGATATGGGGGAGCTGTCAATCGCCATGTTTATATTTGAACAAAGCCGAGGTTCTCGTTGTTAACTCTCGTTAGCCCTGTACAGCTAAGCTTGCCTTTGCTGAATGCTTCAAGTCCTATGAGCGTGTCAAGGCATTCACCGACCTGCTCTCAGATGTTTGGTATGACCTTAGGTGGCTGTGTGAAGTATCAAGGAGAGAAGTTTGTCGAGGTTGTTGCTACCTAGCCAGGGTAAGGTGGGGCAGCCCTAAGTTTGCAGTAGCTTTCTAGAGCCACACCTTGTCAGGGCTTTTGCAAAGAACGCCATCACTTTCGATAGCCCAGAATGGTATTACCAAGTTACCATCCAAATTTATAACGGCTTACGATGACATTGCCACGACCACTGCCAGAGGGCGGTATTTCGTTCACTTGGCACAAATCAGTAGCCACGTTCAATGTTCCTCTTCAAACTTTCTTATCAACTCGCCCTCTCGTGAGGGCCGCAGCAACAGGCGCGCTTGTATTCTCCAGGGCCGCTGGAGAAGACCGCGTCCTTCTGATCCAACGAGCTCCTCACGACTCGATGCCGCTACGCTGGGAAGTTCCGGGAGGTGCATGCGACCAGGAGGACGAAACACTCCTCCACTCCTTGGCCAGGGAGTTATGGGAGGAGGCCGGTTTGAAATTGAAGCATGTCGTTCGAAAGGTTGGGGACGAGTTCACCTTTCTCACTCGACGAGGTCTTGCTGTCACCAAAGTCACCTTTGAGACCGAGATCGAGGAGGCAGCACCTGCTGTGGTTGAAGAAGGTAGCTCAAAGTTGACACTCCCCGAGGTCACAATCGATCCAAACGAGCATGTCCGTTTTGTTTGGGCCACCGAGGAGGAATGCCAGGCAGAAAAGATTGTAGTTTCTGAAGATGGCGGGAATGAGGTCATTAAACTCGAGTTCACGACCAAGAACCAAAAGAGCGTTGTTCTCTTGGGGTTCAGGCTTCGAAGAGAGGATCTCGCCAATGGCAGAGTTGATTAGAATTACCTTGCTTTCCCCAGCATAGCAGCACGCATTGCTGAGGCTACGTGCTTACTAGCTCATATACTTACTACCTAAGTACTCGTAAGACAGAGTGTAATTACGCTGCTGTGCAATACAGAGAGTCCGCTTGTAAAAATGGGCTGCCTAGGCTGGGTTGGCCCCACTTGTCAGCTGCCCACGCGACAGACGCGTTTTCTGAAACTCGAGCACCGCGATCGAGGTTACTGCGATCAGGTTGCCGACAGGGAGCACATTTGCGCGGGGAGTTGCTCCTCTGAACAACACGTCGCTCATTTCACGTCTCACAGGTCCACGGGTGGCCGATGGGACACCATGGGCACGCCGCTGCCGAGTAATAAAAACTACGACGACGACGACGAGGTCAATTTCGACCCGTCGTTGTTCGACTCGGCCCAACCATTTAAGGGAGTCGTCATCTGTTGCACCAGCATCCCCACCGATCTTAGGGTATGTCAGCCGTCCATGGACATGTTTGTGGACTTCCCGGTCAACGGCTCTTGCCAGTTTTTAGATTTCCAGCTAACCGTCGACTCTCCAGGCTGATATCGCTGCCAAAACCACCGAGTTGGGCGGCGTCCACAAGTACGACTTGACCCCTGATTGCACCCATTTGATAGTTGGCGAGTATGACACGCCAAAATACCGTCACGTCGCGAAAGAGCGCCCCGATATCAGAGTCATGGCCGCAGGCTGGGTCGAGGCTGTTCGCAACCTATGGATTCAAGACGCCGAGATTGACTTCCTTGCCTTAGAGAAGGCCTGGCAACTTCGCCCCTTTGAAATTGGCGGAGGCGAGCTTACCCCCGATGGCTCTGTGGCCCCACGTCGCAAGCTGCTTTGCTGCATGACTGGCTTTGAAGATCCAGACATTCGCCAGGAAATTGTCGACATGATCGAGTCGAATGGCGGCCAATATATAGGGGACCTCACGAAACGAGTCACCCACTTGATTGTATACAAGCCGGAGGGTCGTAAATACCAGGCCGCGAAGAATTGGGGCATCCATACCGTCTCGCTTGAATGGCTCCGTGACAGCATTGAGCGCGGTTTGATCCTAGACGAGAAGTTATACGACCCTCTCCTGCCCCCAGCAGAACGTGGTGTCGGTGCCTGGAACAGGCAAAAGAGGCGCATCTCATTGCTAGGAAAGAGGCTTAGAGAACAGAGCTCTGCGCAGAATGAGGGAAAGAGAAAGCTGCGCAAGACTGCAAGTATGAAATTGAGTAGCCAAAGAGACAACCTCTGGGAAGACATTCTTGGAAAGCCTTCGGCGTCAGCAACTGGTTTTGCTATTGAGCCTCAGCAGCAAAAGGCCTTGACAACTCCAGCACCCGATGGCCAAACAGCGCCAATACAGCATGCATCAGCAGGCCGAAAAGCGGCTGAAACCCAAGGCTCGAATTTAACTTCACTCGGAGTCTCGGACGATGGCGGCATATTCGCCGCCTGCTGCTTCTATGTCCATGGGTTCTCATCGCAAAAGACGGAAATCTTGGTGCATACGATTGCGTCGCTCGGCGGCCTCATCTGCCACTCGCTCGACGAGGTCATCTCGATGTCGGGTGCCCAGATGACTCACCGATTCCTCATTGTACCGCAGACCTCCGCCCCTGATACGCATCCTCATGTCCCAGAAACTGTCCACGTCATTACTGAGTTCTATATCGAAAAGTGCCTACATAGGAAATATTTCTTCGACCCCTCTCAACACGTCATTGGCCGCCCTTTTCCTCGGTTCCCTATACCCGGCTTTGAGGAGTTGTCGATATCCACCTCCGGATTTACCGGCGTCGATCTCAATCATATCAACAAGACCATCTGCCAGCTTGGAGCCACATACGAAGAACGATTCACAGCTAGCGTGTCCTTGCTGATATGCCCCTCACTAGCTGCAGCTCGCAAGGCCAAGGTTGACATGGCGGTGGCCTGGAAAGTGCCCGTGGTGAGCGCAGATTGGCTGTGGGAGTCTATCTGCACAGGGTACAAAGCACCCATCAAACAGTTCATGTTTCCAGAGTTGAAGCAAGACATTAGCAGCCCCAAAAGGATGACAACACGGTACAAAACAGCAAAAGAAACCCCACAAGGAAAAGATACCACATTTTCAACGAGACGCACTACAAATATTGATGAAGATTTACTCCCCAAACATGACGTGAAGCTCAAACGGCCATTTGCGCCGGACAAGACAGCATTTGTTCCGGTCGATAAGCAAGATTCGGAGCCACAGGCGGGGAAGCGCCCTTCAAGCGCTCAACGCAATGACCTGGAAACCTCTACAACAACGCATTTTGAAACTGCAGCTACACATCTAGCCTCGGAGGATGCCACCATCAGTTTCAAGACCAAGACCCTCCCTTCTGGTGCTCCCCTTTTGGAAAAGACGTCCAGCTCCCTGAATACCTCTCTATCCCCCCCAAATCAGGTCATTCCACGGCCTCGAAAGCATTTGATGCGGACATCGAGCGAAGTAGCCGATTCTGAAGCCACCGAGGGTGATATTGGTCGGCCGGATGACATCCAGTTTCCTGAGAACTTGGCGAGCAAGGACAGCTCTCATGACCCTCCTAACCCTCCTGACGCTCTCAATCCCGACCATGATCCGGAGGTTTTAGAGAAGCGCATCCAAGAGGAAAAGGCTGCTCAGGAGCATCTTGCTATCTCTAATAAACTAGTTACATCCCTACTGGACACAACTTCCAAACTGGGCACCGGGGAAACTGCCACAGCTCCAACAACTCCAGCGGCTCCAGCAACAAATGGGCCCTCCGCCCTGGGTTCCTTCCTTGAAAACAATAACTCTAGCATCAGCAACGCAACCGCTGATGAAATTCGAGCAAAACGCCGCAAACGTGACATTTTTGGCCGCGCCATCAGCAACGTTTCCATTGCTAGCAGCACCGGCGGCGACGTTCCGCTGACTCCTACTACCACGATGACCACCAACGTCGCCACCAGCAATAACAAACCTCATAGACTTACCTCGGCGCCAGCAACCTCTTTAGCGGGCGATGAAGGGGCCACTGCTGCGTGCGACAATGCGAAGACCAGCGCCCGACCTGAGAATAAAAATGGTAAAGATCCAACCCTTCCTTCGTCGACACAACTCGAGTATGAAGACCCTGAGGCCCGGCGGTACAAAGCTGAGCTTTTGAGCAAGATGCTAGGCGGCAAAAATGGCGCGGTTGCGTACATAGAAGAGGATCCACGGCCACAGGAGAAGCTTACTCTTGCTAGCATGGGTGGGTATGATACCTTTGCTGAAAGTGGGCGGGGTGGCCCGATGAGGAGGTCGACGAGAAGGAAATCTTGATTTAAGCAAGGCAATGAAAAACTGCAGGCAGTAGGTGAGAGAGACTTGGGAGGTAATAAGGTAAAGTTTGGAATGCCTATGGTTAGGTATATGGTAAATCGTCTTTTGTATATATATGTATTTTTGGCATGCATCAGGAGACGGCGAACAAGTCACGGGAACTTTTTGGGTTATGTTAGGCAGAATACCTCCATGGCGGTAGCAGGCACAGTTTGGTGTTAAGGTTATGCCACAGGCTTAGATAGATTACGACCTAGAAAGATGTTAAGCGCTTGATGTTGACAAGTGTCCTTCTTATCTGGTTCTATCTTGCTCGGGCGCTCAGGTAAGATGGCGGTCGGGACCCTTCGAAGAGGACTTTTCAGTTTCAACTCCCTGTTTCTCTAAACAGAGGATTATAGCTACACGCCTGTCGTGAAAAAAAAAACGCGTTTCCCAAAACTCCGTCGTGCTCAGTTCTCTGATGAGCTCATCACTGTGAACACGTAGCAACTACAGAGACACGAGTCTCCTCCAAACGAATTCCAAATTGCACATTTCTCTAGTCATCTTCACTATTTCCAGCAATTACAGGTGCTTTGCCGCCTCTCCAATCATGCTCAAAGCTGTCGCCACAGTCCCACTGACACCAATTGCTTCGACCACCTCCCTGAAGGTATTGAGTCGATTACTAGTACGTTCCTCTGGCTCACGAGTGCGCTCGCGGTCTTTTTCCCGGTCACGATGTCTCTTCCTTTCCCTGTCTCGATCACGATCATGGTCACTCTCACGATGATGGTGGTAGTGCTGATAAGAGGACCGATCTCTGTCTCTCTCTCTGTCTCTCTCTCTGTCCCTCTTTCGATCCCTTTCTTTGTCCCTGTCACGATCGCGGTTGCGATAGCATTCCTCTTGTTCACGATCCCTTTCCTTTTCTCTATCTCGCTCACAACGACTCCTCTCTTCCTCCCTCTGAGGTCTGTTCTCTTCCCCACGGTATCGTTCCCCTTCTCGCTCTCGCGTCCTCTCGTAAGAGCGTGCCGTCGAGGGAACCTCTACTGGACCGTCCGGATCAAACCGCACGTGGTTCGGATTTTTGTTCTTCAAAATTGGCTTTGGAGATGTCACGCTGGAGGGAGAGCCTGAATCGCCATCGACACTCTCCGGTGATGGCACAATCGAGAGACGACAGGCTCTAGGGTTCTTGTCTTCATCGTCCTCACGCTTCATGTTGTGGACTTCGTCATGGTAACCATGCCGATGACGACGTCGCTCGTGCCTACGGCGGCGCTCATCTGAGTCCTCGCCTGCCGACTCAATGCCACTGACAACGAAAATGCCTTCGTCATCATCTCTGGCAGACTCAAGCTTGCTGCGAGTCTGCCGCTCGCGGTCAGAATCATCATGCCTTTCCCCCCCTTCATGATGCTTGTGTCGAGCAACCAGGCGCAAATAGTGAGTTTTTCTGGCAAGAACTTGCAGCTCGTCCCGAGGGATCCGTCCGAATATGTAGATATGGTCTCGACCGACTTTGTATCGGTAGCCTTCCTGGTCCAGTACTTCAGTAGAGATCTTGCGCCGGCAGACCTTGGTCCACTCGTCGTTTTGTGATATTCTTGGATTATTTTTTCCTTGAACTGAGCTGTTATATTCTCCACCCACAGGAAAAAACGAGCGTTTACTTTCTCTCAGCACTGAGTTTGACGGTTCGGGCATAACCAAGCGAAGGCCTGGCGAAGATGATGGAAAGAGAGGAATGTCGCCGTATGGAGGGGGATACTGAGCGTCTGGAGAAACACCTGAGTGATAAGATTGAGAGAGCTCCTGAAGTTGAGCCGATAGTAGGGACTGCGAACGTTGGTCTCTGTAAAACACTTTATTGGTTCCAGGAACTAGCAAAGGTTGAGCCCCTGGGGGCAGATAACTCTCTCGAGATCTGCTAGAAGGGTGATTGTGAAGCGGCGACAGATGCATGGAACTCATGCTGTCGGAAATGTCACCGCCGTAAGGCTGACTGCTGCCCCTCTGATCCTCATGTGAGGTCGCACTCATATCTGTTTGAAAGCCGGCCGAAGAGGCTTGAGAAACTGCCAAGGTATGCAATGAGTCGGAGGCTGCTGGAAGAGGTAAAGTTGAGAGTGGGGGTCGATAAGAACGATAGGAGGAGTCAGATGGTTTTGTTGTCGGAGATTGTCTTTTTTCGTTGTTGAGCGAGCTGATACTGTTGTTGGGCCTCGATGTCCCGTTAATTAGGTAGGAAGAATGGAAGTCTGTCATTGGCAGCTTGGTACCAGATTCATGCAGCCTCTGGCCCAAGGTTGGCGTTCTATGTCCTGTCATTCGGTGCAGTTGTAGGTCGCGAATATAAGCAAGCAGTATGTCCTTTATGAAGTTAGTTTCAGGGTGGTGTTTGTCCACATAAAAACGAAGGCTGCTGGATGGTCGCATACCTGACTTTTGCACACTGTGTCAGCTGAAACGCCCTTGAGCTCCAACTCAAGCTTGATCTTTCGCCAAATCTCTTCGGTGTCCTCCTGCGTGGGGGCCACGGAATTTGGGCTGAGCCGTGAACGGCTGAAGTACTCGTTCACTTTGTCTATGATCATGTCCAGCTGTTGGTCTTCCGATTCATCCACAGTGCGGCGTGATTTTGCTGGATGGTGGAGCAGAACTGTCTCAAGGAAAATGTCAACCTTCATCTTCTGAGACATCAAGCTGTCGCGAGCCAGCCGAAGTTCCTGAACTTTCTCAGCGGGGTCCGGGTCCCTCTGGGCATCGCTATTCACGATATCCTTGCTTGGTCCCAGATTCTCTTGATACTTTTCGAGAATGGTGTCTGCTTGCTTGAGCACGAAGTCGCTGTCTTCAGCAAGACAGACGAGTCGTCTGGAATAGACAGTGCTCTTTTCATTGTTTTGGTCGTTGTCACACTGGAACAGAGGAGAGCCAGGCTCTCGGGTCTCGTCACGCAAGTGCTTCAGAGCCATGTGCAAACTGCGGATGGCTGTAGCCAACTCGTCGAGCTCCGGACCCGCAGCCCGGGCTTTTCGATAGAGCTGGCGTGCAAATGCATCAACGAGCTCAATGTTCGGTGGGGTTCGCTCTAATGCTATCATCGTAAGTAAGATGCTCCGCCGTGACGGCGCTTGCAAGACGTCTTGTGCGGACGACCAATGTCGGTAGAGGATGGGTTCCAAAGCAGCTCCTGATAACGAATATCACTACTCAATAAAAGATCTCGAGTGTGGTTGTTGCTTCGGTAGTGGCGTATCCAAAGACTTGGTCTTATCAACTGGCCAGGTAGTTGCAATAAGAGGGTAGGAGTGAAACGCGAGCATGCAACTCACCAAACACAACATTTACCCACCAGCTACCTGGATGCGATTGTATTCCAGGTTGCCTTGCCACCGTTTCTACGACCGACAAATAGCATCAGGTAAGCGGTACCGTCATCACCAACCGTCGGCGAAGTCTGCAGTCCGTGGTTGCACCAGCATATGTCATCAAGAATGGCTGCATGCTAGTTCGGAGCCAAGCGCCATCCATCTGGAGCTTCTCGATGCCACGAGGCTTTCTGTGGGGCTGCCGTTTTCTACAATAGGCCAGTCATCTTGGCACCGGTCCCGACCGATCACCGAGCGGGAAAGCGAGAGCGAGTTACGTCTCAAGAACCATGATCGGGCTTGGTTTTGACCCTGCCATCCGAGCCCTGCCTTTCTCCCAATGCATTCGAAAACAGCTGCCACAACAGGCCGCAAACAGCAACAATAGCCGGGATATGAGCCCATTCATTCCGTCCTTGCCTTCTCACTTGTCTGGTCATGTATATTCCAGGGAGCCTTGATAAGTAACAAAAGATACATCGAAAAATGCTGTGGTTGTGGACGTGTGCCAGGCAAGAAACCAGTTAATTGATGACGTCGTTGTTGGAGTCCCGCAGGTCAAGAGCCTCAGGTCCAGGGGACCAGTACATCCGATTCCAACGACCCAACAGCCATAGTGGGGGCGAAGCTAAATAGGGCTGGCCAATGGCATGACGCGTGACCTCACGTCTGGAGGGCGCGGGGCAATGGCGGGCGAGCCTGCCGCCCATCATCGGGCTGCGCCACTGACACACCTTGAATCCGCTATCGGCGCATGTAGCAAACGCATGCTTCTGCAAAAAGACGGCGAGACCCGGCTGCTGAAATGAAGGATTGAAAAACTTGACATTTGTCCTCGGAGCATCCGGGGTTTCTGGATTATTACATACTCTTATCCCAGGACAGAAAGTTCTTTGCTCCTTGCGCACTGTCTTTCATGTGGGTAAGTAGGTATTGTGCCACAAGTTTCAGCGACTCAACCAACAATAAAACGTGACCAGCATGGTCAGCAGGCAGGCCTGATTCATCAAGGCGGGTGATAGGCCAGGTCAAACCTTGCCCCAACGGATCGACCGAAGTGGTCAACTATCTCCGGGGCAGTGCATGAATAACCAGCCACGACAAAGAATCCAACTCCTCACGTTCCTGGTCCCAAACCGGCTGTGGATCACATGCCTTTGGATCTGGGATGGCATCTCAGCGAGGCGGTGAGGTCGGGGCGGAAGCTTTCCAGAACGGCGCCGACCAAAGACTGTTGCAACGTCAGTTCCTTGGCGCCATAGATCTTGCTTTGCAAGGATCCGAATGCCCTGTCATCTCAAGCAGCTGTGCTACGTCATAGTATATGGTGTGCCTAGGGGCATTGTCCTCGCTTCAGCGGGTTGGTTGCCAAGTCCCGTAAATGGTATACCTATTTGCTTGGTGCAAAAGATAAAATAATGTGCTTTTTGCTGTCCATCCGCCTCCGAAAACGGGTTGCCAACCCCGTGAAACGGGCAAGGCAACCAGTTTCCTATGACCAGGTGAAAAATGAACATCAACTCCGGATGTTTTGGTAACACGCTCCTGACCTCATGTGCACATTCAGCGGCAAGTGCCTCTAAAATTTTCCAAATTTCTAGGTTATCTTAATGACTTCCTCATCTTACTGAGACGCAGCTAAACAAACCATTACTGACATCGGGTATGTACATAATCTAAACCCACAAGATGCTCGATCCAGCCGTTAACGAGCCTCTTGTACAACTGTCGGGCCAGCGGCACCCAATAGCATCTCCTCCGAGATGCGATGGATAGAGTAGATACCCCTCCGCTTGCTGATGAAGTGCCCAATTTGTCTACTGCTCCGTGCAACAATCTCACCGCCTGACCTCACTCTCTCCGTCGAGATCTTGTTGTCTGTCTTGAGACCCAGCGGCAGCTCTGCCGACATGTGTACTGTCATCGCCTTGCCCTTGGCCGAGTCGGCGAGAGCTCTCCGGGCCCTCTTTGCATAGTTGGCCGCCTCGGCAATTACACCCTTGAGGCGCACCGCCTCCATGACCCCCTCTAATGCCACACTGATCTCGGCCTGGAACTGGCTGAAGAAGTTGGCTGAGTCTTGGTGCGTACGAGAGCTGGAGAGCATGACATCCGCTGCCATCCATCCACTCAGGCCCACCGCGTCAATACATCTCGACATCAGGTCAGCAATGAGTTGGATGCTAGCGTCGGGAGGTGCATCATCCTCCTGATCCGCATTTATCTTGTCGAGATAACGTGTAGTCCAACCGTCCTTGATAAGCTCAGCTCGCAATACATTAAGAAGCACTAGGACCTCATCAGGCTTGAAAAGTCGCCGAAGACTCTTGACCGTTTCCGCCGCAGGGCAAGCAGCCAGCTTGCTAAACGCAATGCCCAGACCCCGCGTTCGGTGCTCATCGAGATAGTGTTCGGTGATTTGCAATTCTTCCTCCGCTCGGTCGAGCTCCATGTTTACAACCTCGTTTTCTTGCCCAGTAACCTGTTCAATGTGTGTGTTATCTCCAACTGCTGGAAGCCTCGAGCCATCTTCAAACAATCCCAGACTGCAAAGGAGGAGCTTAATGGAAGAGACCAGTTCACTTGAACCAAGCTGAGTCCCAGAAAGGTAGCCCACAAGAAGCTCCATGGTAGGGTCAACTTCAGCCAAGATGATGGGAAGTTGCTCGCCAATGAGCTCTTCGACCTTATCCACTTCCCGGACATCATCCTTGAAAGCTGACTTGACATTTGACGTTGATAAGTGTCCTGCATCCACCAGATAAATAAGAACGCTGCTTTCCGGAAGTCGGCACGTCAATCGCCCAGTGTTAGATTCTAGTTGTCCTTCCCAACCGAACACCTTGTTGATAGCGTAAACCACCCATCGCCTATCAACGCGAGCATAATCGCTACGGGATGAAGGCCACTCCCACTCTGGCAACTTGACCACAGGGTTCGGGGCAGTTTGCTTCTCAGCATCGGCAGTCTCGTCTGGCTTGATGGGGACCTTGAAGACCTCAGCCATGAGCTCCTCCCATGATTGAATATCATTATTCTGAAGAAGTTCATCAGCCTGCATAGCCTTGTTCTGCCACTCTGACCAAGAAGGATCTGACAAAGAGCCGGGCACAGCGTCCGCAAGGATGGTCGAGTCAGAAACATGCTCTGGTTTTGTTCGTTTCTCAAAAGCGATCTTGCGGGAGATGCCTCGCCGGATAGCATCTGTCAACAAACCCTCTGCGCGTCTCTTGGCCGTTCTGTTCTTTGGTGCCTCTATTTGAATCACAACAAGACTACCCCCTCGAATGGCTACTGCAAGCTCCCGGCTGGCCAGATAGGAAACAAACTCACACGCGTGACCATTCGTGTCGTCTGTCGGCTCGAGACGAGCCGCGGCCTGCAGTGACCGGTAGATCGGGTTGTACACCGAAAGCGAATCCGTTGCCGATGTTAAGACCGAAGTTTTGGAAAGTCGAAGGTATGAAGAAAGTCCAGGAACCTGAAGCCTATTTTCGAGTTTTGCAATGCCATTGGCAAATTGGTAGGTGACAAGAGCTTTGTTGGAAATGGCTTGTAGTGTGCCCGAGCGAACGTCCAACTGGAAACTTCTGCACGTCTCCTCAACTGCCAGCGGCGCAACAAAGACCGAAATGACATTCTCTTTGCCCGTCTGCCGCGCTTCCCTTTCCGATGGCAAGGCCAAAACATGCAAATGACGAGCGTTGGCAGAATCGGCACCTGATTGCGAGGTGATGACGACGAAAAAGTCCGGATTAAAACCATCACGGTGAATCCTCTCTTGGAAGACTCCAAATAGATCGTTTTTCCCGCCAAATAGCCCATCAGCAACATCAGCCGCAGAAGTTTGCTGGACAAAATCAACTTGGAGAGCTAATTTAGAGTCCGACAAGATCTCTCGGGAAAGCACAGATGGAGACACCTGCCATTTCTCCTCAAGAGTCTCTCCGTTCAGCGCAAATATGGAACCATTGGCGGTAATGATGATTAAATCATGGTTAGGAATGTCTTTCCCTGGAACATTTGTCAGGAAATTGCGGGGTGAGCTGGTGAAAATATGGACGATGGGCGAATCGGAGCAAATGGTGCGGGAGATGCACGCCACAACAGTGTTGCCAGTACTTAACGTCTCCTCCCTAAACAACCTGATCTCACGCTTGGCGAGGACCGAATCACCAGTCGCAACTGACACGTAGGTGTAACGCGTGACCGTTTTAGAGGAAGCAGGACGCCATCGCAGTGAAGAAGGCGGGCAAGTAAAGCAGGACTGCGGCGAGACTAGATATGAGGTCACGACTTGAGAAGATAGAATCTATTCAAAGTCAGTAACGCAATCTCACAAGGACTATGTATTCGGTATTCCCACATCGTAAAGGTAGACTGCGACGCCATCAATAGCGACTGCGAGTTCTGTCCTCTTCTTTCTCTTGCCACCCTGCTTTTGACCGAAAACTTCGCCAGAGAAGTAGCGCCCGAGTCCATCTGAACGATCTAGCGGCCGCGGGAGCGCATGAAGCACATATGGTGCATGTATTTGAAGTTTTGCAGCCATTTCGATGGTGATGTGGTTGGCGCTGTATGTCAAAGTTGAGGCATTGTAGGACGATCGAAGCTTCACGACAGAAAAAAGCATTAGCTCCACTAAAAAAATAAGTGGGTCTCATGCAATCGGCTGGGAAGGCCCCACCGCCAAGTCACTTATCAAGCCAAATACGTACTGTAACCACAGCCAGCTGCAGCGGCAAAACTTTAATCCGGTCTTGTCATCAGGCCATTCTTCAATCATACGTATTATATCACGTGATTATGCTGATCGACTTGCACGCGGTTCCACAGATGGGGCTCGGCACTTCAGCCCTGCGGGACCCTTTGCAGGCCTATCAATGATGCAAGTGGATCACACCCCAAGCCACGAGACGCGGTTCGCAGACGCGTTCTCCAACAGGAGTCGGAGACGCGACACTTTCCACTTCCTAATTTGGCTTCTCTCCATTCCTGACAGGAGGTGTTGATTGGCTTCAGCAACTCCCACAAGCATTTCTCAACTGTCCTGTCGTTTAATCTTTCAAATCCACTTCTTTTCCGTGTTGCTCCTGAATCTTTGGATTCTTTGGCATTAAGAGACCGACCAACATCTTCCCAAGTATGCCTCATCACAACTTCCTTAATCCTTGGATGCCGCGCAATCTTTAACCCGGCTATGTCAAAGGTTTGTGTTCCCCTGAGGGCTCTATGTTCGATGAACTGGTCACCACTCACAGCTAGAAGTCATACTAGCAGCCAGGAGAACTAATAGTACATGCTCCTAACAGCACGATCGTCGTTCATGGCCCATTTAGCTGTCTTCACAATGACCAACAATGCCCCCTCCCAAGACTGCATAAATGGGCGGCCCATCCACCCTTTTTTCACCTTGAGCCGACATCATCCCTCCGGGATTAAACGCGCCCCAGATAATGCATCGATCCAGAACTGTGATGCATCGTTGCCCTCTGATGCCGCAACCGGTAGTGACAAAACCAACAATAACACAGAACAATGTGCCCAGTCTGTAAATGGACGTGGTCAGCGTCGCAAGGCAGACCGAGATGCTGGGAACGATGAGACACAAAAAAAGGCACCACCTCGGAAAAGAACGCGACATTCTGCTGGGTCAAACATCACAGCCCACTTAGTAAAGCTGCCCAAAGGCAGTGACAGCTCTGGCACTCGGGAGCAAGACGATGGAGATGACCAAGCCCTCGAAGACTTGGCACAAAAAGGGCAAGCCACCAACACTTTGGAAAAGCCAACCTGCTCCGGGACCAGCTTGGCTCAGCAAGATGGCCAAGCAGCCCGCGATGATACTGTCGTTCAGATTGACCCAGGTCAACTGGACTCATCTGCTTGTGACACCAACGACAAGCAGACCAGTCGTTGCCATTCAACGGGAGATAAAACACCGGAGCTAGACCTTTGGAAAGTGCCCAAAGTTCCCAATGAGAATATGGAGAAACCAAAGATTCCCAGACTCAATACAAAAACAGGCATGCTTGGCTCTCCGCCTAAGCTTAAAGAGATTCAAGCAGGGGAGGAGGATGCTGATGCACAGAGGAGCGTAGTATTAATGCATGACCGAAAACCCCCAATTATGATTGTGCGTATCCCCTATGGCATTAGTCCTGATTCTCGGGTCAGGATTGGCGAAGCGATCAACAGTATCCTCGATGGTCGGAAGATTTATCCTGACTTCAAGTCAAAACAGTCAGCATCGGTTAATAAAGATAATGCTGCTGAGGTTTCTGGATTTTCATCCTCCAAACCTGCTAAGGCAGTTCACCCCTTCTTTCTAGGGAGGACCAAGAAGCCCGCTCCAGTCCAGCAGCAACAAGATTCCGATCCGAGTACTTCGACATCCTCGTTTACCAACATACAAGCTCAACATTACAGCTCGATTCCATGCTCATCGAAGAGATCGCGACCTATACCGACCATCAAGCATCACATGCCACAATTTGGCGTCAACAGCATGGGCATCAAGTTCCCTGGGGCCAAGCCACCTTCTTGGCCATGGAAAGGTATGATGCACATACGAGGGGAAGAGCATGAAACAGTCCGCACGATCGACATAACACGGTTACATGCGCCCCGTAAATCCAAGGGGAATATTGTCAGAATACTTCCTGGAGAGTCTGTGGTCGATATCATGTCCCAATCGATCAACATCGCAGCCATCACAAAGGCTGTTCGCAACATCGATACGGACAACTTCCCTCCTCCTCCCCCAGAACTTCGCCTTCCGAACAAGCATTTCGAAAGCGGAAGCAAACTGCAGGCTCGTATTCTGCCCGAGCTCAAAACTTTTAAAGCCTGCCCGGTGCAGTCAGTCCAGCAGAGCTTGCCTAGAATGTGCAACGGGCTCAACGTTCGTCCTCCCCCACAGCTCGCTCGGCTCTTCCATTCCATCTCACTGGAGTTGTCTGCCTTTGATATGTCTCAATGTGAAAGCCGGGACTGGGTTCAGAAATATGCTCCAGCCAACGCCGTGGAGATTCTTCAGCCTGGACGGGAAGCATTCCTTTTGAGAGACTGGCTGCAGGCCCTGATGGTTCAGTCTGTGGACACCGGTTCGCCGGATGCCGACAAAGGCAAAACCGGATCCAAAACGAAAGGAACCGCCAACAAGAAGAAGCGGAAGAAAAAGCTAGATGGCTTTATCGTCTCTAGTGATGAGGAAGATCAAGACTTCTACGAGCCTTCAGATGAAGACACGGACTGGACTCCTAGTGGGCATCGAGGAATCGTCAGACCAACTGTTGTCAAGCCTCTATCTAACCGCAACCGTGGCAAAACTCCAAACACGCTAGTCATCAGCGGTCCACACGGATGTGGGAAGACAGCTGTCGTATACGCCGTCGCCAAAGAACTGGGCTTCGAAGTTTTCGAAATCAACTCAAGCAGCCGACGGAGCGGCAAGGATGTCCTGGAAAAGATAGGCGATATGACAAGGAATCATCACGTTCAACAGCACCAGGTCACATCGAAGCCAGATGACGAAAGCCCGGTTCCCCAAAACAATGTGGAAGAGGACATCAAATCTGGCAAGCAGTCCACCATGAATGCCTTCTTCAAGCCAAAATTGAAAGGGTCAGTGGCCAGGCAGGAAAAGCCTAGCACTCAGAACGTCAAATTTGAACCCCCCAAGAAGGAACCCACGAAGAACCAGAGACAATCTTTGATTCTCCTCGAAGAGGTTGACATCTTGTACGAGGAAGATAAACAGTTCTGGGCAACAGTCATCGGCCTGATTGTGCAGTCTAAACGCCCCTTCGTCATGACTTGCAATGACGAAACTCTCGTTCCCTTGCAGTCTCTTCGGCTGTATGGAATCTTCAGATTTAGCATACCCCCAAGGGACCTTGCAGTTGATCGCCTGCTTCTGATCGCTGCAAATGAGGGCCATGCACTCACTCGCCGGGCCGTGGAGCAGCTATATGACTCTCGTGGTTGCGACCTTCGTGCTGCGACCATGGATTTGCAGTACTGGTGCCAGGTCGGTGTGGGTGACCGCAGAGGTGGCTTTGACTGGTTCGTTCCCCGCTGGCCCAAGGGTGTTGATTTGGATGAGAACAATGAAATCATCAGGGTGGTTAGCGAAGGAACATATCAGTATGGGATGAACTTGCTCTGCCGAGATCGTATCGCCGATTCTAAACTCTCCCCACAACTCGTGGAAGAGGAACTCCTGCATCAAACATCAGAGTCCTGGACCTTCGACTTGGGACATTGGCAGGATTCGGTGGGACTCGACGATTGGGCAATGGACATGGCATCCCACATGGAAAATGCAAGGGACCGGCAGCATATCCTTGAGGCGTATGACACACTGGCTGAGACAATGAGTACTGCAGACATATGTTCTGATAGATCATTTGCTGTGTTCATGGAGGTTGGTCTTTACTCCCTTGAGTTCCATACACAATGTCGACCAAGCTAATGGTTCCTTTCATCTAGGAAGCGATTGACACCACTCAGCCAGAACCTTCTGCCAAAGCTCAAGACGACTGGATCTTGGGGGTCACGCACCTCGACACGCCTTTTATTACTCACTACAACTCTTTGGCAATACCGATCTCCTCTGCCATGAAGTCTTTGGCACGATCTTACCTGCACCAGCGCACAGTGACAATGCAGCGCGACACCACACGATTACTGCCCCTGAGTGAAGAGCAGGCCATTCGGTGTCTGCAGAAGAGCTTCACCACACCTCCACTCAATGCCCCGGTGATTAATCGCATGGATTTTGCATTTGCATTTGACCCAATCGCTGCAAGCGATTCTACGCAGCCGACCTCTTACCTTGAGCCCTCTGTCTTTGACCGAAACATGGAGCTCATCACCCTCGATGTCGCGCCTTATGTTCGAAGCATTGTCGCTTACGATGTCCGCCTGCAAAGACAGAGGTTGAAACATAGTAACCTTGTAAGTGAGGGTGGCAGAGCAGGACCAAAGCGCATGCGGACCACTAGGACAGCTCTCTCAGCACTAGAGGGGGGTTCAAGGAGCACTGTTCGGGGTGAGAAGTGGTTTAAAGCAGATATCAACCCTTACCTAGTTGCAAAGACCGCTGGTGCAGGATGGAATGGATTTGACAAGGAGGATCTGGCAACGTCAGAGGAGCAAGTCAAGAGTTCTTTTCAGAACTCTACCTACAACATATCGTCAGTGACAACCCCTAGCAAGGAAGAGATGGTTGCAGGCAGGCCAAAGCGGCAAAAGGTTGTGGCAGTCGAGACCGATGATGACCTTGCTTGAAAGGAATCTCGAACATGTCTTTCTTTGCATCAGGAGGGGTAACCTATGGCTTCAGGGGGGCAGTCATTAGCTTGCATACTTTCATGGTTCATATGTGGCGCCTGGCTTGAACTCGGGATAACGTAGGGATCATAGATAGATAATTAGCACATAAATCTACGGCTTGAGAAGTAGCTACTCATCACTAATGTCTGGTCCTTTGTCCATGGCTCTGAAGTCTTGGCTCACTATACATCCTCATGGATTTCGGCATCCGAACTGTGCCTTGAACCAAGGCACCTGTTTATCTTTCTAAATGCTCCTCAAGATGATGAGGGCACTGCCATATACCAGCCGCATCAAACGATACGCCGCTTGATCCTCGTTGATTATGGGCATCATGAGAAACATTAAAGGTCTGGGATGTAGCATCTTAGTTGTTCAGCACCTGCTTTGGTGCTAATGAGCTTCCTTGAGGTATCAATGTCCATCTGATCCAAATGGCCTTCTCCCGAGTCATGATTGTGTGCTCTCGCCAGTTTTGTTTGATATAAAAGGGTTCTTTGGCATATTCAACGATTGTCAAAGCTGGGATCTCGCCGTCGATCCTCCCGGGAGTTCCAAGGGAAATTGGGAGTGACCTGGAACTTCTGTTCTTGCTATTCCTGGAACAATTTGTCAACTCTTCACAGTGACAATTCCTGTCGTAGAGACAGCAACAGCAGCCGCCGTTCAATGATGCTGAATGTTCGAAAACTGCACCCATATGCTGACTCCGGTCTTCCCGTCCTTTATATGCCCCTCCACACCCATTCCAATCCCTTTCAGCTCGCCGTCTATTCTGCGCACGTAGCGCTAAATCCGACAACTCCCAGTCCTCCTTCTCGCCATGAGGGAAACCCTTTGGCCGATATTTGTGCGCAGCCAGAGATGCAGCAGCGATTGAGCCAAGAAATACATATGGGAATGTTGTTGCTCGCTTGCCCGGTGGTGTAGGGGGACTAGCAGCATGGTTGTTGCTGGTGGCTGCTCTTGTAGCTCCCATTATTTCAGCAACGCTGGGCGGGAATGATAACCTATATGAGAAGTTAAGCGTTATGTTATTATACAGTTGAAACAATTAACTTTGCTGTTTAGATGACAGATGTCAATTTCATTTATGTTGAAATTGGCTTCTCTCTTATATACAAGAGACGGTACGCAAAGGTTACATCAGCAGGCCAACACGGCTAGACTCGTATAAGAAGGAAGAGGACCTGTAATGAGGATTCGCAACTTAGCTCACTGTACGCAACTTGGTGTTGGCCCCAACCAAGTCAACCCATGTCCGAGATAGTCATGTTTCAGACCATGGTTATGAATAAGAGACCAATCTACGCTGACTTTGTCTTATGTGATGTTAGAAACCACGGCAAAGATTCAGCTGATGCAAGATTTGGAATTCTTGCTTATTGTTTCTGTTTTCATGATCAACACCAAGCGCTCCAATATGGGGCAGGTGAGGGTTAGAAGTGCACGACGTAAGCCAAGCTCTGTAGATGTGGGGCCATTGATCGCTGTATCGATCTGCAACATGACCGTCTCCACATGGAGGTCGTCAGGTGTGACCTGAGTCCCCGAGTAGGTTGGATTTCATCACTTCGTTCTCCCAGAAGACTTGTTATACACAGCAGTCTTCTTTGCCACCCGATCTGTCCCAGACATGAAGTTTGTGTGGATCCTAGAGGCCACATCCATCCGGCGTTGTTCAGAATGTCAGCTAACAGAATGGCAAGGATGGCTCGTGCTACACCTCCGCCAAGCTGAAACACTAAACCGCTCGCGGTCTGCAATCCGTATACAGCCCAGTATCTGCATCAAACTTTCGGCCAAGATGAAACTTCCTCGCTGTACATCTTTGCCATTACTGCCCCATTCGAGGCAATGGAAGAGCGATGACCGCCAGGCATTCCCGGTGTTGGTGTTGAATACAAACCCCACCAGGCACTGACATCCCCGCTTCCCATTCTCCTCCCTACATCACGACGTATCTATCCCAACCGTTTCCAATATTTAAATCCCCCCTCACAATGTTCATCGCGAAGCACATTTGCCATCACTTCCCCTCCCAACAGCCCCGAAACATGTGGGAAGCTCTGTGATCGATCTTAAGTTTCGTTACGGGAGAGTAATCGGTCTCTTCAACAGATGAAGTGGTCTATCCGTTCGTTCCTTATCACAGTCATCACAACTGCCTGCTCGACTTTGCCCCCTTGACACATCCCAAAAGGTCTCCTACGGTCAGCGATAATCAGATTCTGAATTTAATGTGACCGAACAGTATTCAATCGTCGGAGTGTAACAACAAGGGCTAGCAATACTTCAAGGTCCGAACGTCAACGCACGATGGATAGCACCAGCCAGAAGAACACCGTCAAGAATGATGGTGATCCTGTCAGGTCAAGAAATCATGGCTTCGTCCGATCTTTTTTCACTAAGTTGGGCCTTGATGCAAGTACTTTGACTGCGATGCTGAAGTAGGTGCATCTTTGCGTTAGAGCCTCTCGAAATCCTTGCCAACCTGTTTAACTCTCTCTAGGGGTTCGCTTCCACCGACAATAGGCATCGCCATGTGCCATGCTCCCGCAGTAGCCTCCTATTTTGGCACAATCAGTTACCTCGTTCCCATTACGAGTGTCCTCGCAATGTCCGTCTTGCCGAGAGGCAAGTTCCTTATGAACCTTATTCTTAACCTCTTGGCTGTATGTTTTGGTACAGCCTTGTCCATGCTCGCCCTCTGGTCCGCTGTGCAAGCCCGTCATCACACAACACCTGATGGGATCCCTCCAGGACTTGCGCCGAAATACAACGCGAGCCAGTCAGCCGTTTGCGCCATATGGCTGTTTGCTAGCATCTGGTTCGGAAACGTAGTTCGCGCGAAGTTGCCGGCCTTCAACCTCCCCATCATTACCTACAGCATTCTAGTCAACATTGCTGTAACCTTTGGATCTTCTCTGTCAACGACGGCTGCCGTTGAAATGTTTGTAACACAACTATTTACAAGCATGCTCACGGCCCTCGCTATTGCCCTCGGCGTCAATCTTCTTGTCTTCCCGGTTAGCAGCCGCTTGGTCGTTGTTAAAGAGTTCGCTGCCGGCTTCGGGCTGCTCAAGAAACTGGTCTCGCAGCAAAAAGCGTACCTGGCAAGTCCAGAATCGACTGCTAGATATTCAACTCTCACACGTCCCGAAACCCTGTTTGGGAAGGTTGAAGATGACGGAACACCAGAAGACCAACAACCAAAGGTCGTCAGAGAAAACAAGGCGGAAGATGCACTTCAAGAAACCGGCACGAAGATAAGAGAACTTGTTGGAAAGCTGCACGTTGACGTTCCTTTTGCAAAGCGTGAAATCGCTTGGGGAAGACTGGATGCTAAAGATTTGGCGGAGATATTCAAACTGTTTCGCAACCTCTATATCCCAATGTATGATTATCCGTTGTCTCCTTATCTCTCAAAAGCTCTTCTTAGCTAATATGAAGCTCGGCAGTCTCGGGATGAACACCATTATTGACATATTCAGACGGTTTTCGGAGCGTCCGGACTGGACTATCGATGGCGATGCTCCCGCCGAGATCATTGCCGAAAAGTTGAAGGAACAGCATGTATGGGACGAGGTCATGAAGCAAGTTCAAGAGCCCTTCGAAATTCTGTCGGAAGCCATCGACAAAGGCCTTGAACATGCCGGTATCTGTTTGGGTATCCTTCCCAGGCTGAAGAGACAACCGGTCCGCAGGTTCAGCCAGCCAAATCAAAACCCCTTTGAAACTGATCTTGAGGGTGCAGAAGAACTTCAGCCGGGCGACTTGCATTTTGCCAGGGTTATCGACGAGAAGATTTACGCTTTTCGTTCAAGGAAGGGAGAGCTTCTGCGCACCTGGGTTCGACAGAGAGGTGTTAACCTAGATGACGACGGTGGAGGCCCTTCATCCTTCCGAAGCGAACGGGACCAGGTCCAGTTCTACATCATTCTCTATTTGGAAAACTTGATGCACGCATCGGGCGAAGCCGTTCAGGACCTTGTCGACTTTGCTGATGAAAAGATTGCTGATGGAACGATGTCTAAAAAACGATTAATTGTCCCTTCAACCCGTCGTCTGAGGAAATGGCTCCGAGGCATTTTCAACAACGAAGACTCTTCGGGCGAAGAATCTCCCGACATTATGGAGAGTAGCAGAAATGTTGTTTATTTTGGCGATGCCTACAAAAGGAGGAAGGATCCTGAGCACCTCCTTCCTGAGACAGCCTGGCAGCACTTTGGTAACCATCTGAGAAAGATCTCCAAGTTTCTTGGCTCTGAAGAATCTTCATTTGGCTTCCGAGTTGCTTGCGCTACTATGTCGGTTGGCATTTTAGCTTTCCTGGAACACACACAGCACTTTTTTTTCGAGCAGAGGTTGGTATGGGCTATGATTGCTATTGCCATTGGAATGTCCATGAGTAAGTGTTAAGATCTCCCTTGTCCTCTTACCCGTGCAAAATCGCGGTATTCTGACCATAGCCAACAGCATCTGGTCAATCGTTATTCGGCTTCTTGTGCAGAATCGGGGGCACCATTTTCGCCATGATTTGCTCTCTCATTGTCTGGTATATCGTGAACGAACATGTTGCCGGGATTATTTTTTTCCTATGGGTTGCACTCTGCATCAACTACTATTTATTTGTCAAGTACCCTCGCATCGTCCCAGCGATCATCATCTCTGTTGTCACACAGTGTATGATCATTGGCTACGAACTTCAGGTCATTGCTATCGGTCGTGAGGCGGCTGAGAAATCGGGCCAGCCATTTTATCCGTATGGTCTTCCTTCTGTCCTTTCTCCCTTGGTAGAGGAGCTTATTCACTGACCTGGACCATAACAGGACATACTTGCTAGCTCCATACCGCGTTGCTTGCGTTGCTGGAGGGACCTTCGTTGCCTTTCTCTGGACGATCTTCCCTTCGCCTCTAACTGATCGGACATGGTTGCGGCGTGACCTTTCAGCAACTCTCTATCTCCTGGCCAACTACTTCGGCGTCATCCATTCAACCCTCAAGTCCAACGTCCAGGGCACCATAGGAGACATCAATGTGCATGGCACGCCAGCTCATCATCTGTACAAGGTCACTCGCAAAATCTTTGGCAAGCTCATGATGCTGATTCCTTCCATGTCACAACACTCCGAATACCAGAAATGGGAACCCACAATTGGCGGAAAATTCCCGCGCGACGCTTACAACGACATAATAAAACGCAGTAACCGCATCTTGTCTTATCTTATCTTAACTAGCTACACCTTGATGCATCCGACGCGACTGCGTGTCCGAGACAGACTCATGGATGACTTTTCTGGTGCTGAACGTCAGGGCCGCTTCCCGGGAGGTTTCCGGAGTCGTCCCCAGACGCTTAGCTCACGTTGTCCTTCTGTTTCGAGTGCCAATCATGAGTGGCTCACTGCTCTTGCCGAGGTCCTCGAGATTCTCAAGCCCACACATCACACTATCTTGTCGACACTTACTCTTCTCTCCAACTCACTACTTTCGGGACAAAGCCTTCCCCCTTTCCTGCCGCTACCTAAGCCATACGAGATGACACGTCAATTAATGAAATTAAGCAAGTCATCCGCGGATGTGGCGCTCTACAATCCCGATGGCGTGCCAGTGAGGATGGTCAGTTCACGAACCGGGAGAGAGGATGAGTACCATCTCGATTTACATAGGGATGCGGCCTTGGCGAACATCCTAGGCCCGCGAAATATCGAAAAACCGGGGTATGCAGAGTTTGCGGTCCTCCAGGTATGCACGACGCTAGTGTGCGATGATCTGGAGGGATTGATGGAGGATGTGAGTAGATTGGTTGGGGTTGTCGACTTCGACTTCCGCTTCGGTGTCAGCGAGTCAAGCTTAAACTTGGAGCATTCTCTGCGCCGAGGGAAGAGGGAGTAACTTCGGCTTCCTAGCATGGAGGAATAAAGTATCATGAAACCCGGAAACTTTAGTAAAAAACACACTGTTCCTATGGCATTCGGGTGAAAGTTTCGGGCACTGACTGGAACTCTACAGTGACTGCGTTTTTCAGATGCTTTGTCACAACAGGAGTTCCTTATAGGAGCATAGACACACTTCCGTAAAATACTTCATCTCGGGTTCTGTTCTGTAATTTGACTGTTCTGAGTCTATAATCTATCTTCTATCATTTTACTTACATCGATCGCGTTCTCGTCGTTCCTCTGGCATGTAACATGAAAGGAATGACATTCGTACGTGAAATTCATAGATTGTCTCCTGTCTGCTCCATGGCCACCCTTTAATTCTTGGCCCAGATCAGCGCACCAGGCACGTTCGGATCCGGCTCGACATACTTGCACTTGGTGAAGCACGCCCACAGCTGCCCAACGAAAGAACGCTCGTCACGGTGGTAAAGATCACCCAAAAGTGGCTTGATTGCTTCAGTGGCTTCCTCTGCGTAGTAGAAGGGGATACGGCTGTCGACGACATGGTCAGTTTCCCACTTCATACGAGCGTGATAAAGAGATTACTAACGGGAAAAGATGGTGCACGACATGTGTGTCGATGATGCCGTGGAAGAGATGGCGGCCGATCCAGCCAAAGTCACGATCCACGGTGGCGAGTGCCCCCTTGACAAAGGTCCAGTTCTCGGCATCAAAGTGATGGACCTCAGGGTGAGTGTGGTGAAGGTAGGTAATGGCAACTGATCAGGCGTTAGTCTCTGATGCCTGTCTCACAAGAGGTATAACTTACCCAACCAATGGTGAACCCAACAATAAGGGGCAATGTACAGAAGACAGACCGTCTTCCAGCCGACTGCATTTGAAGCGAAATACAGGCCTGTGGCAACAATAGCGAGGCCGATGTCTGACAGAACGATATAGCCGGCCTCACTGGGGCGAAAGACGGCGCTCTTTGGATCGAAGTGACTGACGCGTAGCCAACTAGCCTTGCGTTGCTGACTGTTGCTCCCGGCCGAGACGTTAAAGAGCAGGTACATCTGGAAGCCGGCGAGTTGGTGAAGAAGCAACTTGACGAGCTGAACAATTGGCACGTCCTCGATCAGCTCCCGGTCAAGGTACAAGTCGGCGAGGCGGCGCTTTTTGCGGTCCTCCTTGGTATGTGGCACGAAAGCCATATCCTTCTCCATGTGGCCCGTGAAGAGATGATGGCGATGATGTGAGAACTTCCAGCTGAAGTAGGGAACCAACAGAGCGGAGTGCAGAACCCAGCCCACGAAGTCATTGAGTTTGCGGTGCGCCGAGAAGGCTCCGTGGCCAGCCTCATGCGCCAGAATCCAAATACCAGTGCAGATGAGGCCTTGAACAAAGCCATAGACGAACCAGGCCGTGGTGCGCAAAACAAAGGGCTCCATCTGGGGAATATAGGTAAGGGCTGCCCAACCTAGTGCCGTCGCCATGGCGACGTCCCGCGCGACATAGCCTAGTGAACGCAGAGTCGACGGCCGGAAGCAATGCGGAGGAATTGCGTTCCTGATGGTTTGAATGTCGGGATACGCAGGCCCGGCCGTCTTGATTTGGCCATCCACCCTGCGACTTCTGGTTGTTGTGGTCGTGGTAGTCGCCGTCATTTTGATGATCTCGGAGACTAAGTGGCAGAACCAAAGGAGGAAAACTGAGAAACTAGTTGTGAGGAACGTATATAAGGACAAAAAGAGAGGAAACAAGAAAAGAGTGAAAAAGACACCCGGTTCGCTTCTCGCCTGGACAAAAGGACATGCTCAACATTTTCGCTTTTTTTCTGCCATTCTTCACGTCGCTGACCGCCCTGAGCCCAACCCCTGATACATTACCAACCAGGTTTCTCCATGCTCTTTTCAGGTTGGGCCCAGTTCGACCAACAAGCGGGGAGGATGGATGCATCAAAGGCAAGTACAGGATCCATGTTAATCTGGGTCTCAACTAGATTGTGTCTAGACCTTCCCCCACGCAGCTACTCTCTAGACAAAAGGGCTAGGTACCTAATGTGAAAACCGGAAGGAGGCCATTGCCACGCGTACAACACTCAACCATCTAGTTTGATCATAGGTGGGGGTACTTTGGCCCTCGGTAGTAACACAAAGTTTTCCAACTCAACAACAACAAAAAATCAACATCAAAATGCTTCAATAATTCCTTTGCTCAGCCCTGCTTTCACTTAACCAAAAGAAATAGGTATTTTTCTATTTATTTTCAATACGTTGTATTGATTCAGAGGGTGAGAATTCGAAGGATTGGACCCATGATCCCTGTCTAAAGTTATGAACAAACACAAGGGTTGAAACGCATTTGGTCGCTTTATTGTTGGCAGGCGATGCTGAAGAACAGAGGGAGAAAAGCGTCAAAACTATATACTTGCCTAACTATGTGCTTTTACCCTGTAGGCTGCGTTAATTCTGTGTGGTCCACCTCCAGGTGCCCCGTTCGCGTCTCTTTTATCTCTTCAATCTCCTATCATCGAGTAAAACACGAGAAGCCCAGCCGTTAGGAAAAAAAAAAAAAAACTCCTTATCCTCCTTATCGCAAATTGTCGAACCTAAACCCGCCAGAAAAGGCTCAAATGGAGCCAACAACTCTTCCGACCAATGAAAGACTGCTGAGTAGGTTTAATAGAAGGCAAGGGCGACAAGCAAAAGCCGTTCTGTCCCTTTAAAGGCCTGGACCCTGCATGAAGCGCCTAATACGTATCAGGTAAAATCAAAAGGTCCAATTTTCCTCCTCAACACAACTTGCGACAGAGCGAAGTAGACACATAGCTAAAGCCTCCAAATAGTATGCTGAGCTAGTAGGCAGGCTAGCTGACTGCAAACTAGACAACCCTCGAACAGGTATCCTTCGAACAGGTATCCTTCATGCAAAGTACAGGATACACTATCTTCCTGTTTTAACAGACGCCAAAAAGCATCTTGCGTATACCAGCCCCGTATCCTTTCTCATGTTCCATGCCCAATCAACATCTCATGACCATAAAGATTCGCTCTCGGGCTAGCTGCAAATGATACCTCTCTTTCCTGCTGATTAATTCCAGTGCGGCAACCCGTCGTGATGCATTGTTCTACATACAACTGACGTCAGAAAAGAAGGCTTGGTTGGTATCAACGTTGGAAGTTTTCAATATGGTATTCCGCTGACACAGCTGGCATGTCACCGACTCTTTCATGAAGATGGCTCATTGCCCTTTTTCTTGTCTTCCTCTCTCTGAGTGTTCTGTTATCCACAACCAAAAAAGACATCGTTTTCCCATCATGTTTTTAAACCCAGAAGCCTACAAAGCTAACGATAAACTCCATGACGCCACCTGCGAGCGTACTCGTAGCTCGCCATGAAAAGAAAGCAACCATCCCATGCCCTCCGAACTTGTAGCAAATCATACATTCAGCACCATGAGAAGCCCAACCCGAGATGTGTAAATCGACGCCAAATCCTAACCCACATCAGCCCGAACCTTCTCTTCAATCAAGACCCTAATAAGGCCCTTTCACCTTTGTCAATTTCGAAGGCAACGTAATGTAAGATCTTGACCCAGCGCACAACCCAAGAAATGAAGCCCCCGCGGGCCTGAGCTGTTTAGGAAACTGCACGCAATATGCAGAAGACAGAACAAAACCTCCTGATTAAGCGCTTCAATAGCCTTTGTCACCGTGCTGTCAGTTCTTTGTGGACATCAGATCAAATGGCAGCCAGGCAAGCCCCAACGATGACGTCGCTTCAATGCCATTGCGCGGAAATTGCTTATTAACGTTTGAACCAGTTCAGTCGTTGATAGTGGCCGACTTTTCGGCGCGTGCACTGACACGACTCGCATACACCTCCAAGCAGGATGTGGCCAAGCGAGTCACTTCTCCCATGATCAGCAAATACCATCTTTCAAGATGAAAATATTGTAACAACAAAAGAGCAAAACTCCAGAACTTACCAGGCCAAACCCGTGCCTTGTCGAACAGGTATGCAGTCAGCCGCAGCAGCTTCGCAGCATAGCCCGCATCATCAACAATATGGCAACTGCCAACAGGTTCGGAGTCCTTGTCATTGGCTCCTCCCTTCACTCTCCCGCTGTCTCGAGTTGCACCTGCTCTCACTTTGCTCTCAATTTCTTGAATGATCTCATCAACCTTCCCTAGCAGCTTGATGTCCTCTTCTTCAAGCAGCACGATGGCAGGCACTTGCGTGAAGTCCACATTGTCCCTCCCAAGAACCCCAAGATAGCGGCCAACACGATCTTGAAGTGTCGAGATCCATTCAGCAAGGACAAGAACACAGTCGAACACATAAAGTGATGCCTGCAGCGGTAGCTCGCGGCCCATTAAATCGGCCAAGGAGAGGCCAAGCTTGCTAGAGGCGCAAAGGGATTCGGCAGCAATCGAAGCAGCTTTGCGCAAGAATTTCTCTCTACGAGACATGGCTCGATGGCATGATTCCTGTGATGAGGTGCGAGACGAGTGCTGCGTGAGAGCAGAGTTGATGGTGCCAGAAGGGGCAAACTCTAGGGATTGTGTGGCTTTTGGGTCAACTGCCCGGCAAACGGAGCCATTGCCGTCACCCAAAGGATCTGTGACGGACGAATCAGTTGCTGACTGCGGGGTCAATGAAAATTCGGCATGCTGAACGACATCGGCTCCACGGGAGACTTCCTCAATCACACCATCCCAATCACGCTGCCAAAACTTCTCCTTGGCCCGGGAGAGGTCAACGAATAGACGGATGTAAGCGAGATCGAGCAAAAGAATAGAGTCGGCCGAAAGCGGCCCGGCACCATATGGGTTTGGACGTTCCGCGCTGTGAAACGGGGTGTTCGCCCAGGCAGCATGCCATGTCTTCAAAGCAGGCTCAATGTGTCGATGCATTTGCTCAACTTCGCAGTCGGTCCAAGCCTTACTGTGATGGCGCTGGCGCGTTTCCCATATATAATTGTGGAGCGCATTAATCAGGATCAAACAGCCAAAGGCGCTAGGCTTCAGGTTGGTCTTAGGTAGATCGCTGACATTGGTAGCCGACCCGAGCGGCAGCTGGAGAGGAAACGGATGCTTCTGGTGCTGTAGCTTGTCACTACTCCGCAACAGCTCTCCTAGGGCCTCGTGAAAGGTTATCCGGTTGTGATATGCCCCTAAAACTCCACCTTTTAGTCGGAAATCGGCTGCGCTCCGCGCAGCAAAGAACTCCTCGTTACACGGGAGGTCCAGGTGAATTTCAGAATTGGTCAAGGCTGGTGAGAGGTTATATGCCGACACTAAGAGGCTAGACACGACAAAGATGGCAAAGAGGGTTCGCTTGCGCTCTTCTGCTACCTTCCAGTGCAGCCACTCGGCGTGCTCTTGGGCAAGGGTGTAACCTGAACCATTCCAACCGCCAATGCCGTCTGCATCGGGCATGGCAATATCTTTGATGCTTGGTTCGACCGATACTGGCTGAAACAGATTTGCTCCTTGGGCGAGACTTACCAACGCGGCGGCGTGGGTCGACGCAATCTCGCCCGTACGCTTATCCCCGCAGTTATGACCATATACAACATTCAAAAGCATCGCTTGGACTAACCACACTGGGGTCTCGACGGGGGATTCCTGCTGTTGCGAATTATGGTCCGCCAACACGGACGTGAGCCGGATGGACTCTGCTTTTCTTACGTTCGCTTTCCTCCTCTCGTCAAGATACAGTTGGATCATCTTCTTAGCCAATCCAAACAGCTCCATGGATGCCTGATGTTCCAGCTCAAACAGGGCACCGATGGCTGCCATGGACAGCAGCAGGGAGCCACTCCCACAAATGCCGCTAGTTTGCCCGCTTGTGAGATGCGTCGGAAGCTCGAAGGACAGCGTCGGTAGGTGGATGAAGGGTAAGTGGGGATGGAAGTATCGCAGGTAGGCTCCGACGTAACGCTGAAGGCTCTGCGTGCTCGGGAGGGAGACGGATTGCTCGGGGGTGGTGCTGTTCGCTGGGGACGGCTGAACGGTCAAGGGTGAGCTCGGGGCGGCGAACGACAATCTCCGCGTTCCAAACGGGGAAGCCTGGCAGGCCGATAGGGCACCTAGGATGGCATTTCTTGTTGAATCAGTGATTGTCGAGACGGGTAAGGTGCCATGATTACTACCATTCATCGAGGACGGCGTTTCCGGGCCGGCACCAAAGCTCATGGATTGGTTTACATTCTGGCCATTCAAGCCTGAAATAACGGGCTGCTGACTGATGGAGTTCATCGAGGGCGGCGGCGTAGAGAAGTACGAGTCATTCAACGTCTTGGCCGAAGATGGCTGGGGTGATACGGGTGCGCCACTCAAGAGGTCGGGAAAGACGGAATTAAGATCGAGAGAAAAGGGGTTATTCGATACCTGTGGCGTAGTCATGAGAGAGGGCTGCCATATTGAGGTAGAAGTGGTGGTGGTAGTGGTGGTGGCGGTCGAATGATGGTTCGAACCATCCACCATGACATCGCTGATGCCGCTTTGGCTCGTCGTGCTGATGGCAGAAGGCGAGGAGCCGTCGCCCGTGGTCTCGGTGGTCGTGTTGTTATTGAATGACATTTGCTGCTCAAAGCCCGACAACCAGTCGAAACCGTCGTCCAGCGCCTGGCCGCTTGAAATGTCCGTCAGGCCGTGCGAGAAAGGAGAGAGCGGGTCCATAGCATTGGAAGGAGGGGAGTCGCTGTAGTGCAGGGCATTGGGGTTGATGGTAGAGCCAGGAGAGTTCACGAAGAAGAGGCCGTCCATGTCGAAGTCAGAGCCAAAGCCCATTGGCGGCGCGGTGCGCAGCCCGCTGGAGAAATCCATCCCATTGATGCTATGAGTCTCCAGTTTGGGCAGACCAAGAGTGTTGCCCCGATGAGCCAGAGCCGACGCCATACCAAAGTTCTCCAGACCATGAGTAGGCAGTCCGAGCAGGCTCGGGTGGCGGCTGTGGGTGGGAGGCATGCGAGATACCGAGGCATTGGCGGCAGCAATCATCTGCATGGCCGTGCCATCCACATGGCTTATGGTGTTTGCCCTGGGCCTCATATTGGCGGCCGAGGCGACGCCAGCAGTAGCAGAGGCAGCACTGGGCCCCGCGATGCTATTCTTCCGGGCGCGGCTGGCGCCTGGGGCCGCCCCACTTGCGCTCTCCCGGCGGTTACGGGGACGAGAGGACGGGGTGGTGGTTTGATGCAGCTTTTGCTGGTGGCGGAGGAGCAGGTCACGACGGGCGAAGCAACGGGCGCATTCGGGGCACTCGAACGGCTTCTCTTTTGTATGCGACCGCTCGTGGCGCTTGAGATGCTCCAAACGAGCGAACGACCGCTGGCAGGTGCTGCAGACATGGGGACGCGGCTTGTCGGTCTTGGGCGGGGGGAAGGGGGCCGGAGCCTTGGTGTTGACCATGATGGTCGAGGCTTCTTGCGGGAAAGGAGAATTGTCAGCAGCGATGTCGCCAGCGCACAGAGTAGAGGCAGAGAGTATTGGAAGACCGAGTTATAAATGGTCAGGCAATGCAATAGGGGTTCCATGTGTTGCGTTGTATGTATGTGCGTGTATAGATAGAGGATTGGATTGATTGCGAATCCATCCATCGCATCCACGGATGGTGGGGTGTTGCTTGGTGGGAAAGGGGAAGGGGTTAGGGGAGCAGGGAGCAGGGAGCAGGGAGCAGGGAGCAGGGAACAGGACATACCAGCTTCATCGCCCGTGGCCGCAGTCCCGCCCGCGGCCGGCGAAGAGGACGATGACGAAGAATTGGACATGGCAGCGGCCTCGAGCTTGATGCCAGCGTCACTCGACACAGTCATGGTCCTTGGGGCGGGATTCTGTGCGAGGTTGGAGCAGACTGGCAGTGTGGTTTGTGGTGTGTGTGGTTTGTGGTTTGTGTGGTGAGACGGTGGACGGCGGAGAACAACTTGGCTGAGCAACCGGCGAATTGCACTTCCTGGAGAGCAGAACGGGAGCTAGGATGCGAGACAGAGAGAGGGAAAGAAACAGAGAGAAGGCTGAGGCTGGGTCCTCCGTAGCCGGGGTGGTGGGGAGCTGTCCTGCGTGCTGCGGCGGGTGGGAGGTTGTGAGGTGCAGGCACACAGAAGGCAGCGATGGCGGCAGCAGCAGCAAACTGAAGCAAGCAGCAGATGAATGGCGGGCGGCAGTTAGCGAGCAGCAACACCCGGAACAGCAGAGCGGTGGGAAGAGTTGATGGAGGCCTGGACGGAAGCTCTGGAGCGAGACACGAACAGGAACAAGGAGCAGCTCGCCAGCAACGTCTACCGCAGCATGCTCTTCCTTGCTCAATTGGTATGCGAACTCCTTGCGTGCTGCAGGATTGTGCAATTGCGATTGTGCGCCCCTTCGTTTGCAGCAGAGGAAGCAGAGGAAGAGAGGGTCGCGTCAGATGCAGAGAAACTGGAAAGGCAGAGAGAGCCAAAAGGCCACCCAGCTGGACGGATTGGAAGGGTTGGATGGATTGAGTGGACTGCTTGGATGGACGCAGGAGGTCAGCATGAATGAACGAAAACCTAAGCAGCAAGAAACCTAAGGGCCCGGGCCTGACCGGCAGCGAAGCGTGGAAGCGAACCACGCAAGGCCCTGCACTGCAAGGCATCGAAGGGAAGGGCAGCAGGGCACAACGAGAAACGCCGCGCCTGGGCCCCTGAGCCAGATCCCCTAGGTTCCATGCTTGGCTTGGTTGCCCAAATCGGTGGGATGCTTCGCATGGCGAAATTGGGGCGCATGTTCGAGAGCTGATGCAGGCAAATTCACGCTGGTCAAAGTGGCGCTAGCTGGTCATTCGCACAGTATCAAGCTATGAATGTTAACTGTGTGGAGCTGCCGAGACTACGACACCGCATGCCCGCCCACCCTGGCCTGCCCTAAGCCCCTCGCCGGGCTAACCCACCTAGGTAGCCACGCCATACCCAAACCAAGCAAAGAAGCCGGCAGGGAGTCTCGTGGTACCGCACATATAGGTACAACAGTGTAGGTACTTTGATCCGAAAGGGCAAATCGCAATCCAACCAAGAAAGCCCAACCGCCACCAGCCGCCAGCTCCCCCGTCCTCCGTGCGATCCTCGGTAATCTGATGTCAAGAGCATGTACATACACTACTAATTACATGCCCGCTGCATCTGCAAGTGCTATGCACTACCTGACTGAGTTAAGTGGTCAGTAAATGTAGATACCTGGAATGGTTAAGTGGAAAGGGGACTGCAACAGCAGTGTATCATCCATCCTATCCAGCCTGGAGCAAGGTGTCAGTTCATCAGATCGCGGATACTTTCTATACTTATTCAGCCGTCCCGGCTTGGCATCCACAGCTCCCATGAGTCAGAACTTCTACCGACCAGCTGTCGTCCTTTGTCATAGAACCAGGCATTACTTGGCCCCTCAAGATAGATCAAGGATGGGTGTACCAACTGCTAATTACAGTGCTTCGCAGACATATCGCTGTAAAAGGACATACTAGGTATCCTTACCAGTCAGTACGTGTGTTGGTCCAACACTATCTGAGACTGCACTATGTATACGCAGTACCTAGCGGAATCCTCTGGGGATTCTACCAGCGTGGAAAGCCAAGCAATTGGAACTCCTACAAGCGTCCCTGCTTATCCTGATCTCTCATGCATCTGCTTCGCAATATAGCAAGGGTCTATCTACAAGTACAGGCAAGCATACCAACGATAACAGCTGCTTGTTATTGAGCGCCGACTCGGCTCAAAAGGTGAGCAAGATGCCAACTCCGAGTTAGATAGTCGTCATCGGTATATTACCCAGCTCTTATGGCCCAGTGGCCATGCAACTCGCGGCTGTCGCATGGCGTAGGAACAGAGAGACCAATTGTTGCCTGCCGGGTCTGTTACCCCTTTACGCGGCCCTGCAGATTTGCGTTCAATAAAAGCGTGTATCTATATCGTTGAGCCATCAAGATGCATCAACTGAGTCAACCCTTGACAGTATTTGAGCAGGTGAGACGATAGATTGATTGGGCAGCGGTGCAAGCAACCCTCAGGAATCACGCTTCTTCTCACGTACCTGTCCCCTTAACCGCGGTAACAAACGTCTGCTGCGCTGGAGGTTATGTAACAAGGTCTGTTTGACAAACCTCAAAGGATGAAACAACGAGAAGGCAGTCAGTAATAAAAATGTCAGTAGTTATAACAGTAATCCTTCTGCACCGCCCCACCACATATGCATCAGACAATTACGGTTACGATAGGAGTTGATATTATATCTGATATCACTCTATATCAACTTGTTGAAGCAGTTAGTGACGAGAAAACAGACTGCTTGGGTCGCTGATGAACGCCCACGGCTTGCGCGGAATGCTGCGGCATCAACAAAGCGCTGAGGATATCCCTGCTTTGATGTTACAGTATGTTTGTGGAATTGAAACTATGTGGAGCTCGAATCTGCTTTCATGACTCCCGCCCATAATAACCCGTACAATACAGTAAATTACTTACGGACTACACTTGCCATTAGTGCTTCAAACTTCTGAACACCAGACTGGTGAATCTTTAATTGCGATGTTGCATGAACCTAGTAAACTACCCTTTAATGCTCTCCTGCTGTGCGATATAAGTCAATGTAACAGAGATCTTTGAACATATGTCCCACGAATTTTCTACATTTCAGGTATAAATGCTACAAATCTATGTCATGGAAACCGTTAAACTCCCAATACCAGTAAAACTTAATAATAATAACGATAGTAAGAAACATTGTAATTATCAAGAGTGGAAGCAACATCTTTCTGCTCTCCGATCACTAGATTTTGGTGTCATTTTTCCTCTAATATCGCTCTGCTGTGCTATCGGGAACGGAGAGGCTTGCTGGGAGGAGCCCAAGCTTTGTCTCTTGTTCGAGGCCTTACTGCCCGATCTGAACTCGGGAACTCAACACGGGATATGTGGACCACCATAGCTGTTGAAGCCTGCTCTTCCACCAGGATGCAATGTTGCCGCTAACAAATAAGGCAGGTCAGTGGACCACCATCAAACCCCCATGAATAGTTCGCTAATCATGAAACCACGCTCAAGTAGATCGCTAGGGCTAGCGAAGTTGAAGAACATTAAAAGATACCATTGCCTAAGACTGTCAGCCATAACTACTCGCACCTGTGACAACGACTATGATAACATGAATGTCACATAGGTAAAATACCACAGCTCGTGAATCTTCGCTTCAACGTCTGCTTGACACACATATGTCTTGTCCGGAAGAATCGACCCTTATATAAATTGAGAATTCAAGATGTCTTACATAGATCTCTGGGGAAACAGTTGACTCGGTAGGTAGATAACGGAAGCGAAACTGCATCCGGTAACGTACAGGAACAGTCCAAGGATACATTAAACCTCCCACGGAGCGACCATCGGAGGTTTGAAATCAGGGTTACGTTTTGCACCGCTGAAACGTGAAAGTGGGCTGTACGTAATCATCCACCGCACGGAAGGAGACAAGCAGAGGTACCAATTGACTTCAATCTTGGTTGCTGGTGCAAAAGCAACAGAAGATATTCTACTCAAGCGAGTCACTTTCTACCTTTACCTACCTATCGCAACTTGTCCAATTACACTGCCGGTCATTTAAGGGTTTTTGTTCAAGATACAAACGCCAACTCTTAAAGAATTGTTGATCTGATCCAGGTTTCAACCCCTTACCCCGCCATCGTGGAGCTTGATGATAAGATAACAGAATGCTTCTTGGTGGGGTCATCAGCGTGCGTACGTGCTTCACTGCAAAACATTACGAGCGGAATCCCTTTCACAGTGCCAGGATGTTCAGCCCACTGTTGCATCACCGATGTAGCGTCAACGATTCTCCTTGCAACGTTGGAGGTTAGCTAAACATAGACCAAAAGCTGCCTTAGCTACGGCAGGACCAGGGACCAGGAAAGCCAACGCTCCCCTCGCTGACAAGTGATGGTTATTGAACCATGCCGATTTTAATCTTTGGTTTCCAATATACCAACTTCCACCGTTAAGGCAGTCGAATCATTTCAGTAAGTAGTTGATCGAAAATTACAGCGTCATGCATGACTTCTGTATACTGAGCTGGCTCAGATCCAGGAAGAGCGCAGGGTGAGGGAAATTGAGTGATAACTATGGGCGGCAACTCTGAAACACAACACAACTACACTAGTACCTGGGTGAGAATGAAAAGACGCTTGCTATAACTAGTCTATTGTTGTTGCTGAACACATGTGTGATCATAGGGAATCCCCTCTTCTATTGTCAACTCGAGTTTGTCACCCGGTCGTCGTTGTCCAATCCAGACCTGGTCTACACCACTGGGTGGAATGCACGAGATCAAGACCAAAGCTTAACTTAAAGTGACTACCTTTCGAATCGCTACACCATCTACTTAGTTGCCCCCATGATATCTTGCAAGATAGCTAAGACAGAGATATGAAGCGATGTCGCTACCAACACCCTTCAAGCTCCAGGAGATTTAGTACAGGCTGCCTGTACGGATTGCCTGGCGGCCTGCCCAATCTAAGAATCAAACAAATCAATGACTTCTGAGCCATCAGCATGTCACAAGTGTTGTCACACAGATTCAAGTAAACACTACTTCTTATGGCTCTTCGGACAGTGTTAGTACGGTGATAAAAGCAAGAGCTACATACATACATACATATACATACATACATATACCTGTAACAGGAGATCAAAGGCCAGACGCCGATTGGATCGTCTACATGAATGGGACGTTCCGATTATCATAAGTGCAAAAGGAATGAATACCATAATGTATGGAGCTCGTCACCTTACTCCGCATCGACTGATTCGCCGGTTACCAACAAATGTGCTTTGACAGGTATACGGGTGACTATAGAGGGATGAGAAGGGTAGATTGCACGAGAGATATCAGAAAAAATAGATAAGCATCTGATCCGATAATGTAAAAGTAATGCTCTGCCAAGCTTATACCTCTAACCTGTGATTATAGCACATGCGGGCACCTATCACACCTTGTTCGAAAACCGGTGAGAACAAAGATCTATGCTGCCCCAGGAGGGCGTGTGAAACTTATTTTGTAGTTTGTACGAAAAAAGAGTAGATGGGGGATCCTGCTTGTCTGCAAAATATGTTGGACGCTATAGGGGGCCAACCTAAACAATACCCTCAGGTAATGATACGCCAGTCCCCTTCCCATTTTCCTCTCGAACTAGCATAATTGGGTTTCAACACACGATGTCATATCCAGTTGCATGGTAAATTCAACGCTGATAACGATTGCTGGTGATCTGGCAAATGGGATTGGAATGATGGGCAAGGACATACATATCTCCCGTCCTCCATATAGAACGAAGAATTTTGAATCGCTAAGAACTTAAGGGGATGGTGTATTTAAGTCAGCATATTCTACGATCACAATAAGCCCGCCAACCCTTACAAGCGAGTGGACTGAGTTTCCTCGCAAGTGTCGCGACCAACAATAACTCTATCTGGGAGAGTGGCTTCCGTGAAACTCACTGGTCGGAATAGAAGGGAGTTGTGACCCATCAAACTCGGATATCCGCCCCCAACAACTGAACATTGGAAAAGTGTTCCTCAACACCCAAGGATGTTGACTCTCAACAGTCTGTCCTGTTGAGGAAGAAGGAAGGGAAGCCACAAGAGTGCATGAGATGTATATCAATTCCAAGCAGGGCCATCTGGCCCAAGAAACTCTCCAGTCAGCCATACAAACAGTTGCTTACCAACTGGTGATCACAACGGCCACTTTAATTGTGTGAGAACTCCTATCTCTCAGTCCATCAGCCTGGCAACCATCGAACCCGTCTCAGGAGGTCTGTCTGGATCATTACACGAAGTCTTTCACCATCGTTACTACATAGCATTAGATGGATAAGGAAGAAAGAAATCACCGCAATTTAGCATTGATTAATAGCAAGTTTGCAGAATAGCCACCTGTTGTATTAAGACGCAATGAACCTAAGTACTTAACGGTTCCATTATATGATTCTAATGCAAACAGCCAAGGAAGGGGTATCTTACTTTTACGTTAACTGGACGGTTCAGGCGTTGAAGATACAATGGTAACTAGGACATTCAATCCAACCCTAGTAGAAAGAAGAATAACAATACCCAACCATTCTATTTCCCTGTCCTGTAGCAGTAGGCCATTATGGCAGCTAACTCAGCCTTACAAAGACCCCCAACGCAACGTACTTAGTCTTGATCCGTCGCAAAAGCGGGAACAAATGCCCTTATATCACCCGATCTCGGCACTTAGGCAATCAAGGTGGCTCGCCCTCAATGCAACATTATCTTTTCCCATGAGTGGTAGACTTTTTGTCATCGGGTCCTTCGGATCATTCCAATTGCTTTAATCTAAACCTCAATATTGGAGCAACTAGGTATCATCCTAACGTCATTGTGATTAATGAACAACTAAAAGCCTTTCACTATCTACTCTTAGCAGTTAGGGGGAAAAAGGACCACCCAACCCTGCCCTAGTTCATCCAGTTATCTAGCACTACTAATGTGTCTGACTCTAGTGTCTTACGTATCCTTCGGCGATGCCTCAGACGTGACCAGCAGCGGGGCTACATCAATGAAAGTCAACCAAGAAGTTCTGAAGGCGGCTGTAAGTTGGTGGAGAACCAAGTGATGTATAATATCGATGAATACCATGCTCTAGGTTGCGTGGTTGTTGAGTGATAAGTCTCCGTATTAACGGCTGTGCCAAAACGGATCGTCTGCACGTCACCCATGCAGATGAGAATTGTTGCAATTCCAAAATAGGGTCTAACCATACATCGAACTGGTTGCTCATTTGGTAGGCCACAGTAGCACTCGCGTAGAGTTCGACCGAAATCTGGTTTAAGCAGCTGATGTTTGGATCCATGGAAACATAGAGGGGATCTCGGATACCTTCCTGGTCTCTTCCATGGTAGCGAACGACAATATTTGCTTTCACCATCGAACTGTAACGATTTTCTTCAAGCAAGGCACATGCTGGTGAGAGGTGAGTCGCATACTCTTACGTTTTGTCCCGCTCGGGAACACCTCAAAAAGCAGAAATCGGCGGTCGTGGCGTACCTCCTAGGGCCCAATATGAGCTGACTAGAGAGACATACCACGAAGCCCTTTTGATAGAATACACAGATAGTTGCCATTGTGTAAGTTCCTCAGATCAATTCTTCCACAGTAGCGAGACTCTGATTTCTGTGATGTTCATGCTGGTTCTGAGATTCTCCCTCTCGTGGCGGCATCGATTGTGCATAAAGGAGTCAACTTTTGTATCATCGAGACTGGCAAGACCTTTCAGACTCCATAGGCTGGAGGCACAGGAACACTTCGACGCAATGCCATAGAACTCTCGGAATTATTTTAGCGGAATCCAGACATACTTATTACATTACCCGAGTCCGCTTTAAGTGTTGGTTGGGGAATTTTGTAGTAAGGCATCCTTGGGAGATTACATCCGGGATCAACAACGGTATGGGCTTTATACCTTAAACTACTAAACGGCCAATTTTGTTTCCGGTGGTTTGCTTCATCACTGGTTCCAGAGCACTACGAAGTGTCTCAGATACTCAGCGAGCTACGATTCTGGTATTACCTCCAACAAAGGAACTCTCTTTATTACTATTTTTTGATCATCCTTACCTCTACGATCACTTGTGTTCAGTTCTTGTTCTAAACTCGCTAATTAACAATCTAACTTCTGAGTTCCTTCATGGAATGTGAGGTAGGTATATCTTCAACAACTCATAACCGTCTACTGCGCAGTTGACCAATACCAGCCTAGGCTCCTCCGCTACGGATGCTATATCTAATACTATCATGATAACTAGCTCGGTTCGATAGATATAGTACACACTGTCTACCTTAGGTTTTCCACCCGCACTGGTTAGACGCTTAGCCGTACAAAGTACTCAACGATACCAAATAAAAAGCAGTTATCTACAAGACTTCAAAATTACTCGAGATTGAAACCGGTGTTGGATATACCCTTGTGACACTCCACATCTCAAGGTGTTCGTGGTCATACATGGAAGGTATCCGTACTTCTTTTCTAGACACAAAGAAGCCCTACATGTGCTTAAGAGTGCACGGTGATGGGGAACGCATGGAATATACGGAAAATGTAAAGCCTCCGTCCATTCAACCTCCACTTCGAACCTTTCGGCTCAAACTGCCACAAAAGTGCCACCTGGTGAGGAGAAGCCAAAACTCGGTTCAAAGTCGAACAAAAGAAGCATTAGGCGTGTCTGTAGGTTGTGATAAAGACACAGATTTCCTGACCAAGTGGGAAAAGGCGAGAATCGATTGGCCAGGAACCGCGGAGTCTGGCTCTCAGCGATTATGGTTGATCATTAAACAGCCCTGGCATATGCACTAACCTGACAATATCAGAGATTTTGACGATTAACAGGTAGTTGCAAATGTTGCTGGAGCCCTGAGTGGGTTTATGCTCCACAAAGCCCATGCCAGAGTGTCCAGAAATGCCAAGAAGAAGCCAGACATAACTGCGAGGACATCAGCATGCAAGTAGCCGCTTGGATCAATGATACATTGTACATTATACAGTCTACCGTGCTCCTAACCCACAGAAACTCGCAGGCGTTGTTCAACGCTCCTGTCACTCAGATTGGGAAACGACTAATGTTTGACCAAAAGCAAAAATCCAACATCAACAAGTACGGCTAGGAACCAAGATAGGGGGAAGACATCAAAAAACCCGGTGCGTTTAAATTGTCCCCCGTACCAATGGAGACAGGGCTTATGACGTGAACCTTCGGACTTGGCTGACGGGGATATGGGTCGCGCTGGGACTGTGGTTGGTGGTTTTTGTGGTGAACTTGGCCTAGGTTTTGCGTCGTCGTCGTCGTCGTCGTCGTCGTTGTTGTTGTTGTTGTTGTTGTTGTTGTTGTTGTTGTTGTTGTTGTTGTTCGTCTGAGCGGGTTTCACGGGATGATTACTATCGGAAACTGGCCGATACCAGTTCTCAGGAGGGTCGCCCAGACATTCCCTAACTGTCACGGCCTTGTATCCGCTTTGTTTTATCTTGTCGAGCATGAAGGGCACCAGCGCCGTAGCCGTCTGCTCCAAGACATCGTGACAGAGAACGATGAAGGACTGCTTTGATGGAGGCCCCGAGTCCAGCGCGCTTGAGAAAACAGCCTTGGATGCCTCGATGGCCCCGGGGGCGTTGTACAAGTAATCCTTGGTATCGAGATCGTAGTTAACCACGCGGTAACCCATGCTCTCCATTTGATTGATACACTCATCCCAACAGTAGCCATACGGGGGCCGAAGATAGGTTGGCGTCTTGCCGATGGCATTTCCAACCACCTGCTCGAGCTGCCTGATCTGATTTTGTCGTGTAGGCAAGTCGATCTCCATGAGGTTGGCATGGGACCATGTATGCGATCCGACTTGGTGACCAGATTCTGCCATCCGCTTCAGGATGCCAATCCACTCTTGTGAAGGATCATCAAGTCGCGAAAAGTTCTCGCCATTGATGAAGAAAGTTGCCTTCGCTTTGTACTTGTCCAAGTAGTTTAAGATCAGGGATGTAAATTTGTATGGCCCATCGTCGAAAGTCAGGGCCACAAGACCTGGGACAGTGCAATGCTCGTACATGAAGCCACGCCGAACGACATCTCGTGACGAGGTATTGGAAAAGTTGGCAGGCGACAAGGAGATGGTTCGACGAACAAGCAGTGACCCAAGCAGAAGGACACGGAGGCGGCCCGGGGTCATGGTGCTTTGGCGTTCCAGGTGAATGGCCGACTGTAAAAATGACTCAACTTATACAAGAACCGAGCACTGCAAAGGTAATGGCAATGTCTAAAGACATATAGTGTGCTCAGATAACTTAAGGGCAGAATGGGCATCGGTGATGCTAAAAACGGGCTAGAGACATCTGGGTCTAAGAACTCTGTAGACATTCTCTTGTCTCAAGAAGGAACCCCTGTGGACAGATGCGACTTGTTCATCCTTGGCACATCTCTCAGGAAGGATCAACTCAAAAGCCTTATCTCCATGTTGACTGGACAGCAAGTGAGGTGTGAGTGTGAGAAAGGCCTTGCCCATGTGGGATGAAAATGGCATTGAGAACCCCGGAACACTGCTGCATGATACAAATATGGCAGGAGGGACCTATCAACAGTGGCAGCCACGGTTTAGCTCCAGGTAGCTCTGAACTGGTTAAACAGGTCTTAAGGACTCGGATTACAATGAGATTACCTAATCTGCCTAGCGGGATGTCACAGGCACCAGTACATGGCGATGAGACAGAAAAACGCGCAGGTCGGCATGATAGAACAGAACTGATAACCACCATTACCATGGCCTTTGTGTCACGGAACGCCCCGAACCTGTTTTCGTTTAGTATGTGGATAACATTGGAGGGAGTAGCATCAAGCTGTGCCATGAATCATTTGATGCTATAACCTCTTTGCCAAAGGAATGTACCAGTTGCAGCAACGCTGAGAACTGCCCATTGGAGTTTCAGCTCAATAACGGACCATATCCACAAACAACCAATGGGGGGAGCTTGCTTCATCACAGCCATGTATCCATACATATTAGTTATGTGAATCAAGTAGCAGCCTGCGCAGACGCTTGTGAAAAAGAATATAGCTTGGCGAAGGGGTTCTTGGAGTCGTCGAGGTAGGCCAGGGACAAAAGAGGTGCTCGATGGATGGGGGTGAAGAACGTAGACAAGCACGCCGAAGACTGAAAGGAGGGAAAACACAATTAGCCAGGGGGGTCGTGAGGATTTAGGAAAAAACTCAGGAACTCACCTAGTAGAGCCTGAGCCGCTCTGATGCAAACGGTGGACCAGACAATCCTGTTAATGGAATACTGGTGATGAACCAGGACGTCTAGGGTAAAGTGCAGCATGGACAAGCTTAGGGACCAGAGCAGCGTGTCCATCACACGTTCGACACCAGGAGGAAGTTTGAGGTCATTATCTTCAACGTTTTCTTTCTCTTTCGCTAGCGCGTCTTCTCTCTGCTTTGCCTTATCCCAAAGGCCCCTCTCCTCGGCGATTTGCAAAAGCGTCTTGCCTGTCGGCCCCGATCTGTCAGGTTGCTTGAGCTCGATTTTGATCGAGCCATCCTCCTTGCGCTTTCTGGCCATGATGACGGTTGTGGACTTCGTGGGTTTGTGGGAGCTATCGGGTTGAACTCACAGAAACTGTGAACAGGTATAGGAAGAAGAGATGAGATTTTTTTAGTAAGAATAGCCTTTGTGTATGCTCTGAACTGTAGACAAACAGTTACTATGACAGAATATTGGGAGGAATGGGGGCTGCAGTTGCTGGGTCAATATGTAAATAAGTTAGGGTCTAGAGCCCCACCGATCCTGCCAGGGCTGACGTCACCGGATAGTACCATCAAGTTAGCACAGAAAGAGCTCAAGTAGATAATCGGGCGGACAGAAGTCAAAGTAATCCAAGAATAGCAGTGAAAGATGGCAATGTGTATTTAATCCCAATACTACAAATTTTGAGCAGGTAGCACGAGTTTAGCTTGCTCAAGTATGAGTCTTCCGGCGAGCAATATACTACTCTCTACTTGTGCGCATGCGTGCATTGATATCCCTGTCAAGAGCCTGTGTGACACTCCGCTTAATAATACACGGCAGTGCACCCATCAGGAGTGCTGTTGTGTAACGTCCCCACCCCCGATGTCATGTGACAACTTTGCATCTTGCGACTTCGAGTGCCGTAGAGCAGGGTCACATCGAATGTCTTTCAACTTCCCTTTCTGTGAACCGATCGTTTGAAAGCCATCGTCTGGCTGATCCATCTTCGCTCACTCTCACCAAACAAACAGGCTACTACTCAGGCTCTTTACTCTTTGCTTATTTGCTCTATTTAGCAAACAAACCTGACAAACAGGACAAAGTCTCACTGCTTTGGCTGTGCCACCTTCACTTCTGGCTGCATCCACAGCTTATCACAGCTCCATACTGTGCTTGAAGCTCGGTGACAACGTCATCACACTTTGTATCTTTGCATCAAGGCCATATATTGGTACAAGACGCCTTCCGTGACAAGGTGGGGGCCTTGGGTCCTGCCAGCTCTTCAGCTCCTCAGGAGTTGGCCAATTAATCAGCCAAACTTGCTAAATATCGCGGCCAGATCAGCGTGTATCCATTGTCTTGAGGGCCTGCATGCTCAAAGATACTAATCCTCCCACAAGCCTGTGCTCTAACTTCAAACAAACCCACAAATGGCTTGGCTGACCACTGCCGGAGTGCTGGCGGTTGTGATACCCTCTCTATATATTTACACTTCGTTGGTGGTGTCAGCGCGGTTTCCCATGCTTCGCAACAAGCGCATCTGCTTGCTGATTGCGCACCCAGACGATGAAGCCATGTTCTTTTCGCCCACAGTTCAAGCATTGGCACATCCCGATACGGGGAATCATGTCAAAATATTGTGTCTAAGCAGTGGTAAGGATTCTCTTTCCTTTCTTGTCTCAAGGAATACAGCTTTCATCCCTAACACATTCCATAGGCAACGCAGAAGGGTTAGGCGAAACACGCAAGAAAGAACTTGCAAAATCCGGAGTTATTCTCGGTCTGCGGAAACCTGAGGATGTGCTGGTGATCGATCGCCCCGATCAATTTCCTGATAGTATGACAAAAACTTGGGATAGCCAGCAGATCGCCGCACTCCTAAGAACAGCCTTTGTTCCTGAGCAGCCACGCTCTCACAGTCTGTCCGATAGCAGCGCTTCAGTTGTCAGTGTTGATGTCCTCATTACCTTTGACGCCGGTGGTGTTTCGTCTCATCCGAACCACATTTCGCTATATCATGGTGCGAGGGCATTCGTCGACTCCCTGATTTCTGGCAAACCTGGCTGGTCTCCGCCGGTTGATCTATACACCCTGACAACCATTTCGCTCCTGCGAAAATATGCTGCCTTCTTAGACCTTCCGGCTACCCTGCTCAGCTGGGCACTTAGTGCAGAAAAAAAGGACAAGGAACATCCAGGAAGGCTAGTGTTCTTGAATGGCTTAGCAGGGCATGGTGGGGTGATGACCGCATGGAAAGCCATGACTTCAGCCCACAAGAGTCAAATGGTATGGTTTAGGTATGGCTGGATCACGCTGAGCCGGTATATGTACATCAATGACTTGAGATTAGTCAAGAGCCGGGGACAATGACCCTTCGCTGCTCATGAAAGCCATAGAATATTAAATTGGCAAGGGACTGCAATGTTTTGTTGATTTTGAGTTTCCGAGATGACACTGATGATTGTCTGTTCGCAATCACCAACACATAGTTTCAGTGAAACTCTCGTTGGACAAGAACCCATGACGGCTTTTCAGCCGTCAAGAACCCATGCAGACTCAAATGCGGCGCCGGCCCAAGCCGTGTTTCTTCAATTGTTTTGACCTTGAGCTTCTTTTTCTTCCCTCCGATCCTCACATCTCCCGTCGTTGCAGGTCTCTGCACGAATTTCATTTTGGCCCATTCTAGCCTCCTTATCGGCTGTGCATAGTGCAGCTCTATTATCCCAGTTTTGATAGGGTATTTGATATTGGCAGGTAGCAAATCTCGAAATGCTTCAATGAACTGTGGCACGCCTCGCACCGTTGCATGCTCTGCTGTTCGTCCACGACACACTACTTTGAGCAAATCCCGACATATTTTTTGCATGTGGTAGAGCGCTGCATGCTTGCGTGCCCGCGCACGGCGCCAGGTTAGTTGAGTCTTGGCTACGTCAATACCCAACGCCATGCTGACCGCATGCTTGCTGAATGAAAGCTCAAGCTTCGTCAGGATGTGGCGGTACATAGGCTCCAATTCAAGCATGATGTCAAGAGCTTCGGCAGCACGTCCCTGACCAACCAGACTTTTGGCTAGCAGTTGGTATTGATAGAGGCCGGGACGAACATTGTATGGGTCAGCCGTCATGGTGTTCCAAACCATCTGGACGGAATTTGGGTGAATAGATTTGGAATAGCGGAACTGGCGGCCAACAATCTTCCACTCCCTCGCCACGGGCTTGGTATTGAGAATATATGCCCATTCCAGCAAGGCGAACCAGATCTTTTTCGTAATCGGAATGTTGTAGCATCGCGAGACAACATCCACCACCTGCAAAGCGGTTGCGAATTCGGAGTTGAGACAATAGCTGGTCACTATTGCTTCCAACAGCCGTGTTGTTGGTCGCAAAGGAGAATCTGGAGCATAAGCAATTGCTTGCCCAGTTACCTGGGCTTGACAGCCTGAGCGCCTGCGGACATCAACTCCCCAATACCGCTTTAGAATCAGCTGCTGGATGCTTTGGAGCGATCCGCTACGCGCCCAGGCAACCATAAGGGCACAGAGCACGCGCTCCTCTACGATATAACACTTCCTCACTGCGTGCTTGTACAAACGGAAAGGAGGAATGTGCTTTCTCAGTATCCTAGCCAGAGGCTCTGCATGATCGAGCGAGTTGCGGTTATGGCCGAAATAGTGGCGCTGGCGCTTGATTCTATTATGCCCAAGGATCCTTAGATACTGGCGTTGCTTTGTGCCCAGGATCCACAGCTTCTGCATATGTAAATTGATGGGTCGCACGAGAAATCGGGCAAGGTCATGTTGCGTATACAGCGGGTCCGTCAGAAAACGAGCTCTAATGAGCTCATAGATCCCATTTGGGTCTATATCTCGGTAACCAGTAGCGCTCATCATCGCCCAGATGGTCTGCATGGCTTTCAAGTCGCAGGCAGCTCCAGCACATCGTAATAAGGTCACGTAGTCGGAAAGAACTAGATGCTTGCCTGATTCTAGTCTCATCTGGCAAGCAGCCAGGGCCTGGGAAAGCAGGTGAACGTAACGTTTCCTCACGCCCCAAACGTCAATTTCATTCCCAAGGGGAGTACGCTGCCACATCCCGGGCTCCACATTGATGTCATCGAGGGGGTCCAATTCCTTACTGAAAGACTCTATAGGGTCGAGAGATCGCAGAAGTTCCGAGAAAGAGGTATCTGGAAGCTGTACAAGGGCATCCATTGACAGCTTCTCGAGGTCTTCGGCTTTGCGGCTGGCCCGGACAATGTCGGTCAGGTAAAGAAGCCTTCTCACAGGATGCTTCAAAGCCTCTGTTAATTGCAGACCATGCTTAGCGTGTCGTTGAGCAAGGTGTGGACCGGTATCTAGACTGTTGTAGGAGGAGGGCGGTATCAGGTTGTCGTTTGTTGATAACTGTTGGGAGTCGGCGAAGGAAAGCCCCGGGACAAAACCTAACGACCTGGCTCCTGCTATTGTTTTCGATAAAGATCGTAGCAGTTCCAATTCATCTGAACCTAGAAGCCGAATGGAACTGCCTCCTCCGCGGAAACCCAAACTTTCTCCTAATTGTTCGAAATCAGGTTCTTTCTTGTAAGGACTTCTGTCGAGAGCCTGCTGGATAGATCGACTCTGTCTGAATTGAATCAGAGACATCACGTAACGCCTTCGTAACAGCGCAGTGGCGCTACAGGACGAGAAGAAAGCTGAGGCCATCGCTGAAACTAAGGAACCAGATATTAATCATTTCTGCCGCTTTAAATCTTCTCTGGAAGAGACATTTAATCTCACTGCTCACCTTCCTGTTCTACAGTCAAACTCAGTTGTCTGCATGTGCTGTGTGAATGTTAGCGATTCTGGGACTAGTGACTTGTCTCCGCTGGGTGGGGTTGGGGATCATTGCTTCTCGAATGGGAGGGCAGGTCGATCTGGGCGTCGCAGAACTCATCCTCTTGTGATCGTTGCGGCTGTTGGCTGCTTGGAAGGCGGTGAAGAATGGCAGAACCTTGACGTAGGAGGGAGCAAGAGCAGCATTAGGGTCTGTGCTCGTGCTCGCAGAGCATAGACACCAAGACCTGCGCTTCATTACAGAACGGCTAATCTTACAAACCAACCCATAGCAACAACTCAGAGAGACGGATCATTTCACTACGAGAATTTTCCGTACAGTCGGTTGCCTCAACACAATGGCCGAAGTCAGGGATGATGGAGCTGGGGTTTCTGAACCCCTTGATTTGGTTCGCTTGCTCCTGGATGAGGTGGTTTGTGTGAAGCTCAGAGGGGATCGAGAGCTCAAAGGCCGCCTTCATGTAAGCCCGCAGCCCCACCTTCCTCCATTCGGTTTACTGACTCTTTTCCCCCAGGCATATGACAGCCATTGCAACCTAGTGCTTGGGGATGTAGAGGAGACAATCTATGTGGTCGATGATGAAGATGAGAATGAAGTGAAGGTAAATGGCAGGTCTGACTTCCTTGAACACCCCAAGTACTGACACACCCTAAGACGATCAGCAGGAAATCCGAGATGCTCTTTGTGAGAGGTATGCCTTACAAAGATTTGGATGATACCGCCATAATCCAACTGACACCCTCCAGGCGATAGCGTTGTTCTCATCTCACCTCATACTCGGTCATACTGATCTCTTTGCAGGCTGGTTGGGGCCCTTTTTGCGATATCACATCTGCCGTCAGAGGTGTGCCAATGGTGGAGAGTGTTTTGCTCCTGCCACAATTAAACACTTCACTGGGCTCTGCACCAGAACATGCATCTCAAGCACTAATTGAGGATGAATAATAGAGGCTATTCATAGTACCATAACTCCTACTAACACGCATTCTTCTATCCTCGAGCGGCAACTTAATACAAATATGAGCAAAATGTATGGACTCGTACAATCAAGTCCCCATCATCATCCTAAAACTCACACTTTCACCCATTCAATCTGTCTTCACCTTCCGCCTGAAATTCTTCAACGGATTGCTCGAACGCCAAACATGCCGAGAAAAAAAACGGAGAAGAAACAAGAACTACTTGTCCCTATCCGATAAACCAGCTCCAACGTCATCGCTTAACGTTTCAATATGTCCCCGTGACCGAGTCCTTTTTCTCTCCGTGATTGCCACATTCAATTTCTCCACCTCCAGCACCGGTCTCGGGCTGCTTGGGCATCAGTGGTTTCGAGGGGTCATAACCAACACTTTTTACAATGCCTAGACCTTTAGTTCTCCCCTCCCTGAACAACAAACGGTCACCGGGCTGCAAATATTCGGGTCGTTGTATAAACCGAAATGCTACAGTTGCCCTGTCTCCTGTCCGTATGAAGGGGCGATCAACATCGATGATTGCACATGTTTGGGACACCGGCCCAACATGCAACATGGCTTGGTACTTCGTTTTGATTGTTGTCGCATGAGACAAGATGAGTACTATCAATGGTCAGTATGCTCGTCTTATGTCGAACAGGATACATGGCAAGATACTACCTTCAGCAACAAATTCCCGGTACACCTTGGGTGGGGGTCCGTCCGACTTGGGCAAGACCACCATCCCTTTGCGAACATCCTTCCTTCGGACTCTCCTCAGGGCAAATGAAGCAGACTGGCCGGCAGACGCAGCAGGAACCCCTATTCTCTTCCTCTCAATGGAACGGATCGAGGTTTGGATGAAACGACCTAGGGAATCTGGTCCAATCTGAACCTCATCACCTGCATGGATTACACCGGACTTGACGATACCACTGACCACCGTGCCCACATGAGGGACACTGAAAGTATCGTTGACGTGAAACTCAAACGGAGCATCGGTATCGTAGCGTCCGTGGTGCGGAAGGATGTTAAAGAATGTGCGAACTAGATCCAGGTTCTCCCCGGTGACATTTGACACCTGGAAGATAGGGCATATCCGTTGACTAACAAATTGCGTTGCTGTATTAATGCAATCCTCGTGATTCTTGATGAAAACAGGGATTTTTCTGGCGCCGGGACTCTTCAAGATGCGTGTGATTTGCGTGATGGTTTGCTCCAGAATCTGCGGAGGGCAGATATCAATCTTGGTGATGACCACCATCACTGGCACGTTTAAAGCGAGGGCGATCCCCAAATGTTCCTTGCTCATGCCGATTAGACCGTTATTGGCTGCCACCATTAACAAACAGTAGTTCGGACTGCTGGACAACATGCCAAACACCGTGGTGCGAAGGTAGCGTTCGTGCCCGGCCAAGTCAGTAAAAGTGATCACTTTGGCACTGCGCTTCCCGATTTCCTCCCACGACAGCTTACGGCCTGGTGTGTCAGACACGATAACCTGGCCAGTGGTGTCAAAGCCCATAATTTCCATGCCGACCGAAGACGTGCGCCCAGTCTCAATTTCGTGCTTGTGCCTGAAGAGGTTTAGCCGCGCCTTTCCCCTCCCATCGTCGAGATCTCCCTTGACGAGAACACCAAGCATGGAACTCTTGCCAGCATCGACATTGCCCACTACAGCTATTCTTGTTTCAATCACCTCCTCGACCTTCGCTGGAACTCTCCGTATCAAAACTTTTCCACTGCAGTCACCGTCCTTCGTCGGTACACCATCCAGCTTACCGCCCACATTCTTGGTTAACAAAAGCTGGGTATCAGCCCGAACCTTTTTGGCAGCTTCGACCAGTCGTTTGTATGCCACATCAAACTCGTCCCGCGTTAATTTCATGCTTTCGCCGTTATTCTCGAATCCAATTTCAAAGACAGTTTCGCCATGTCCTTCCTCGATACGCTCCTTTATAATCTCCGAGAGCTTCTGAAGAGTAACATTGTCAGGGGTGAGTAACAGCTCTCGTAACCTGACCCGCGGAACTGGGTCTGAAAGGTCAAGACTGTTAAGGATGTCGTCCAATTCCTCGTGATGGTCAAAACCGGTTTGCATGTTTTTAGCAGCCGCCTTGGCTGTGTGTTTCGAACCTGGATAGCGCAGAGCCTGTTGCTTTTCGACATACTCAGCAAAGTCGCTTAGAGCGGCTTCTCCTTTCCGCCTTTCATGCGGTAATGGCTTGTTTGTTTTGGTTGTCATGGTCAAGGACTCTTAACGTCAAAGTACAAGGAGGAGCGCGAGGAAGCAAAGATGGGGCAAAGTGTTGAGTGAATGGCGCTTTCACCACACCATATGAGCTCACGGAAGTTCGGGGACAGCTGAGGACACAACGTATACCTTTCAGCCGATAGGCTAAGATAGATCGCTATGTCAAAAAATGCTGTGAAACTTGTAGAATCCAAAATAACTAAGGTACTTTATACATAGCGGAGCTGTTTGATGGTAGCCTGGCTCGCCGGATGAGTCGATGCGGTGGACATCTGTCGAGTCATCAAGTCCTCAGCTCCGGCCTCCAAGCCATCCAGAGAGCGCCACCGATCTTATCGATAAGTCCCACGTGGAGTCCCGATGCACGGGTTGTTTTGGTGCATCGCCCAGACCCCGGCTACCGGTTTCCAGGCCTTGTTAGCAAGACCCACTTCCCCACAAAACCACGGAGATGGATCATGCACGTTTTAGACATCCTCAACCATGCTTTTAACGTAGACCGAACTGCCATACCTTTAAGTTTGCAAGGACAGATCAAGTGTATATAATTCATGGGTACCTAGATATAGCATACGCTGCATACACCGTCAGCACATTTCAGCTTCACATCAGTCAGCAGGAGCCATCAAGGGGGCGTCCAACGTGGCCGACCGAGGCTGTAAAGTGACGCGATCAAAAAGTAGCTTTATAGCTACCTTCAAAGTTTGTTTTCATACCCATGTTCCATACTTCTCATGGGTAGTGTCATCCTCAAGTGGAGACTTAAGTGAAAGGCGAGCTGAGCCACAGCGTTGTTCTCCATTCCCCAAACCTGGAGACCCGGGGTCTTCGCTATCACACCCTATCAGTATCACCCATGCGCAATACACTCCATCAACGACATGATATTACATTCATCAATTATCAACCATGAAACTACCACCAATTGTGTCAACAATGTGAGACTAGTCAGTGGATTGTATTCAGGGGTATCATCTTGCAGCCTAAACGCCATCAAACAATAATGCATAGCCGCGAGGCCAAGCCCCTTGTCTCTTGAATAGGCAGCATCGACAATTCGCTCTGTGCAAATCATTAACTGTCTTTGCTGCTGCTGCTTCCTGCGCCACAGCCAAGACTCACGCAAGCACTTCTAAATGCCCGGGTCCACATGAAAGAGGCTCTTCACCTCACTCCATGGTGGGTTACCCGAGAATGACTGCTGTCTGCACTGCTCCGTGGAGTGCTGCTGTCGCTGCGTTGCTGTGAACGACGATCAGGGGGCTCTACTGTTTCGGCAATATTGTGGACACCCATTGCCATACCTTCACAGTATGCAGGAGGGCTGGGTGGCACATCCTGATAAATTGGAGGCGCTTCGTTGTCCCAGCTGATGCCGATTCCCGCTCTCTCTGTGAGGATGGTACCAAAGTGCATGCGTAAGATCCGACCAACTCCTGTGTGCGTCACTAAAGAGGGCCGGTTGACGGGTGCCCATTCCTGGGAAACCACCATCTCGATCATAAGCTGGTGTGTAACCTCGGTGCCATCTCGGCTCCGCGTGTCGCATGCGTACTTCGCACCTTTGGTTAAGCTGTAATCGAGCTCAAGTTCCACTAGGCTGTCCGTTGCGCTCGTGTAATTGCTCTTCCAACCAGAAAAGAGAGTCTTCTCGCCAATAACCCTGGTTTCAGCTCTGACGACGCCCTTTTTATTATTATGGCCATCATCAGAGCTGTCGGTCGCCCGCGGGCTATGTCTTCCGCATGCCGGCGCCACCGTCTTAATAGTCTCTTCCAGCTTCCACGTAAGCTTCTTGAGCTTCCAGTACTCGATAGTGTTGACCTTGCTATTGTGCTTGGCAATGCCATCAAGGCGAAGTGAAAGAGTGTTGCTGCCAATAGGATGGACCACGTGGGGGTAATGTGCGCTAGCCTTGATGTTGGTGGGAGGAAAGACACGGACCGAGTGGTGTGGCGTTTCCGATGTGGCAAGGCTGCGCTTGACATCCCATACCTTTTCTAGCTTGATCGGTGGAAGTGAAGAGCCTTTGCTCCTGGAATGAACTTCGGCCTTAAACTCATAAGCAATGGAAACCAGCGGTGTGTCCATGCTTGCAGGAAGATGACCTTCCAGGAGAACCGACACAGGGAACGTATGGATGCCTGTGAGTTATTTGCGATTAGCCTTGCATGCTAAAACTACGAGATCGTGACGCCAGCTACCTACCTTTAGTGAGCACCAATGGGTGAGGGAGTAGGTCCCACCTTTTGATCTCAGTGTATTGATTGGCGCATTCGGAGCAATGGCTTCCAAAAGGTTTTTTCTGTACAACATGGAGATTTAGAGTTGCAAAAAACAGATAGACTTCGAGAAAGTCCTCTTTGACGTCCAGATACAGCTGGCCAGAAACCAGTGCACCGCTGCTGGTCTCTGGTTCTCCATACATGACGGCTGGAGGGGACTCGAGCTCCCATGTCAACATTGCTGGCATGCTGACGTGGGACTCTTTATGCGACCGGCCAAAGTGCATGCTTGACAGAGAGATACGGTAGTGGTGATGGTGACCATGATCTTTGTGAGATTCTGACGAAAGGCTGCTTGCTCGGGAGTCGGCCATCTTCAAGCTGGGCGCTGCTGGCGGAGCACGAGTGTCGTCAGGAGTGGCGTTCTCGCTGTCGTCGTCTCCGCCGCCGCTGCCGCCTTCAAAGAACAACAGTGTGGATGTGAGTCGCTCAAGCGGCTTTCGGCTTCTTCGGGACCTGGATGACTTGAACGGCTGAGATGAAGCCGATTTTTGTGTCGGGTGGGGAATCTGGCTATCCAGCGAGGGAGAGGATATCGAGGACCGAAAGAAGTCCGCGACCCGATGTGGCATTTTTTTGTCTGGGCTTTCCACAGCGTTGTCAAAAACTTGGCGGGGAAAGAACTACCTGTTTCGAATGATCGACCACGCCACAATGATGCAAGCAATTCCGCTGCTGGGGGCGCTCCCCAGGTTCCGGGCTCGATCACTGCGCCAGACTTTGGACGAAAACGCTCCCGGACCTTGGGTGTTTCGTTTGAGGTGTTACCACGGACGCAGTCACAGAAACTGCCTGAGAGCTGCTTTCAACCTAAAAGAGAATCGTGGCTTGATGCCGCTGTTGTTTCTCGAAGGACGCGCTTCGGTGCTGACGTATTGGCAATGGATGCAAGGAGTAAATGATATTTGAATTGAGAGGCGTCCTCTTGCGGCCCTTGTTTAGCTGGTGAAGTGCAGGCCAAGTGATGTGTAAGTGACCTCCGATCTGATGGTGCCAGCTCACAGCCAAAGTGTGTAGTTGCAGTCGGTGTAGTGTGTCGGGTGAAAGTAGGCGCCGAGGAGCTCGAATTGCGGGGTTCGGCGCTCGTCGCGTAACACCTAAGATCCGAAGACTCGAACCGCTTTTGATACTTGGAGAACATCGAGAAAGCAGAACGCATCAATGGGAAGAGGCAGTGCCTTGTTAATTATTTCTTTGACATAAAGAACCAAGGGAATGGTTTTCATCATGTAATGGTATGGAGAGGGCACACGGAAAACTTTCTTGACTCCACCAGAATCCAGACTTGATCTGGATCTTGCTTCCCTTGTCCTGGTTCAATCCACCACCCTGGGCCCGCTAGGGCTGTCGTCCAACAGATCGCCTAACGGCCCTTCCAGTCGACGGCGGCGAAGTCTGGATGAAACCTGCAGTAGCGGCTTTGTTCTCGCATGCCCAGCCAACGGCACATCGTCCGCATGACACACCTCCCTACATAGCGTGCTTTGACTATGCTCTCTGGTGGTTTTCCAATCACCCGTGTCCGCGCACCTCAATGGGCCCAGCTACGCATGTATGTAAATACATGGGGACAAATCATAAGTTGCATTGTCGGAGGTATGCAGGCGAACAAATATACAGACACGTAGCAAGTAAACGTGACGAAGAACCAGGTACCTGAATCTTTACAAAGAGGTCCCTATGTCTAACTATCATCAGAAAGACAGCATCATTGCCCAGCATTGGCAAACATACGACTGAGGCGAGCAAGCAAAATGCGGCGAAAAGGCAGCATGTCCATATCGCGTACGTGGTCCAGTGGGCTCACTACAGATAAATTGGAAGACTACCTACTCACTTTACCTACGATCCACATTCTCGAGCCTGCCTTTTTTAGGTCTAGGTGGAGACACAGCACATTGCAAGGATGAAGTGTATTCAGCGTGTTATGTAGGAGTACTATGCAAGGCCATTGAAAAGCGAGCATTTCATCCAACAAGCAGGACGGTAGGGACGTTCTGCTTCCCTGAGAGGAGTATTGGCCACGGTACTAAAGCGGGGAGCAGAGGAGCAAAGAAAGGCGCCAGCCCAGAACATTCTGCTGGGTCACCTGGTCAGATTCGACATCCACCACTCTGCTCCACTCAGTATTGAGAACTGGCAAAAAATTTTCCCAGCTTTACACAGTACTGACTCCATAACTACACCGAGGCAGGAATGTCTGGTCCGTGTGCAACTTGTGGACTTGCGCAGGAGAAACTGACTGCCCTCAAGCTACACTTGGTACGTACCTCGCCGATATGACCCTCGTTCCCCAGGTAGCTATTCGGTCAGCGAGCAGGCACCCATCACCCTTCAGAAACATACTTTGTCGGGCCTCCTAAACGGCGGTCCGACTAGCCTGCGTTACAGACTAGTCGAGCGGAGCAACCTGTAAAGTTTAGCATATCCACATATATAAACTTCCACAGCAGATAGTATTAGTCAGCTTTTCTTCGTTTCAGCTGTATCTATGAACCAAGGTGTTATGGTTAGAAGTGTGGATTAGCAGCCGCCCTGCAGCAGTGGAGGATGGATGAATAAGAAAGCCCCGAGTTGGGCCAGAAGACAGTCCAGTCGTAGGCAAAAAAGATTATTGTCTCCAAGAACTACCGATCGTCAACTCTTACCTTCGTCGATAATCGTGAACTTGGTTGACAACCCGAATGGCAGGGAAGGCATACCAACAACACTCACGTATAATTATGCATATAGAATCGCTCATCCTCAGAGCCATGATGAGATCTCCGCAGTCAGCAATCAAAACCGTTGTCAATCAACAACTGGTGACCACAGTAAATCACACACACTACTGTTTGAGGACCCCAATCCCTCAGGTTTTACAACTTGACTCCTACCTTCGAACCCATCTCAGGAGATTGTGGAATCATTACACGCTAGCTATTTAGAGGATTCTTAATTTAGAGAAGAATAAGAATAGCGATAAAAGCAGCTATTTTAAGGATAAGACCCTCAATAAAAGTAATGTAGGAAGGACCTTTTAGAATTAGGACTTTTTATCAGAAAGTTAAATTGAAATATAATAACTTTTAGCCTCCTTTATAATTGAAATTCCTATATGTGCTTTAAGCTGTTCTTGGCTATTTGTTTTCCATCATACACTCAACATTATCTTGAGTCCTGCATTTGATCTACAGTTTTGTTGGCGATGCGACAGAAAGTGTTTTTCAAAGCACTTACCATACAAGCATCGCTGAATGACAATAAGCTTAAGTGACATCGTTTGCTATACAAATTTAAAGAGGTCTGGAAGTACCATAAAGTTTGCAGGTTTCTCCGCCCGACTAGCCTGCGTTGCAGACTAGTCGGACCACCGTTTTGGAAGGCTCGATGAGTACTACAAGCGCAAGTGCGAGACTGCGGATTTCGATTGCATTGAGGCCCTCGCCAGGTGCAAAGAGAGTTTGATTATCTCAATGCATGTGCACTGGGCGCCCTACAATTTCTTGTTTTACTGGGCATCACGCCTGCAGACCGTCTCATCCCAACAGATCCCAGATGGCTTATTGCATTTTCAATGGAGTGTCAGCAGACATCTGCAGCATACCTAAGACGCGAGCGGAAGGATGCCCCGCACCTGAACACCGCGGACAGGTTAGTCTCGTTCCATCTTCGCGGCAGAACTTTGCCCAGGGTAGTGAGTCGTTCAGGTGCTTCTTACCCAGTGCCCCGCGTGTACCCACTGCCGGGTATTTTGTCGTATCGGAGCCGGCCGATCCTACAGTAGCTATATATCGGCCCGTGTTAGCTCTGGGGGTCGGCATTTTCAACCACAGGCTGCAACATACAGATGCAAATGTGGTCTGCGCCGGATTGGTACTTCGTGGTTGTTGATCACATTGCGCCACATTTAAGCGTAAGTTGTCCCAAACGCACATTGCAACAACGACCAAGCCAGATGAGGTACCTATAGTACCGGTATCAGAGACCCCAGTCCAACGTCATGCCAGGCTCTCTCGCCAACGCAGCGGAGCCTGATTGCAAGAGACGAAAGTTGACTTTGGTGGAGACGTTACTGGTCTCACCAAGCAAACAATGTCCGATTCCGAACTCCGCAGGCGGGCCGAACGGCGAAACTCTGGGATCTCAGCAATCACCACCGTGACATGATAGCACTGGCTGGAGAACGAGAAAAACTTTTCTTGCTCCCCTTCCAACAAAAGACACGTTATTTTCGTTGCAAAAAGTCTCGGTTACCAGCGGCACAACACTCGGGTGACACGGTCCCAGAGCCCAAGCCTCCTCAGCCTTTCTCAGAATGATTTCACCAACTGAGTTATGTATGCCCGTATTGCGCATCAGATCCGTATGGCTAAGACTATATACTGTTCCTTGTTCCTAGGTATCAGCTGTTGGTAATCTTCTCTTCGGTAAAATACATGGGGGAGGAGGGCTTGAGCTTTTGGGTATGCATGGCTCCCATCAACTGCAGCCTTTAAAGATCATTACGATTTATCTGCGGTTAGCATCTCATAACTCACGGCGCTTTGCCGCTTTCCAGAGACTCCATGGTAGTCTCCAACTGCGCTTTACCCTCCATGGGTCAAAATTCGAGCCCTCCAAAGACTTGAGGTAACTATGGGCAGTGATGGCTTCGAGAAGAACACCAAATCCGCGTCGTATCTCCACCGCTATGTCCTGAGTATCCTGCGCAGGACTTGTATGGACATGTTCAGCCTCGTGCTGGTGCTCGTAATTATGTCCAGGGCCCTGGCCAGATTGCAGGTTTTTCAACATTTCTCGAACGGTTATAAGATGGTCATTTGCCCTCGTAGCAACCTGATAAACGGCATCTTGCAGGCCTTCGGCATGTGGACCTTGGCGAAAGACATCCTCTTCTTTCAAGCCAACTTTTGCCATGACGTCGAGCGGGAGTAGCAGTGCGGGCGGGCGCGAGCTGCCCACAAGAGAGCCCGAAGGATTTTCAACAGGCCTCGGCGGCATGGTGAGAACCGGAATACTGCGTAAGATGGCGACTATTCCGCAAGCCTTGCCGATGTGACTTGACAGATGGTCCATGTGTACTGATTGGATGGGGATGGAGGCCAGTGTTAGGTACATGAGTGTGGCATAGGTATTTTCAGCGTACTCCTCCAGGGCGTTCAGGTTGGCAAAAGGCCTGTTGTCCAAATGCTGCTCCCGTGTGCTGAGAAAGCGTAGGAGCCAAAATTTGAGCGAACCCACACTGCCGGGACCAGCTCGTTCTTTGAGCTTGGTAATGGATCTGTGCAGCAACACAGAGATGGGTTCTCTCGGGGGTCTCCCATCAAATGTGTTGCTGATGGCATCCCGCCAAAACTGCATTCTCATGCGGCCGAGGGTTGGATTGGACACAGCCTCCGGCATGCGGGAGAGCTCGAGGTTCAAAGTTCGGAGCGCATCATAAGCATCCTGGGCCGGCGGGGGCAAGAAATGCCGGATAAGATATGCCTCATAGTCTCCATGCCTAAGAATTTTAAGCATCAGCTTCTGCAACACAATGGTCCTTGTCTAATCCCTGTTTCTAGCAAAAAGGCTGTAATACTTCAGCTGGTTCACGCAGTACTTGCGAGCCGAGTCTATATCCGCATCGGAAGGCGCAGCAATATTGGTGGAATAGTTTCTGGCGTTAATGGCAATGGGGCTGCAGGCTTGGTCAACCCGAAGGGATGCCCGGTGCCACAGGACATTCCCAAGGTGTCGCATAAAACGCATCGCAGGGAGTTGGAGGCACACGGTTCTACAAACTCATTTTCAAGGAATGGGATATAGAGTTTTGAGCCATGGACATGGGGGCAGGCCGTACCTGCAAAAAAGCATGTGCATCGAGCAATGGCGAGGGGCTTGTGTACGTATCCACAGTTGCATCTATGCATATACGGAAGTGGAACTCTTCATTTTGTAAGTCGCTCTATGTAAGGATCCGTATTATGTATGTATCAAACAGCTGAGTGGAAGTAAACGAGATGCTGGTCTAATTACCTAGGCAGGGGTAACGCGACTGTGAGGACAAAAACGCGGTCTTTGATCTAATCGCGTCTCCATTGGTACGACGATCTAGCTTTTTTTCATGGCCAACCGCTTTTCCAAGTCCCAATATTGCCGAACTCCCAATAAAATGGGATCTACCGACCCCAATGAGCCTCCTGTCAAAAGGCAACGCTTTCTTGCCGATAGCGATGATACTGCAGATCCAAAAATGTATGCTGTCCTGTCAGATCTAACCGATTCCTTAGGACTAGCCGCTAATATGCGTCGCTCTTGTTCAGCGCCAAGTCATCAGCGCTGGTGTCCAACAAGGACTCTTGTATCTATATTAACGAAGTAACAACACCACATATCAAGCCGGGTCTGTCCGGCAATGCTTCGATGCATGATGACTTCGACCAAGCAACGTTTGACGCTTTTGTGGGGGAACACGTTTCGCCCGATATCATGGCAGTCATTCGACGTAAATGTGGCAGTGACATCGAAAGGGCTGTCAATATGTACTTGGACGGCACATGGAAGACTCCTGGGAAAAGTGTTCGGACCACAGGTTTGCACCTTTCTTCCCGAATGACCGAAACCCCTGTTCGCAACCCCTTCAACCCTATGGTTCTCCAACCTAACGCAAATCGCATCATGCCTGAATCACGATATATCGGCGCTTTTGGTGTGGAAGGATGGGCCACTCGCAGTGGCACGGGTCTCTTGAAACACGGTGACCCCATCAGAATCGAACGCCAGAAGATCCAACCAGTGAAGTCTTCGTCGCCTCGTGGAGGACAGCGAGTCAAACTTGGGACTCCGGCACCTGGATCGCTTATGGGCGCCGTTGCAGCCAAAAGAGTCGATGTCATTGTGCGCTTCACAGACAGTACTGGCAGGGAAATTGGACGCTTAGCCAAAGACAAAGCGGAATGGGTCTCGACCCTGATAGACCAGAAAATATGTAGGTTTGAAGGCACATGTGTTTACGCTCCCGAGAGCCTGCGCACCAATGACACTGTCGTCTTGCAACTACGATGCTACCTCTTGCGTAGTGCATTTGATCCTCGAACATTCAAGGTTACTAGCAACAGCCCGTTTGGCCATTTTGAGAGCGGTGAATCGGAGGAAGAAAGAGACCTCCGTCTAAGGCAAGTTGCTCTTGTCAAGCTTTTCCAGGAGATCAACCTCCTCCCCATCCGAGGGAATGCGGCTGCAGCCAGCGCACAGCGTCAAAGTCTGCTCCATGCAGCAGAGCTTGCCGAAGATAGTGAGAAGACGAAGGCAAAATCCCAGGCACAAGATACCCTCGGATCCTCATCACTGTCAGACGAAAATGAAGATGGGCAAGAACTCGAGCAGGATCAGCTTGACGCCCTATACAAGAAAGCTCAGTCGTTTGATTTCACCACTCCCGAAGCTGAGCCAGCCAGTTCTTTCGCCATGACCCTGCGCCCTTACCAAAAACAGGCACTCCACTGGATGTTGTCGAAGGAGAAAAACGTTCATATTGAAGAGCGAGAAACCTCCATGCACCCCTTGTGGGAAGAGTATGCCTGGCCTAAGAAGGATCACGATGACAAGGACCTTCCGGAAGTCCCTGATCAGCCAACATTTTACGTCAATCTATATTCTGGCGACTTGTCTCTTGAATTCCCGCGTCAAGAACAGCGCTGCCTTGGTGGCATATTGGCCGACGAGATGGGCTTAGGCAAGACCATCCAGATGCTCAGCCTGATCCATACCCATAGATCCGAGGTGGCCACTCGAGCCCGTGCGTCTGGTCACCATGGGGAGTGGATCACTCCCGGTCAGCGCTTCCTCGTCCCTGCTGCAAGAGGAACTGTTATAGATGCACCATGCACGACTCTTGTTGTTGCCCCAATGACTTTGCTTTCCCAGTGGCAGAGTGAAGCTGAAAACGCCTCCAAGGAAGGGACCTTGAAGTCCCTGATATACTATGGTAGTGAGAAGAATATGGATTTAGTGGCTCTGTGCTGTGAGGCCAACGCTGCCAGCGCCCCTGACCTCATCATCACCAGCTACGGAGTGGTGCTGTCGGAGTTCAATCAGATCGCTTATAATCATCGTGACAAGACCAGAAACCGTGGTATCTTCGCTTTGAAGTTCTTTCGTGTGATTCTCGATGAAGCACACACGATCAAAAACCGCTTGTCCAAAACAGCCCGTGCTTGCTACGAGATTGCGGCTAAGCACCGATGGGTCTTGACGGGAACTCCAATTGTCAATAGACTGGAGGATCTCTTCAGTCTAGTGCGGTTCCTCAGGGTCGAACCATGGGATAACTTTTCCTTTTGGAGGACTTTCATTACGGTTCCCTTCGAGTCGAAGGACTACATGCGTGCCTTGGATGTCGTCCAAACAGTCCTAGAACCGCTCGTCATGCGGAGGACCAAGGACATGAAGATGCTTGACGGCACTCCTCTAATTGCTCTGCCTCCAAAGCACATTGAAGTTGTCGAAGTCGAACTTTCCAAGGAAGAGCGGGAGGTGTACGACTACATCTTCAAGAAAGCAAAGAGAACTTTCCAGGCCAATGTCGAGGCCGGCACCGTCATGAAATCATTCACCAGCATCTTTGCCCAGGTCCTCCGCCTTCGCCAATCATGTTGTCATCCTCTCCTTATCCGGAACCAAGAAAATGTCGCCGACGACGTTGAGCCTGGGACTGCTGCTGACAGAGCTGCGCAGCTGGGCGATGATATGGATCTTCAATCCTTGATCGAACGCTTCACTGCGACAACTGACGATGCCTCGCAACCCAATGCATTTGGTGCCCATATACTTCAGCAAATCAGGGATGAAGCTGTCAACGAGTGTCCTATCTGTGCTGAGGAGCCTATGATTGACCAGACTGTTACCGGATGTTGGCATTCGGCCTGCAAACAGTGCCTGCTGGAGTATATAAAACATCAGACGGCACAGAACCAACAGCCTCGATGCTTCCAATGTCGGGAAGTCATCAACTCGCGCGATCTGTTCGAGGTGGTACGCCACGATAATGACACAACTAACCCTGAATCCGGTCAAGGACCGAGGATTACTCTCCAGCGCCTTGGGGCGAGCTCCTCGTCAGCAAAAGTCACTGCTTTGGTAAATCATCTTCGCAATCTCCGAAGGGAACATCCAACCATGAAATCCGTTGTTTTCAGTCAGTTCACTTCATTCCTCACCCTTATCGAACCCGCACTTCGCCGAGCGAGTATCAAGTTTCTACGACTTGATGGTACGATGCATCAAAAGGCGCGTTCGGCGGTTTTAGCAGAGTTCAAGGAAAGTCAAAACTTCACTGTCATGCTCCTGAGCCTTAAAGCGGGCGGTGTTGGGCTGAACCTAACATCGGCGAAGCGAGTATATATGATGGATCCATGGTGGAGCTTTTCCGTTGAGGCACAGGCAATTGATCGGATTCATCGAATGGGGCAGGAAGATGAGGTTAGAATCTACCGCTTCATTGTCAAAGATAGCGTCGAGCAGAGAATGCTCAGGATTCAAGACCGTAAAAAATTCATGTAAGTTGTCCTGTTGCGATTTTTGTTTGCAAAGTTCCAACTGACCACATGGTTAGCGCGACATCGCTCGGTATGATGACTGACGAGGAAAAGAAGTTACAAAGGATTGAGGACATAAAGGAGTTGTTGAGTTGACAGGTTTATATCGACTTTAGGGGCAATGAAGTCCCATTAGCCTGTATGTTGATGATCTTTAACATCAAATTACTTCCCAGATTCTCGATGGTCAACCCTTTTGACTCCCGTACTGGGATTTGCGTTGCTCTGCCACGAAAATGTTTAAAGGTTGAGTTATTCATGAAGACGAATCTTCTGAAATTCATACATAACCCTAGGCCAGATTATTTACCGATAAGGGAAAAAGCAAGCTGGTCGTCCAGCAAAATACTTATCGCGCGATGGTCAGTCTCAGAAGTCCACACATGATCTTCTAATACGATTGATATTCAGTGGTTAATAGGTCATCAGAGCTAGACTTTTACGCAACCTTGGATAAGCTTGTTTTGAAGATGCAATTCGCAAGAGTGACCCAGTGACTCTCAATATAAAACTTGAAAAGCATGTAACGAACTATGTCAACTGGCCAGCCCTCGAGCAAAGAGCTTGACACCCTGCCTACAATGTTGCAATGAAAACCGATATACTCTGGTTCCACTCTGCTGATGTTCAGAGTAGGCTCATAGTTCTACTCTGTGTGATGTTTGGGTTCGGGATATATGGATTGGAACTAGGCTTTGTCACCCTCATTCATACCTGCAGTCTCGTGAGCTGGTTAACTACCGAAGTACAGTCTCTGGCCTTGAAGTTCCAACCACTTTTGTTCTCTATTCAACACACGCAGAAAAGTGAGGAATCGTGAAAGTTGTTGGTCCCACTAACCATTGCCTCAGTGCCCATCAGAAAACTACATAAATACAGAGATTAGTGCATTTGCTACCATATTTTGTTTTGTAATCCTTACCTCTGTGCTTATAGGATGCTGCTACCATCACAAGAGGACAACCGCTGTGAGCATTGAAGTTTTTCCAGGGGACATACTCAGCAAACACTGCTCAACGGCCAGGAACTCGTGCTCTTGTTCCGCATAGTCGAAAAGTGTTTTAATGACATTGTCCAGAGATTTGGTGGATTTCGGTGCAACAAATGTGAACACCAGCATATCTCATTCCTGACAGTACCAAAGCTCCCAGTCATGACTATTTATGCTGACAGTCTCAAGGGCCAAGCCGATGGGTTGCATATTGTCATATCTAGCAAGCCTAGTGAATATGTAATAAGCACCCTAATCCCAGGCCTTGGTCAAGAGATGAGAATCATCTATCGTGCCTTACCAGATCATTACCTGCAGTGATGGCTCGTCAGTTTCATCCATCTTACAACGACTGAAAGGGCCACTGTATAATGCAAACAAAATTTAAGCATGTTTCATAATCACCATTACTTGTAACATGTTTAGGTTCTGTTGCTGTAAAGATATCATATGCAGCGTTTGCGCGGATGACATTGCTATCATTGTCTCATTGAACAGACGTCCCCATGCTTCCGATAGAGAAAATCTTTTGACCTCTGGAGAACTGCTTGCCTGAATATGCATAACTCTTGATGTCATTTTCCGACCTTGGCCATATCCACACCGTATGCCACTGGATCCCACCTTCGTAATAACTATCGAGAAAGGTGTATTGTGAACCCGAGATTGCTGTATCTCGACCCCATAGATCATTGTTCAATTCATAGCCATCCATTACCAGGCCAGTACGAGATCGGGTCACAGAGTGTGATTTGTTGCCGTTTTGAAATCCAATGCAACGATACTGCTATTGCTAGAGCGACAAAGATTATTAAGATTGTCAGCAGGGCCTCGAGTCTCATTGTCAGAAAGTGAATATAAGAGAGAGCACTAACACATGACTGACAAACTAATGCCAATTCTCTAGAGAATGATCTTTAGAGCGCATATGTATGTTCATCTAATTAAGCACAGGAACAAGGTTACTAACCAAATTCATCCCTACAATCGCAAGAAACTACCCCATACAGGCAACATTATGGCAGATGACATATCATGCTACCTTTGCGTGCCACTCGATCTCAAATCATATGCCGGCAAATTAGACATTTATCCTCGGCCAAGTAGCACGGCAGGTGCGTATGCAGATGTATGATGTGAAAATGTCTTGTTGAATAATTAGTAGATGTAACGATCCAGACAGACCTCCTGAGATAGTTCGAGAGTTGCTAGGCTGCTGGATTGAGAGAGAGGAGTTCTCACGCAACCAAAGTGGCCGTTGTGGCCACCAGTTGGTAAGCAACTGGTTGTATTGCTGACTGGAGAGTTTCTTGGCCCAGATGGCCCTGCTTGGAATCTATATACATCTCTTGCACTCTCGTGGCTTCCCTTCCTTCTTCCTCAACAGCACAGACTGTTGAGAGGTCAACATCCTTGGGTGTTGAGGAACACTTTCCCAATGTTCGGTTGTTGGGGGCGGATATCCGAGTTTGATAGATCACAACTCCCTTTTACTCCGGTCAGTGAGTTGCACGGAAGCTACTCTTTCAGGTAGACTCATTGTTGGTCGTGACAGTAAGATTATAAATTGGAGATAATAGACAGTGTATTAGTCAAGCATAGACAGATGTAGGGAAACTCCAGCAGAAATTATAGGGCAAAGAATCAGATTATAGAGACAGAGAATGTTCGTTACGAACAATAGAATATATCAAGAGAAAAAGAATAAAGGGGTTCTGATGAAAGGTTGTCAGAGCCAAGAATCACCAACGAAAGATGGTCAGAACTCGAGCGTCAGTAGTGAAAGGTCGTCAAAGCTGAGAACCCCCGACGGAAGGCTAAAAAAACTCTGGTAAAAGAAACAAGGAAGGATTCGGAGTATATAAGGTAAACAGATCTTTTTTGCTGAAGAAGGGGGGACGAAAAGAACCCCCAGTCAGCAATACATACAGTTACTTAAAACCAACTGGTGACCTCAGTACTTCTGAATCCGTGTGAAAATTCCTGCCTCTCTGATTCATAAGGCTCGAATCAAGCTAGAGCCCATCTCAGGAGGGCTAGCTGGATTGTCACAGAGAAACTTGCACAAAGGGCTTACAATGAAACAGCGGAAGAAGAGTGCATTGACTATGTTTTCAGGGAATAGTAGAGAAGGGTAGAGATTGGCTAATGATAGAAGGATAAAGCAACTCAAACCTGTGCTACTAGAGAGAACAAAGGGGGCTATAGATTAAGAACTAGCAAGCGTAATACCATGGATTACTACAGGACCTTGGATTGGGCACGTCAACAGGATTGCGTCCTACCAAGTGTGAAGTGTGACAATTCCACATCCTTCTGAGATGGGTTCGAAGGTAGTAACCAGGTTGTAGAACCAGAGGAATTAGGGTCCTCACATATTGTTGTATTGTTGTCACGACCAACAATGAGTCTACCTGAAAGAGTAGCTTCCGTGCAACTCACTGACCGGAGTAAAAGGGAGTTGTGATCTATCAAACTCGGATATCCGCCCCCAACAACCGAACATTGGGAAAGTGTTCCTCAACACCCAAGGATGTTGACCTCTCAACAGTCTGTGCTGTTGAGGAAGAAGGAAGGGAAGCCACGAGAGTGCAAGAGATGTATATAGATTCCAAGCAGGGCCATCTGGGCCAAGAAACTCTCCAGTCAGCAATACAACCAGTTGCTTACCAACTGGTGGCCACAACGGCCACTTTGGTTGCGTGAGAACTCCTCTCTCTCAATCCAGCAGCCTAGCAACTCTCGAACTATCTCAGGAGGTCTGTCTGGATCGTTACACGTTGCTGACTTCCTTTGGTTCTGAGATCGGTTCAAATTGAAGGTAAACTTGCTGGAAACGACGGAACATGGCGGCCAACCCTGGCACGATTTTTACGTTCAGTTCCTCAACACCGCAGAACCCCGAGCAACGTCTCCTACAGTTGGAGAGCTTTTGTCGACAAGCTCAAGCCACCATCGAACAACTACAAAAGGAGAACCTGTACCTGAAGCAAGTCTTGGTGCGCGACGAAAAGGCCAAGTTGGAAGCCCCGGCCAAGTGTGGCGGCGACCGCGACAAACTTTCCGGATTCTTCTGCAACTGCGTGCCTATTTCGCCAACTACCCCGAACGTTTCACAACTGAGGGAAATAAGGTGCGATACGCGGCCACTCGCCTCGAAGGCAAAGTTCTTCAGTGGTTCGCGCCGACCTGAAAGGACCACTTGGATCACTCTGTCGAGGGCAGTAGCGACTTCACCCGTAAGATCTGCGACAGCTTTCAGGTTTTTGCCGACGAACTCGGCAAGGTCTTTGGCGATCCTAACGCTCAGCAGCATGCTCAAGACCGTTTGACACGCCTTGAACAGACCAAATCTGCTGCCGCATATGCCGCTCAATTTCGCCAGTACTCACTCCGTTCTGGCATCAACGATGAGGGTCTTTTGCAGCTGTTCTATCAAAGCCTGAAGAAAGACGTTAAGGATCGGCTGTGTGCCGAAGATCGCTCTACAACGCTGGACGAATACACTACCATGACCATCCGCATCGATATTCGTCTCCACGAGCGCCGACAGCAGAGGGCGCGTGACCGGCCGACTCAACGGCAGGTGTACACGAAACGCGAGACACGATCTGTCGTACCTGGCACGCATCCAGAACCTATGGATATCGGGGTCATGCGGCGAAGCTACAAAAACATTACTTGTTACAACTGTGGTCAGCAGGGGCACATCAAGCGCAACTGCAAGGTGCCTCGCAAGACGTGGAAACCGGTGCCTCTGAATAAAAATGCCGTCGTTGACAAAGGTAGAGCCAACGACGTTGCAGCTGCCGAGCACCACGACCACCAGGGAAACGTCTTTTAGGGGCCCTCTGGCGGTCCCAGATTCAAGCGTCTGGACGGCGCGTGACCCGAGAGACTGCTACCATTAAGGTGCAACCACTATCGCACACTTGCGAGATGGAGATAACCGGCTGTGGGTGACAGTCCGTTGGGTTAAACACACGGCGATGGTACTGGTCGACAATGGCGCATAAATGATATCATTGACTGGGGATACGTTAACGGACGGCGAGTACCCTGGCGACAGAAGGAGGAAGCATTTACGGCCAAAGGACCATTTCGCACTCAGAACATTGGGTATGAAACAGAACCCCTTGACATCACTGTGGCAGGCAGGACAGTAACAATCGTATCTGACATTGTGACGTGAAAAGGGAGAAAGATATGATTATAGGTGTACCATGCACCGGGTTTATGACCTAGACATCGACTGGAAGGGAGGTGGCTACCTACGACCGCGGGTTCGGTCGTATCCAACCAGTACGATGGGGCGCGCCGGCGCAGAGTCGCGGGCAGTGGAAGCACACGCAGAAGCTCGCTCCCCGGACTTGCCGCACGAGTCAGACGGCACCACGAACGTGATGGACTCGGGAAGGGGCGGTAGCCACCTGGTGGTTGTACAGGGTCGGAGATACCGACGGCAGCGGCCGCGATCCCGCGAAGTGACAGTGGTATCGGTTGACGAGGACCAGAATCTTGCTGTGGAGGCTTGGATCACTCCCAGCGAGGCGTCGGTTATCCAGCCAGAAGAGGCACTTACGACAAAGGAGAAGAAAAGGAATGAGATTCCCCCTGAGTATCGAGGACACGCGGCATTTTATGCCAAGTATTTGGAAGGACTACCAGAACATGGACCGTTCAACCACGAAATCAAACTTAAGGAGGCGCACAACTCAAGTTCTTCAAGGTGTATCACACCAATGCCCGAGAAAATGAGGCGCTAAGGACGTATCTTGAAAAAAACCTTAAACGGGGGCTTATCCGACCATCAATTTCGCCCGCAGGATACCCTGTCCTCTTTGTACCCAAGAAGAACGGCGAGTTACGAATGTGTGTGGACAGCTGAATGAGCAGACAGTGAAGAACCGCTACCCTCTTCCTCTGATTTCACGTTAACGAGATCAACTCACTAAAGCCAAGATCTTCACTCATCTTGACCTTCCAACCGCGTGTACCCACATACGGATTAAAGAAAAAGCATGAATGGAATACAGCGCTCTGAACACCATATGGTCATTTCGAATACCTTGTCATGCCTTTCGGGCTCACCAATGCACCAAGACTGACTACACTATCCGACCGTTCCTAGACAAGTTCGCAGTTTGCTATCTTGACGACAGTTAGATCTATTCCGAGACACTCGAGGAGCATCGCAAACATGTCACGGCTGTACTTGACGCGCTACCTGGAGCCGGACTCTCTGTCAACAGAGAAAAGAGCAAGTTCCATGTCACTAAGACAGTCTTTCTGGGATACGAGATTTCGTCCGGACAACTGCGGATGGAACCAGCGAAAGTTGCCGCCATCAAGGACTGGCCAACGCCGACAAGCATCAAGGACATTCGAGCTTTCATCGGCTTTGTTAACTTCTACCGGATGTCCATCAAGGACTTTGGCCGCATTGCGAGGCCACTTCACGACTTGATTCGAAAGGATGCTGATTTTACCTGGGCAAAGAGCACGAAGAGGCCTTCCGAGAGCTTTGCCAGCGTGTCATCAGCGACCCAATCCTCCAATTGCCTGATCCCGAACGACCATTCGAAGTCGAGACCGACGCATCTGACCTTGCCATGGGAGGACAACTGGGCCAACGTGATGACAACGGAAAGCTCCACACCGTGGCATTCTTCTGGAAGAAGTTGACAGGACCACAACTCAACTATCCCATTTCACAACAAAGAGCTTCTCGCCATTGTTGAAGTTTTCTAGAAATGGCGACCCTACCTCAGCAGTACGAATTATGAGGTTCAAATCTACACTGATCACAAGAATCTCCGGTGCTTCATGTCCACCAAGGCACTCAGCGGACGACAGACCCGTTGGGCCGAATTTCTTCACAGTTCAACTTCCGTATCAACTACCGCAAGGGCACAGAAAATGCACGAGCCGAAACTCTCAGCAGACGAGCCGACCACAAGCGACAAGGAGGAACCGAAGCGTCGCCGCCGTTACTTCAACAACAGGAAGATGGTCACTTGTACACCCGCTCCAAACGATTGAAGAATGCTGCGCGACATACAGGGAAATTCGTTAAGGATTCGGCGACTACAGTATCTCACTATTGACAGAGGAGCTACACCGGTGGGAAGAAGTAGTGTATTACGACGAAGTGAAACGGCACAACAGGAAAATCTATGTCAGCAGGGATCGACAGGAGCAACTAATCCGCAGGATTCATGAGTCCAAGCTTGGAGGCCACATGGGCATTGCAAAAACCATCGCCAAGGTTAAGCAGTTCTTCAGTTTTCCAGGAATGAAGAACCGTAGCACAGAGGCTCTTTCCCACTGCGATCTGTGTCACCGTAGCAAGTCTGCGCGACACAAACCCTACGGCCTGCTGCAACCGTTGGAAACCCCTGAGCGACCTTGGGACTCTATTACGATTGACTTCATCACCAAGTTACCAGCATCGCCAGACCCCGTGCTACCTAAGGTCAAATATGATGGCATCATGACGGTCGTCGACAGACTCAAGAAATGGGCCTACTTCCTGCCATTCGAAGAAGCTTGTGACGCTGAACAAGTCGCTGACGTGGTACTACGACATGTCATCAGCAACCACGGCTGGCCGAAGGAATCGATTTCCGATCGGGACCTTAGGTTTGCTTCCAAGTTCTGGCAAGCATTGATGAAACGACTGGGTGTCGAAAGCCAGCTCTCCACGGCATACCATCCCCAGACCGACGAATGATGATGATTCTGTTTTTCGGCCACGTTCTACCCTAGTGGGGTACTGGGCAGTGCCCACGACGCCGGCGGGCATAGTTATACTATCTATAGATACTTGCAACTTATAAAGTCCTGCGCAAGGGAAAGCCTAATGGCAAAAACCTGCGCGTGTTTTAAAGGAAAAAAAAAGGCGTATTCTTTACAAAGTATAAAGAGAGAAGGAGAAGTTACCCATTGGGGAAAGCCTGTGGGAGAACAATCTCAAGTGGGTCTAACCCCTCATCTACGTCTGCTCTGGAGGCAGGTGAGGGGACCCACTACATTCAAACCCATCTCAGGAGGTTGTGAATCGTTCCAACAGTCTAAATACCCAAAGAAAGCTCCCTATTGTTAACGAGAATAGCCCAAGACGAGCATGAATAGGAAGCTTTACCATATCATATATTGAATATTATCATACTATGAATTAAATGAATTATATCTGGCTATACTTAGAGGTTAGAAAGTCTGATGTATTAAATGACTAACGAAATTAATTGAGTAGAGATATTTTCAATGATATTGTTAACTTTGAAAACGATAGTCTTGGTGGGATACTAAATAAATACTGTATGAGTGAGTACAAGAATGAAAGATGAGCGGTTGTAAGTGATCTTTTTATGTACACAGAGATTAGCATTAAACTTTGATTACTGCTTAGCAGTCGTTTTGGTCGCTAAGCAATAGATACTAAAGCCTTATATATCTAAAGGCGAACTATATCAGTAAGAACTCAGCTTATAAAATCTTGAGACAGGCCTGACTAATGGCAGTGGACTCTAGAAAAGTGACAACATGATTAGTTTCATAGTCTTCTGAGAAGGTAAGGGGGGGTGGCGCAGTTGGAGTGCATTGCGCCTGGAAAAACCTGCTAAGGCCCGGCAGGTCGTCGGTTCGGATCCGGCTCCCTCCACCTTGCACTCGCCTGGTCTTTGACCACGATCAACCCCGACTTTCCCGCTTGGGCCAGCGGGTACAAGCTACTCAACTGGGCTTCGACCAGCTCAACCTCCCATCTCCCCCCCTGAACCAGCTGATGATGATGATTCTATTTTTCGGCCACGTTCTACCCAGACGGGGTACTGGGCCGTGCCCACGACGACGGCGGGCATAGCTGTACTAATGATAACTACTTACTACTGAACCCTTGTGCGCGAGTGAAAGCCTCCTGGCAGAAACCTACGCGTAGATTACTAGAAGAGAGGGGAGACGTTCTTTGCAATCAACAAAAGAAAAGGAGAATCAACCACTGGGGAGAGCTTGTGGAACAACAATCTCGAGTGTTCTGACGCCTACTCTTCGTCTGCTCCGACTGCAGGCGAGGGAAGACGAGGAATAAGATTTAGAGGAATAGGAAGTGGCTCTAGTGCCGATGGGTCAAGGGCCTCACCATATTAGCGAAGCTCATTGCCACGTCTCAAGTATAGATTGAAGGTTTTGTGAAAAGCTCGAGCATCGAGCCGGGCTGCATGTGAGTTAGCCCCGAAGTAGCAATAGGACACATACCAAGATGTCCGACGGCGAACTACTGACTGCACTGCACATGCATGTTTTAATGGCCTCCGGAGGGTGGCCGAAGCGTCGATGATACTCGGCAAAATCTCCATGGTCAGAAACCTCCTGAATCCAACGGCCTAGAACATGTCTGGGAAGTTCCAGGAAGCCCTTGGATGACCAGCCATCCCAAAGACAGGAAGCTGGTTTATTCGCTGCCCACCATCGCTGCATGTCAAATGGGGCGCTCGAGGAGGTTTGGATTGCGAAGCTGGTTGGAGACCAAGCCAAGTTCGTATGCCAGGTAGTTTTGGCTCCCAAGGTTCCGATCTGGGGCTGACGCCTTGTGCGAGCTGATGTAACCGAGACCATTCTTACTATGGCCTAGCAGCAAGTCTGGTAGAGATCGGATGGCCGGCGGGGAGACGTTCAGCCCGAGATCGCCACCTATAGCGCTCCAGACTCCAAATGTGCTCCGCCGGGGTTGGATACAGGGGGTTACTGGCCATGGAGATTTTGTCGAGTACTATCAACGTTTTGGCAACCCCCCAGAGGCCAACAAGACATGTGTGTGCGATCAGGTAGTCCGCCGCGGACGCCTCGATATGTGTGTGTCCTTTTGCTACTTGGGCCAATCCAGATGCAGCCTGGCTCGATGCTCGAGCTTTCTACAAAACCTTCAATCTATACTTAAGACGTGTCAACGAGCTTCGCTAATATCGTGAGGCCCTTGACCTATCGGCACTAGAGCCACTTCCTATTCCTCTAAATCTTATTCCTCGTCTTCCCTCGCCTGCAGTCAAAGCAGACAAAGAGGCGGCATCAGGAACCACTCGAGATTGTTGTCTCACAAGCACTCCCCAATGGGTAATTTCTCAATTTCTCTCTGTGGTTTGTAAAGAAAGCGTTTTTCTTTTCCTTTTAACCCAAGCGCAGGTTTCTGCCATTAGGCTTTCCCTTACGCAGGATTTCATAAGTTGTAAGTAGCCATAGATAATACAACTATGCCCGCAGGCGTCGTGGGCACGGCCCAGTACCCAGTAGGGCAGAATGTGGCCGGAAAATAGAAATCATCATTATCATCATCTGAGGCAAGAGTTCTTACACAAATTGAAAAGTACTGCGGTTGACAGTTGGTTTGGGAAGCTTTTTGCATTGTGAACTTAGGAAATCTTTGCTTTTCTCTGCCCACGAGGAATCATTAGTATTGATATTGTTTTCTTTTCGGCCACGTCCTACACTAGTGGGTACTGAGCCGTGCCTACGACGCCGGCGGGCATATTTATACTATCTATAGCTATTCAGACTTTCATACTCGAGCAAATATCTTCTAAGGATCCCCCAGTCTCTCGTCAGCGATTCTTGGTCTGACTACTGTTTATAGCCGCATGAGCCCTGCTTTTATCGATCCTTATGCCTAGCTCCACGTTTCCCGCGCAACATGTCAACATCAGAGATGAGCATCCTTATTATCTTGTGCAGGCAGTCTAGGTTTATAGTATGATACTATTTTGTATCAATAGAAATAGGAACTTTTTGATTATTCTTTTAAGGGCTATTGACTAACTATATCTACTGACTGGCTACTACTGCTCTTTAGGCCTCTTTCGCTTTAATACTTATCTGTATAGTAGTTCGAAAAGCAAATATTATACGTCTGCTGCCCCCCCCACATAATGAATTGGTTAGAGGTTTTTTAAAGACTAGTTGAAATAAGGAAACATGGAGTTATGGATAACTATCGCCCCTAGTTGATATCTATATATAATTTCCTTATTGGTATGTACCAGAATTTGATTATTTCCTTGTATTAAACAATTATATTGGAGACAACGCTCATCAGAATTTCCCTACTTATAGTATCAAGGGGTGTTGGTGCTATACTATATAACATAGGTATAGAAAGCTCGGTTACCTAGTATCCTGTTTTTATACTATTCCTATCGAATGATTAATGGTATTACTTGATGCAGTTTCAATTGTTAAGTTATCCATACACCCTGCTATTATTGTAAATAATTTTCCTACTACTTAGTAAGTGAAGTTTATCAACCTCATCAGTTTACCTCAGTATAAAATATAGAGCAAATACTGCCACTAATCTTTTGGATTATGCCATAACCAACAAAGAACCTATTTGAAAGACTGGCTTCCGTGCAACCAATTGATCAGAGTAAAGCCAATATGGAGAGTTCCCAGATCCGCTAACATTAGAGCCACTTCCCTAACCCACCACAAATGCCGCAAGCTGGCGCCTGTGTCCTGGCTGCTCTAAAGAGAGCCAGGGACGATAAGGTCAAGGAGCTGAACGCCAACATCTCGATTGTCGAAAAGCTCGTCGACGCTATGGTGGATAGCCAGCTCAAAAGCCCGCTGGAGAAGTCGGTAAGCCGTTTATCGACAAACTGCATTCCTTCCTGATCCAAGAATTCATAAAAACAACGAGAATCCTCGCCCCTTCCCCCACCGCCATTCCGGTTCCCTCTAGATCCACGATACCCGCAGCTACGAATGTCTCTAACATTCCCACCAACCGGGCTCAGGATGATGTTCCCCCTACTTCGGCCCCTCCAAAACAACCCCATTGGGCTGATGTGGCTGCGACTCCTTTGCAATCCCCTCAACGGAAGAAACAAACAACACACAGCCACCCTTCCCCGAGCGGCTCTCACGCTCGTCCGATGGATCGCACCGCGAGTAGGCATGTCTTCCTTCGGATGAACAAAACCGAGTCTGCGAACGCGTTCTGGAGTCACACCTCCTCAATCGCCGCCATTTGACATGTAACGATGGTGGGCAGCGAATAAACCAGCTTCCTGTCTTTGGGATGGCTGGTCATTGAAGGGCTTCCTGGAACTTCCTAGACACGTTCTAGTCCGTTGGATTCCAGAGGTTTCTGACCATGGAGATTTGGCCGAGTATCGTTAACGCTTCGGCCATCCTCCGGAGGCCATTAAGACGTGCATGTGCGGCCAGGTGGTCCGCCGCGGACATCTTGGTTTGTGTCCCATGGCTACCTGGGGCAACCCAGACGCAACTCGGCTCAATGCTAGAGCTTTTCATAAAACCTTTTATTTATACCTAAGCCGTGTCAACGAGCTTCGCCAATATGGTGAGATCCTTGACCCGTTGACATTAGAGCCTCTTCCTATTCCTCTATATCTTCTTCCTCGCTTCCCCTCGCCTGCAGTAAGAGCAGACGAAGAGGAGGCGTCATAACGACCCGAGATTATTATTCCACAAGCTCTTCCCAACGGTTGACTTTCCTTTTCTCTTGTTTATTGCAAAGAACAATTCTCCCCTTTTTTTGTAATCTGCGCGCAGGTTTCTGCTAGTAGGCTTTCCCTCGCGCACAAGGGTTCATTTGTAAGTAGTTTTTGTTAGGATAGCTATGCCCACCGTCGCCGTGGGCACGGCCCAGTACCCGTCTGGGTGGAACGCGGCCGAAAAATAGAATCATCATTATCATCATCCGATCTCCACTAGATTCGCCGCAAGGCCATGGAATGGATGGTCTCGTTTACACAAGTTTGCGCACGGCGTCAACCCTAGTTCGGAACCCTGAGAGCCAAAACGGCCCGGCCTACGAGCTTGGATTGGTCTCCAACCAGTCTCGCAACCTAAACCTCCTCGAGCGCCACCATTCGATACGCAACGATGGTGGGCGGAGAACAAACCATCATCCTGCCTATGGGATGGCTGGTCATCCAAGGCCTTTCTAGAGCTCCCTAGGCACGTCCTGGGCCGTTGGATACAGGAGGTTACTGGCCATGGAGACTTTGTCGAATACTATCAACGTTTTGGCCACCCCCCGGGGGCCATCAAGACATGTGTGTGCGGTCAGGTAGTCCGCCGCGGACACCTCGGTATGTGCCCTATCGCTAGCTGGGGCAATCCAGACGCAGCCCGGCTCGATGCGCGCGCTTTTTACAAAACCTTTAATTATACCTAAGACGTGTCAACGAGTTTCGTCAATATGGGAGATCCTCGACCCACTGACACTAGAACCAATTCCCATCCACCCAGTCCCTCCTTACCTGCCGCCAGAGCAGACGTAGATGAGGAGGTAGACCCACTCGAGATTGTTCTCCCACATGCTTTCCCCAATGGGCGACTTCTCCTTCTCTCTTTATGCTTTGTAGAGATTATGCCTTTCTCTTTCCTTTAAACCACGCACAGGTTTCTGCCATTAGTCTTTACCTGGCGCAGGACTCTAAAAGTTGTAAGTAGCTGTAAATAATGTAACTATGCCGGCCGGCGTTGTGGGCACGGCCCAGTACCCCATTAGGTCAGAACGTGGCCGAAAAATAGATTCATCATCATCCTCTATCCAACGGCCCAGGTCGTGCCTGGGGAGTTTTAGAAAGGCCTTGGATGACCGTGACATAACCAAAGTATAAGTGACAGATGTATATGTAAAATGTCTAAGAGAAACTTCTTTCACTTACTCATTATATACCCATATAGTAGTCAGCCAATGAAAAGGGTGGAAAATTATCGGTGCGAAGAAAGCACTTACAATCGAGCGCAAACCTGATAATAATTAAAGAAGTGCTCCGTGATAATTGGAATGACACAGTGGACATGTCAATAGCTCTTGAGTATAAATTGCTAAATAGAATCGCTCCTTCCCAGCGCCGTGATGAGAACTCATCCAAACGGCGGTAAAGCCAGTTGTAACCAGCAACTGGTAACGGCAGTGAAGTCCATATTTTGCTGCGAGGATCCAAGTTCCTCAGGTTCTACAACCTGGGAACTATCTTTATACTCATTTCAGAAAGTTATGGAATTGTCGCAGTTCAACTTATGTGAGCTTCAGTTTAGAGATTACCATATTATTTATCGTGGCTTCCTCTTTCCCTATGGCCTGTAATGTAATCAGACATCAACAACTATGCGCAACCATTTACTAAAAGTCTGAGTGAAAGTGTCCAGGGTATCTTATCACAAAGAGTTGATAACGTATTATCGTTAGCTATAACAGTAGTATTGTATATACAATCAAAGGGAAGTAGTTATCGGAGGGATAGGTCAAACTTCTGTAATACTAGACAATTTTAGCTTGAAAATTTATATGTTCTCAATAGATTAATGCACTCAGTATTATGTAACGATACATCTTACCATTTTAGATGGATTCTGCGATCCAAGACTTGGAGCTTAAAGAGAACAGAGTACACTCCGATGTGACAAGCGCCATGATTACCAGTGGTTTGCACAATTATTGTATTACTGAGGAGTTCCTTCTCTTCTGCCTACGAATCTAACTTATATATCAAGTCTGTCTTTATTCTCTAAAGGTATTTTTAGTCGATGATCGGTGTCTCTTGACCTGACAACCTCCTGAGGACTCGAGCCGCGTTTGATTGGCCTTTGGTATCCAGCCCATTCCCAGTAAGCACCCCTGTTGTCACGACCAACAACGCCTCTATCCGGGAACGTGGCTTCCGTGGTGCTGACTGATTGGAGTAAAAGGGAGTTGTAACCCATCGAACTCGGATATCCGCCACCAACAATCCCAACAATCAAGCATTGGGAAAGTGTTCGTCAACATCAAATGATGTTGTCCCTTAACAGTCTGAGCTGTTGAGGAGGAAGGCAGGGAAGCCACAAGGGTTTATGTAATGTATATAAATTTCAGGTAGGGTCATCTGGCCGAAGAAGCCCCCTGGTCAGCAACACAAACAGTTGTCTGATCATCTGGTAATTACATGGATCGTTAGAACTGTGTCAGAATTACTGTCTCTGAGGTTCAGTGGCCTAGCACCTTTTGAACCCATCTCAGTGCGCCTCTTAACCGTACTATTATTATTTAAATGTCCTGTCGTTAGTAGTGATACCCTACTCTTTAATGGCCTTATGTCATCTACGCGTAATAGGCCGTATGCCGTCCCTTCTATGTTTCTATTTCCAAACACTATAAAATAGCTTGCTAAAGGCTTATTCGATAATTTATATAGGTGCTTACCTACGTTATGAGTGACGATTCGACCACCTTCTGATAAGGGTTCTGTAGCCGCCAGATTGTTATACAAGCAGTGTTTGTGTCGCTGCGTCTATCAGTTTTTGGTTGGTAACTATTTTCTTTTGTCACTGGAGAGCCCTTTATCATGATTTGGAGGATAAGCAATTCTATCGTACATGTGATATTCGAAGTCGTGGGGTGCCGGAAGTGGCGTTACATGCTTGCCAAGCATGTTCTTTACCATCATCACCCATTGACAACGGTAATAATTCTTCGATCCTTTTGATTGTTAGTTGTCCCGGACGCATTTTTCTTTCCCCTGTCTATTGCCCGTTTCTTTACGGCAAATGGGTTCTACCCAGAAATAACCTTTTTAGAGAGGGTAGAAACCAGTTGCAAGTTTAAAAACTACTACAACTATAATAATTATTGAACCTTAGTGGTTCCTGTAGATAAATTTGCCTGGGTTTGCTATCGAAGTTTGTGTCATATTTGGTAATGGACTCGGCGGCTCCCCGACAGACGGAGTAGGAGGCAACCAATAGAAGGATTCTAGTGGGGTCAAGAGGCAGACCATCAATGGAGAAGCGCAAGCATCACATTTCTCACACTACGATACACTGCAATAACTGCGAAGAACTCGTCAAAAATGGTAAAACAGGTAATAGTAAAAAGACAGGAAGACAGACGACTTCGAATATAGATATGTATATAGAATATCCCACCCCCAAAGCCATGATGAAGACTCTCCAATCAGTAACAGAAAAAGTTGTTAACCGATAATGGGTGATTTCATTGAGTTCCATACTTGAACTGTGTGAGGATACCCAGTCCCTAGGTTCTACAACCCAGCCACTACTTCGAACCAATCCCAGGAAGTTGTGGAATCGCCATACACGGGTATTTATAATTGACTTGTTCACTGGTTTGCTACAGAGTAAAGTGATAATGATCATGATTCTATTTTCCGGCTACATTATACCCAAGCGGGCTACTGGGCCGTGCCCACAACGAAAAGGGAACAGAGTGAGATGGCTTGTTGTTTTGAGCTTGTAGGGCTGGAACTAGAGAAGCCAGACTTCCCGTATGACAAAGTTCAGCCTATGATGATTCATAACTTCGTAAGATGGTTCGAAGGTAGTAGCCAAGTTGTCCAAATAAGACCCTTGAGTCTCACACGGTAGATACAATAGTGTACTTGATTTACCGAGGTAACTAAAGTGGTTGGTCGACACCTCTTATTGCCTACTAAGGAACTCTTAGACAATACCTAGCTGGTTCTATATGCATCAAGCTCTCCGTCAGTATTTCTCCTGCCATCACAGGTATCACCGGTGAACTGGAGTATCACGCCATGATATTTGGTCTTGGCGATGACAATATTCTTGATGTTCTGCTCTTCGGCATCTACGTCCTATTTTCTTCGCAGGGCCTACCTCGTTCTGTTGGCTATGACACAGGTGAACTGATCGAAGAACTATTGTGCAAGGTATTTAGGTATGTATTTTTCTCGACCGCTATTTAGCATATCTAGGTACTCTGGTCGTGCCCACGGCGACGGCGAGTAAGAGGTTGCTAAGTACATTGTGCGGGGAAAACCCCGCGCGAAAGCTTGTACCCGCTGGTCCAGCTGGTCGAAGCGGGGAGATGGGAGGTTGAGCTGGTCGAAGCCCAGTTAGCAGCTTGTACCCACTGGCTTGCGCGGGGAAGTCGGGGTTGATCGTGGCCAAAGACCAGGTGAGTGCGAGGTGGAGGGAGCCGGATTCGAACCGACTACCTGCCGGGCCAAAGTAGGTTTATTCAGGCGCAATGCACTCCAACTGCGCCATCCCCCCTATTGTGCAAGGTAGCTATCAGTGCTAGGTGCAACTGATAGAGATTGTTAGTTTTATCAATACAAACACGTTACCGACAAGTACTAGAATGGTCTTACCACACTGTTAAAGCACGCCATTCAGGTATTAAATTTTACAAAGCGAAAATGCTCTTTTAGAGTATGAATGATATACGTTAAACAGTGATCATCTGTTTTCTTAACAAAATTAACTCTCAACAACCTAGTACAAAGAGCATACTCTCTTATAACTACAATGCAACCTCCAGATTTTGACTATTATGACAGCATCTTAGGTTAGGTTCCCTTGAGTGTTAATCGGGTAATAGATGTAGCATAAATTTTCACATCATTATTTATACCATGTATTGAAGGTTATTCATTGTGGAACTAACATAGGAAATACATACACATGTATAGTTTGTCAACTACCTAGCAAGTAAATAAGGCATTCAAAACTTCTTTACTGGGAGCAAACGTGCAGAATACAGGTTTTCAGTTTGTTAACAAGTTGATATAACCTATATTAGATTCTTGTATTCAATATCTTTCGAATTTTTTTAATATAGATAAATTTTGAGGCATACTATATAGAGGTGTATATGGTTTCCTAGATACGACAAGTACAGAAAACTGTGTATTTTGGTTTCTCTACCCAGAACATGCCCTAGCTCAAACACCAGGCACATGTGCTTGTACCGAGACTCATAGCCAGCTTTATTAGCTGAAAACATGAAAGTAGCTAAACCTTTTAACACTAATTCTAGCCTCTATAGTAGGCCTACTAGAATCTACTCACTTATACTGGACTCAGATATGTATATATGCTGCGTTTATTTAATTGCTATAAAGGGGTCATATACGCTATAAAATGACCATCAGCTTTAGGCATAATGTAAACTCGTTAATACTAGGTATTGCAAGGTGTATAATCGTTTACGAATATATACTTTACGTATCTTTCGCCTTGCATCTCTTGATCAGCAGGCGATCTTGTTCTCTATCAGCTTCTAAAGGTATAGACACTGCTGGATATTTAAATCTCCAAAGAATAAACTACAGCTAACATACCTGTCATGTGACGATTCCAAAACCTCCTGAGATGGGTCCGGAGAGAGTAACCAGGTTGTAAAATTAAAGGGATTAGAGTCCTCACACAGTATTGTTTGTGGCTTACTGCGGTCACCAGTTATTGGTTAACAAATGTTTCTATTGCTGAATGAGGAAGTCCCCATCGTAGTTGTGGAGATAGGAGATTCTATATACATATTATGCTCGAGGTTCATTGGTATGCATGCCCTGCTCTTCATCAATAATCAAGACCAGAATCATGTCTAGGGCAGAAGCCGATCATGAGTGGTTCTTGGCGTCAATAACTTACCCTGCCTGTGATTGATACGTCTCCATGTCCCACTCAGTGCTTCCCTATTCGTCATTCTTCCGCTGTTGCGGAGCGCCACTGGTCCGCATCTGGACCATAATACTGAGGCTTGTCTAGTAGTCGTATTAATGAATAAAGGCCTGACTTATACCTAATCTTTGACGCTTATTACTCCTCTGCTTTTTATATCAAGAGAATTTAGTTCCCTGTTTAACTAGTAATGCCATAGTTTGCTGAACTATCTACTGTATGTATTACTATTGCACATTTCAAATATATTAAAAATTTAAGCAACTATACCTTGATCAACGACATAGAGGTGTTTATGCGAGTAGTATATAGCAGCACTACTTTGCTCTTAGATTTGCGTCATATCATCTGAGGTAATATCAGTATTGGCCCTATAGTGAGGATAAACCATAAAGCACAACTTTTGTAAATATACAATACTCGCTGTTGGTCTCCGTATACCTAGTAGCAAAATAAGCGCGCTGCAACGCGTTGTCCAGTACAATATAACTGACATCGTTAACATGCTTTGGCTGCTCCGTCCGGCCAGACTGCTCTGTGATGCTTGTGCGCACTATAATACTCCGAGGTGTCTTTATCATTCTGCAAATGCATTGCGATTACAGTTTTAATGTTTGAAGAATTGAATGTTCTGAAGGCAGTAAAGGGCCAGTGTTAAGTACGATAGGAGCCTACGTGTATGACTTATATGAACTAGCCAAGCACAGCTTAAATCAAAGTCGGAGAAGGCCCGAGAAAACCAGTGATCGGTTTAGGGAAGACTTGTCTAGGACAGTTTAGACAAAAGACGGAACTTTAGTTTCTGAATTACACATCGGAATTACAAAGGATAGCTCAATAAGTAAAGCGATACCATAGTACTTATTCCTAGTGAAATTCCACTATTTGTAGCAAGGTGGAGTTTATGACAAAACTTTGATTAGAAAATGTCACGAGATACTACTATCTGCTATTCCAATATATATGGTACATGATTGGTTACTCTCCTACGAAATATTTATTTCTCGCAATACAGCACTCTTAGCATCTTGTTATATTTGGAGGTTGACATTAAGTATACCTTGCGTATACTATTGTTTTAGGTTTCATCGCTTTATTCAATGAGGCTTATCGAGTACTTTCATAAGATATGAATATTTTAGGTTTATAATGATTAACTTATAGACAAAGTTGGGAGCACATCAAATCATTCTTATACAACCGACACTTTCTAAATAGCTAGATAAGCTATCGATGGGGGGATGGCGAAGTTGGAGCGCATTGCGTCTGAAAAAGCCTGCTAAGGCCCGGCAGGTCGTCGGTTCGGATCCGGCCCCCTCCACCTCACACTCACCTGGTCTTTGGCCACGATCAACTCCGACTTCCCCGCTTGGGCCAGTGGGTACAAGCTACCCGCCTGGACCAGCCGGACCAGCGGGAACAAACTACGCGCGGGTTTTTCCTACAAGTGGGTTTCCCCCGCGCAATGTTCTTAGCAACCTCTTGCCGTGGGCATGACCCGAGTACCGAAATATGGTAGATAGTGGTCGAAAATATATATACATTTTGAGAAGATAAGGTAAACAGTGAAGGCAAGAAAAGCAAGCAAGCTTGAAGAGCTCGACAAGGGTTTTTAAGACTTGTTTTACGCCAGAAAAGTTGCCAAGCAGATTGAAAGGGCTAGCAGATATGGTAGTTAGAAGGTGATAACTAATATATTAGTCTACATTAAAAGTTGTGCTGTATAATTTATATTGGGACAAAAAATGCTTACACGCAAGAAAAGAAAAGCAATGGATCATCAACTAAAAGTAGGATATAAGCTTATTGAATAAGGGTTACCAATAAGAAATCCTGCACTGCAAGCATTTAGCATTCGAACCTGGATGTTACTTGCAATCTAATCTTATACTTAGTTAATGTGTAATTGTTTCACATAAACTGGAGAAGATACAGAGAAGTACATACTTAAGTGCTTATACATTGAGCTCCAAATAAAAGAAAACTTAGCATTGGAGAACTTAAAGACTAAATGTATCCGTAACGTGGCTGAAGATACAGTGTTTACACTTTAACGAGATAAAGTTTGGAATGCCGTTTCGATAAGCCTTCTCTAAGCAGAGCTAGGAAATATTTCTAATTTCCATAACTATGGAACCTTGTACACTTGGAGAGCCTTCAAATCAAAAGAGGAGTATAAAGTCATCGCTTAATGCCAAGGGTACAGTTTCGGTTAGTAGTTGGCGTTTAGGTTATATTCAAGAAGTGCGCAGATCGTTACGATGTAAAACATTCGTAAGATGCGCTTGGAAATGGGAAAAATGTATGTATGGATGTATATTTTTCGACCACTATCTACCATATCTAGGTATTCGGGTCGTGCCCATGGCGACGGCGGGCAAGTGGTTGCTAAGTACATTGCGTAGAGAAAAACCCTTTTTTTAGAAATAAACCCGCGCGAAAGCTTGTGCCCGCTGATGGTGATGATGATGGTTCTATTTTCCGGCCACGTTCTACCTGGTGGCGTACTGGGCCGTGCCCACGACGCTGGCGGGCATAATTATACTATCTATAGTTGTGCCCGCTGATCCAGCTGGTCCAGGGGCACAGCTCAACCTCCCATCTCCCCCCCCCCACCCCCGGACCAGCTGGACCAGCGTGTTCCATCTCAGGGGTCAACGACGCACCATGGCTCAAGTTGGTTCCAGCATTCTGGCCACACTCAGGAGAGCCAGAGACGACCAGCTTAAGGAGCTTAATACTACCATCTCGGTAGTCGAAAAGCTCGTGGACGCCATCGCTGCGGTCGAAAGCAGTCTGTCAAGTCCGCTCGAAAGAAAGGTCGGCAAGTCCATCATTGAAAAGCTTCACTCTTTCCTGATCAGGAAGCAGTGAAGATGACACAAACTCCCGCCCCCGCTGTTGCCCCGGCCTCTCCCGAGCCCCCAAGCCCCCCAGCTCCCGCCACTCCTGCGGGGCAGGCCCAATGCGGAACCCCCCCTGCCTCGACCTCCCAAAGGCAAACGCCACAGAAGCAACGCCGCTGGGCAGATGTGGCTGCCGCCCCTCCGCGTTCTACTCGGAACAAGGAACAAACTACCCGCAGTCACTTGTCCTCCGCCGACGCTCGTGTGCAACCGTCGTCTTCGGACCGCTCTTCCAGCAAGCGTGTTTTCCTTCAGGTCGATAAAGCTGACCCCTCAAACGCTTTCTGGAGTCAGGCCTCTCCTGCAGAGGTCATCAATGCTGGTTAACCACATCGGCTTCCTTCGCGATCTGATTACCCGCGCGTCCCAGTTAAATCCGGCTGGTGTGTGGAAGTTAAGAACTTTCGCATCCTTCTGGTGTGTAACGGCCGCTACCTCTTGTTGGATGAGCGGGTCCGTGTTGATAGGTTGACCTGTGAAGTCTCGAATGGTTTGGGGGACGTTTCTAACAACATATGCGAATGTCGTCTCTTCTACTTCTGCGACGAGACCTTTCTGTGAGACTTTTTCCCTAGAAGAGAGCGATGTTGCTGGCTCTTAGGTCTAGGTCAGGGGCTTGGATCGTAGTTTTTCGTCGCCGGTGTCCTAGCTTCCGGCTTTTCGACTCGGACCCGGCTATTCCACTCTCTCGCAGCCCCCGCATCTTCTCGTGCGGACGCTGCTTCGGTTTTCATCATCAGGATAAGTGCCGGTATGCAGCAAGTGCGGCGGCCCAGCCCGCAACCACTTAGCGTGCCGCCCCATCCCTCAATATCCAAACTGTCTTGCACCAGCTACCCCGATTGTCTCTCAAGGCCGCGTCCTTAAGCCTACCCGCGAGCAGAGAGCGGCCTCCCGGAAAGCTGGCCGTGCAGCGTACAAGGCAAAGGTAGCGGAATGCAAGAGGAGCACCTCGACCCCCGCTGCGACCCTTGCTACTCCCTCGCAAAACTCACTCCCAGGAGAGGAAAAACGCTCTACTCAAGATTTCTCCGTTATACTTTCAGAATCAAGCTCAGACAAAGCGAATAGCAGCTCCAGCTCGCTGTCGCCTCCTGACTGGGTGCTGGTGAGCCGCTCTAAGGCTAAGAAAGCCTTTGCCGGAAGAATCTCCAAGAGAGCATTTACACGCTCTAACCTTGAGCGCGCCGTTTCTCGTCTGCGCGCCCTGGAGAGAGCGGCAGCTGACTCAAAGCCGCTCCCTACCATCCAACAATCATTTCCGCCCCGCGACCGGCCCGAATCTCCCGACCCGATTAACACGATCTAATGTCAGAGAAGCGTAGCAGGTTTCTCCAAATCCTATCTGCTAACGCTCAGAAATCCATCGCAAACACAGACGGGCTTCTCGAGCTTGCGGTCAGACATAAGCTCCCACTCGTCTGTGTCCAGGAACCTGAAGTCATCAGGGGCAAGGTCCGGAGACACCCTGGTTTTACCGTGATCTCCTCGGATGACCCTGAGTGTCGCTCGGCAATCTATATTGATAAAAAATTCCCTCTCTCTACGCTCCATGACCCTCTCCATTTTGCAGTCTCAATCTCCTTCTCTAACCTTCAGATTGTCTGCATTTATATTCATCCAAGAGACGAACTCGCTTTCCCGGCCTGGCGCTTCCTTCGATCAATCCGGGCCTCGCAATCACACATTATTGTCGGCGATTTCGACACAAATCACCCACTCTGGGACCCTCATTCTCAGACAAACCCCGGTGGCGAACTCCTTACAACTTGGATCGCCGCCGCCGGACTTGTGATTCTTAACCCTTCTGGCGAGACTCACAACAGGGGCAGCGTCCTCGATCTAGCTCTTGGCCCACCTAGAGCCTTTGCGAGGTTCGCCCACTGGGTCTCGGATCATAGAGCGCTGCTGGTGTCAGTCCCGACATCACCTCCTCAACGTCTCCCTCCTCCGCTCCTCTTACCTTTTGACCGCTATGAGGCAGCGCGTGCTGAGTTTGACGCCTACTCCCTCCCCCTCCTCGCTCCCTCCCAGCGTCGCGCGCTGAGCTGGATGACCTCGCGTGGCTGGTACACGACGTGCTATCGGGAGTAGTGGAGGGCTTCGCAAAGAAAGTGGGCTCTAGAACAAAAAGTGCTCCATGGTGGTCGCCTGTTCTCGCGTCAGCTTGTGACCTGGATCCAAACGTTTACCGTAGACTGCAAGGAGCTCAGAACACGCTACTACCAAGAGAAAATTGCACAGGCTACGACAGCTAAAGATTGGGGCCGTATCCTCCGCTGGCGAAATGACCCGATGGACGAAAGACCATCGGTGATTAACGTAGCAGGTGCTACCCTGATGGATACGGAGGATATCGCAGCCTACATGGCGCGAGAAGCCTTCCGCCCTGCTACGGTTGCCAGCGCCCCGATCCCGGAGCACGCTGGACCCAGGCTTTCACCACACATTGCGGATGCATTAATCCTGCCCGCATTCCTACAAAGGCTGGTGCCCCATCTCCCTTCTGTCAGTCTTTGGCAAAGGCATAAAACGCTTAGTCGCTCAACGAATGACTGCTGCAGCGCTCCGCGCAGGCTTACTCCCGCCGGAAGTAGCAGGCGCTATCCCGTCTTGCTCTGCCCTGGATCTTGATCAGGCGCTGGTGCACGACTGTGAGACAATGGTAAGGATGGGCTACCACAACTTAGTGGTAATTATGGACATCGAGTCGGCCTATCCTTCCGTGTCTCCAGATAAGCTGCGCTCAGTGCTACTAGATTAAGGTTAGCCTGAGACAATTGCTCGCCTAGCAGCAGACTTTTGCACTGCTCGAAGCTTTTCTTTTCGTTGGGCTCGCTCGACCTTCCGCACCGACTCCGGTCTTCCTCAAGGCTCTCCCTGGTCCCCTATTCTTTTCGTTCTCTTCACACTCCCGCTTGCCCGCCCGAGCCAGGGTGCTGCCTTCGCCTACATGGATGACTACGCTCAGCACACGTGGAGCCGTGACCCTTTCCAATTAGTATATCACCCCTCCCTCCGTGCTTCTGAGCTGTGCGAGAAGGCGAGGGGCCTCGGCCTTAGGATCGACCCTAGAAAGACGAACGCTTTGTACATTCCGCCGCGTGGCAGAGGGGCGACGAAGTCGAGAATGGACTCATCTAGGATCCGCGTATCTGGCGGGGGTCAGGATGTTGTCCCATCTCACTCCATCAAGTGGCTAGGAGTCACCCTCGACTCTCGCCTCAGCCTCAAAGCACAGGTTTCCGCAAGAGCATCAGCTACTACTTCATTAGTGGGTCTCCTCACCAGAGTCTGCAATACTCGCCGCGGCCTCCCTCCAATTGCAACTCCCCGAATTTTCCGCGGAGCGGTGGTCCCTTCGCTTTCATACGGCCTAGTTCAACTAGATCTAGGCCCCATGCGAGCAAGTGTTAGCGGCAGACTCATCTCTACACACACCAAGTCGACCTTGGGATCGCGATACAGGCGATGAACAAGACCCTTCGCGCTCTCTTCCCAGTGTGGCGCACGATTCAGACTCAAATACTGTACTGGTTGGTTGGATCCTCGCCGGATAACATTTGGAGTCTTGAGCGCTATAGGTGGCGATCTCGGGCTGAACGTCTCCCCGCCGGCCATCCGATCTCTACCAGACTTGCTGCTAGGCCATAGTAAGAATGGTCTCGGTTACATCAGCTCGCACAAGGCGTCAGCCCCAGATCGGAACCTTGGGAGCCAAAACTACCTGGCATACGAACTTGGCTTGGTCTCCAACCAGCTTCGCAATCCAAACCTCCTCGAGCGCCCCATTTGACATGCAGCGATGGTGGGCAGCGAATAAACCAGCTTCCTGTCTTTGGGATGGCTGGTCATCCAAGGGCTTCCTGGAACTTCCCAGACATGTTCTAGGCCGTTGGATTCAGGAGGTTTCTGACCATGGAGATTTTGCCGAGTATCATCGACGCTTCGGCCACCCTCCGGAGGCCATTAAAACATGCATGTGCAGTGCAGTCAGGTAGTTCGCCGCGGACATCTTGGTATGTGTCCTATTGCTACTTGGGGCAACTCACATGCAGCCCGGCTCGATGCTCGAGCTTTTCACAAAACCTTCAATCTATACTTGAGACGTGGCAATGAGCTTCGCTAATATGGTGAGGCCCTTGACCCATCGGCACTAGAGCCACTTCCTATTCCTCTAAATCTTATTCCTCGTCTTCCCTCGCCTGCAGTCGGAGCAGACGAAGAGTAGGCGTCAGAACACTCGAGATTGTTGTTCCACAAGCTCTCCCCAGTGGTTGATTCTCCTTTTCTTTTGTTGATTGCAAAGAACGTCTCCCCTCTCTTCTAGTAATCTACGCGTAGGTTTCTGCCAGGAGGCTTTCACTCGCGCACAAGGGTTCAGTAGTAAGTAGTTATCATTAGTACAGCTATGCCCGCCGTCGTCGTGGGCACGGCCCAGTACCCCGTCTGGGTAGAACGTGGCCGAAAATAGAATCATTATCATCATCCTGCATCCAACAGCTCAGGTCGTGACTAAGGGGTTTCCCCAATGGGTAGCTTCTCCTTCTCTCTTTATACTTTGTAAAAAATATGCCTTTTTTCCTTTGAACCACGCGCAGGTTTCTGCCAGCAGACTTTCCCTGGCGCAAGACTTTATAAGTTGTAAGTAGCTATAGATAGTATAACTGTGCCCACCGGCGTCGTGGGCACGGCCCACTACCCCCAGTATGGTAAAACGTGGCCGAAAAATAGAATCCTCATCATCATCATCATCGTGCCTAAGGAGCTCTAGAAAGGCCTTGAATGACCAGCCATCTCATAGGCATGATGCTTGCTTGTTCTCATCCCACCATCGTTGCGTATCGACTGGTAGCGCTTTAGGAGGTTTAGGTTGCGAGACTGGCTGGTAACCAAGCCAAGCTCGTAAGCCGGGCTGTTTTGGCTCCCAGGGATTCGACTAGGGCTGACGCCGTGCGCAGGTTAATGTAAACGAGACCCTCCATTCCATGGCCTTGCGGCAAGTCTAATGGAGATCGGATGGCCGGCGGGTAGATGTTCAGCCCGAGATCGCCACTTGTAGCGCTCCAGACTCCAAACGCGTCCCGGCGGAGTTCCAACCAGCTAGTAGAGCATTTGGGTCTGGATAGTACGCTATACCACATCTATGATAGTTTAGAGGTTAGAAACCAATCGGTAAGTCTTGAAACCAACACACAAATCTCTTTAATCCAATGGCTAAAACTTTGTTATAACTAAAACTAAATATTATACAGCCTTAGCGTTAGGTAAAGGCTAGGAAGTAACCAAAGTGCTTCAGAAACAACATCCATATAAGGTAGTAGCTACAACATCTACTTACCGATGTTTATGATTATCCTGACAGATTTCCTGAGATGGGTTCGAGAGATGCCAGGTTGTTGGCCTGAGAGACATCATTTTTCACACAACCAAGTGGCCGTTGTGGTTACCAGTTAGTAACTCTTTGTAATATCGCCGACTGGAGAGTTTCTTCGATTAGATGTCCCTGCGTGGAATCTATTTACATCTCATGCAGTCTTGTGGCTTCCATTTTTCCTTCCTCTTTAATGGCAAAGACCGTTGATGGTCAACATCCTTGGGCGTTGAGAGGATCAATTTCTCTTGGCGCTGAGACAACGTCTTCTAATATCTGGTTGTTAGGCCAGATATTAAAGATGATAGATAGCTTGCGGCTCCATTTTTCCCCGATTGTTCGGCTGCACAGACGCACTCTTCCAGGTAGAGCCTTGTTAATTGTGAAAATATCGATACCACTACAGTTTTTGTAGGACTTAAGTTCAGTTGATGATTATTCAATCTTTATATCTTACACTACTGGCTGGATAATTCTTGATGTTTGACTCGCTTAACATAACTTGGAATCCACTATAATAATATACCTATCTTATGTATTTTTGCAAAGTACATTTAAAAACAGATTTAGGTGACTAAATTAGTCATGTTGCTTGACAGATGATTATAATCCTGAAAACGAAACCTGGTACAACCTAGCCATCTTATGGTCGACGATCAATTATACGTATGCACTAAATATTGTAGCTAACAATCTCTCTGTTTTTTAAGGTAGCTAGAAGTTTGATAAGTGCTTCTCATTAAAGTTCGTATAGCAATTTTATTCAGTACATTAAGATCTGCGAAGTAGATATGGGTTGTTTTGGTATCATTATGTAAACCTTAATATTCTATGTAACCACTCGTTATGAGGCCCTCATTCACCAATAAAACACATGTCAACCAGCAACTGATGACCGCAGTGAGCCGTACGTTTGTTCTGTTCCGTCAGGACCCCAGCCTTTCAGGTTCTGCAACCTGGCCACTGCCTTCCAACCCGTCTCGGGAGGTTGTGGGATGGTCATACTCGGAGGTTTATATGACTAGAACTATAACGGTGCTTAGCCACATGCAGTATAGGATTAGATAAATATATTGAACACGAATCAAGAAAACTGATAAGCTGGTATATTGTTGGACTATCTAAACAGTAGTTTATGCATATTATTGTAGTAATTTAGTGTATCCTAACGATCCAATATTTTGACAAAGCTAATAGCCCTCCATTTTTGGATAGCTTCCCACGAGCCGCTAAAACAACAAAATCCAGTAATAGAATATGTGACAATCCATACATACCTCCGGTACTCCACTAGGACAGAACGCGGCCGAAAAATAGAATTATCCTCATCATCCAGAGAAAAAAAAGGAGAAGTTACCCATTGGGGAAAGCCTGTCGGAAAACAATCTTTCCTCAATAGGTAACTTATCATTTTCTCTTTATACTTTGTAAAGGATACGCCTTTTTTCCCCTTTGCACCACGCACAGGTTTCTACCACTAGGCTTTTCTTGCGCAGAACTTTATAAGTTGTAAGTAGCTATAGATAGTATAACTATGCCTGCCGGCGTCGTGGGCACGGCCCAGTACCCCAGTAGGGTAGAACGTAGTCGAAAATAGAATCATCATCGTTCTAAGTCGAAAGGAAACTTATTTCGGGAGGACTAGGTGGATTCTCACAGGCTGTAAGAAAAGGATATGGAAATTGTTAATAATAAAAAATAAGATATCCGATACACTGGTAGATAACGCAGGAATTGAGGTTAAAATACATATTCGTAACGAGCAATACCAAAACTACGTCTCTAGCTACACCTAGTAATAATATTGAATATCTTGCTCGAGGGAAAGCCAACACGGCAAAAACCTGCGCATAGTTCAAAAAAACTAAGAAATTACTTTGTATAGTTGGTGAAAGAAAAGAAGATTAGCAATTAGGAAGCCCTTGTGGGATAACAATCTGGGGTGATTCTAGCTCATCACCTTCATCTGTCATGTTATAGGTACAGGAGGGTGAGAGGGTGACGCAAGTCTAACAGAGAAGTGGCTCAAGTGTCAGCGGATCTGGGATCTCTCCATATTGGCGGAGCCCGTTGACACGCCTTAAATATAGAATAAAAGTTTTGCCAAAGGCACGAGTATCTAGCCAGGCTGCATCCGAATTGTCTCAGGTGGCAATAAGACACTCTCCGAGATGCCGGCGGCGGACCACCTGGCCATACGCACATGTCTTGACAGCTTCAGCGGTAACCAAAACGTTGGTGGTACTCAGCGAAGTCATCATGGCCAGAAACCCTCTGTATCCATCAGCTTGGAATGTGCCTAGAGAGCTCCAGGAAGGCCTTTGGACGACCAGCCATCTCATAAACGACGCTGGTGTAGGCTAATATCTCCCCAGCCCTCATTGCATGTATTTTGTTTCTGTTCAATCCTTATCATGGATCTGAGAAGTCAAAATTTTACAAAACCACTGTCACGATGGTTACTTGTCGTCAGAGATTCTTCGTCCTGCTTCCTATTAGCCGTTTCGCACCCGCGTGAGCCGCAGAATTTTTGTCCTCTGTGCTTGATGCTACTTTTCTTCTTTTGATACCCTGTTAGTCGTTACAAAAAGTAATAGTCAATAACATTTCAGGGAACATTTATCAGGTTGTTGTGCTCTAATGGTAACATGCTAAATAACAATATTTACATCGTTTCATATTAGTCCGCATTTATAGACAGGCACGCTCTCTCTGTTGATTATAGAGATAGCAATTAGAGAGGATCTCCATGGTAATCCTTATATAAACCATCGTTAAAAACCAACAGCTTATTTATGTATGAAGGTTTTGAAATCAGAGATATTGAATTTGCTATGTTATTTTAATGTAGAAAATCGTTTAGCAAAAATGAAGCCGTAAGGGATGCTTCGACCAAAATTTGTATATATATATTAGTACATACAGCAGAGAGTTGCTCTGAAGAGCTTAGATGATAACACCAATACTCCACTAGTTCAACTATATACTTTTAGCTATACACTGAGATATTATTTAGGGCTGTAGAGGCTGCGGAACATAACCTTATCATTAACCAAGAGATCAGCATCAGGAAAGCGGGAAATAGTGCCCTATGTAAAACTACTGGCTATCAATTTTGTACTACCTAAAGATACCAAGCTGTTCCCTACCATATCAACTAAATAATTTATGGCCTTTTCCCCTGACTTAAGATTGATTGATTCTATTTTGATTCTCTTTTTCGGCCACGTTCTACCCTACTGGGGTACTGAGCCGTGCTCCCAACGCCGGTGGGCATAGTTATGCTATCTATAGCTACTTAAAACTTATAAAGTCCTGCGCAAGGGAAAGCCTAGTGGCAGAAACCTGCGCGTGGGCAAAGGAAAAAAACAGGCGTATTCTTACAAAGCATAAAGAGAAAAGAAGTTACCCATTGGGGAAAG